GTATTTCTATATTATCGTGCATTTACTGTATTTAGTTCGGCTACTATATATTTTATTGTGTTGTGCTATACCCATTCTGTGCTATTTTTACTTCATATGTTTCGCTGTGTTTTGCCACTACACCCTTATGTCTAGTCATAACCTGCCCAGAAGCGTCTGTAATCGATGCAATATTAATGCTGAACTTGGCGAACAGGTTCCGATTTGACGTCACTTATCCTTTAAAGTAGAGAATATATCCTAGAACATGTGCAAGCCTTGCAAAATTTTAGTCAAATACATACAAAGGTAACAACCATAATTGATGACTATAAATGTTTCAATCTTCGTATATTCAATTTTCATTTTATAATACAAATACGGTATCTTAATTTTTTGTGTGTCTTTATTATGAAAATCGTAGCTACTGGGCACTGTTGTGTATGAGTACCCGCTGCGCGTCACCTGTCTGGCGCACCCCTTTTTGAAGGTGTTTGCCTTCGTTCGAGCACAAAAAATGTGCATGATGAGCGCATTGTTTAATCATGTTTCACTACTAAAAATGCAGCAGTTCCAATATATCGCAATCGCACCATATCCAATACTAACTATATCAAAAGCACTTCCAACACCTCCGAGAGCAACGGTTTTTTTTATTCGTCAATTCGTATTATGTATAGTTTTCTTAAGCACCTAAATCCATCGTACCTACTTTCGGCAAATCCATGTTAAAAGCGGCAAGTCGCAAAAAAAAATATGATTGAATTACTCTTATTACAATATACATACATATATTACATATTACAGTGGACGTTGGGATATTAGCATTCTTTGAAATTCGAACATACTATATCAAAAGCACTTCCAACACCTCCAAGAGCAACGGTTTTTTCTATTCGTCAATTCGTATTATGTATAGTTTTTTTAAGCAACTAAATCCATCGTACCTACTTTCGGCAAGTCAATTGTTAATAAGGGCAAATCGCAAAAAAAATATGATTGAAATACTTTTATTACAATATATATTATATACTACAGTGGACGTTGGGATATTAGAATTGTTTGAAATCAGAACGTCCAGATGTTAAAACCTGTTTATGTTTACCTGTTTATGCATTAAATGCTCTAAAATTAGAACTTGTGGATCCAATTTCAGAACGTTTTTTTTTCTTTCAGATTTTGATCGTTTGCGATCAACAAAACACAACTGAAAATGGCAAAACACTATATACTTGTTATTATGTCTTCTTATTACGACTATTAGACACATTAATAATTAACATAAATCGAGCAAAAGAAGCAAGTTATCTCTCCTAAGCACATGCATAATTATTATTTTTATATTATTATTAACATCATCATTATTCTTATCACAGTACTATTGAGATGAAAGAGTCTGACTCTGGCGTTCGTCTCGATCCTGATGTTTTGAACGCCAATCAACAATGTACTTCAGAAGGTGTCGAAAATTGCAACCTCACTTTGTAAGCTGCGCTGCGGTAAACATTAGTTGTTCGACAGAGAGTAAGTGAAAATTCTGCCTGGTAGTTTTCAACATGGAACTGGTTTATGGTTTAGAAGAATGGGTAGAAACTTTAGACGTTAAACTGAAGTGTAAAACATTGGTAGTAGTCCAGATATCATCTGCATATAGTGAGTAGTTTGGGACTCATGGACCCAATAGTGGCTAGTTCGATAGAAAATTGTGAGCAACGGCGGGTGGACCACTATGTTTATTAATCATTTCAATAGCTCTCTGATATGTATTATTTCATGTTTCGGGTAGCTACCTGACGAGCATTACTTCATGTTTCGGGTCATGTATTTACTCTTGGAAAACTCGTAGTTTAAGCGGATTATATTGCTAACATTTATACCGGCCTTAATCGATCTCGAAAAAAAAAATAATTATTACGAATATTATTGGAAATATTAAAATTCAAAAATTAAATTTTTAATTTTGATCACAAGAATTTTTGGGCTACAGCTGTTTTACTACAGCTGTTTTAGAAATTGTCAAATATTCATCACCAGAACTATTTTTGAACACATACATTGAATTAATTATCCTTATAGAGTATAACTTTTAGATTCAAGTGTCAAGAATTAAACCGTTTCAAATTTGTGCCACGGACTCATGTGTGATACACAAAGTCAATGTGCACTTAATTTTCTTAGCTAGATTTAAAAATCAAAATCTTGCACTATCTTTACATCAAATCTAACATTGGCCTATCCTGTGTCTTATCTCTGCATGAGATTAAGAAACATATCAAAGTATCTATCTTCTGAATACCAAGTCATAGAGTCCATTACGGTTACTGTATTGCAGTTAAATTGGACAACCATCAATTCCAATATTTCCATGTGCATTCTTCACTCCCCTAAATATTACAACTTAGGTGATCAATTGCGTCAACATTAAATAAATTATATTATAAGCTAATCGGTACACTGGCAGTACCGAAATTGATAATATTGTTTCTCTTGTTATCACCAAAAAGTGTGTCCAAAGAACTATTTAATAATAAAAATTGAATCAAGTTTTATGCCAACCCCTACTTGGCATCAATAGAAGTAATTAATGAAAGGCGAAGGTATGAGTGCTTATATGTCCCGGCAGGCAATTCAAAGAGATTCCTGATTTTATTGTAATTTTTTTTTTAATTTTGACTAAATTAAAAAAAAATTTTTTTTCGTTTTTACTTGTCAGTTTTTATATGGAAGTAAAGTTTTCCTTAAGGGCCCCATATTTCTTCGCTTTCTTGGTACGCCCATGTATATTAACACTAGCTATTTTGGTTCTATGTCCAGCAGTTGACATCTATTTAGTAATATTGTATTACACAGCACCAAATTCTATTGTAGACTGAACATTGCACAATAATGATCTTTAATAGCACTTTTTTTAGTTTTTAAGCTTCAAAATGTATATATTAAGACATATTTTACAATAAGTGTTGGTTTATTTTAATATAGAATTGCAATTAAAAATAACAATGGAGTTTCAGCATAAAAACTATGACATTGCATATACTTTTTATTAATAATGTATTATTTTCAGTAGAAAATTGGGTTTTAATATTTAAATTCGATATATGTAGCCAAAGTTTTTTTTTATTTTTTCCTTTTATATCGTAAAATCTTCGATTTGATCTGGGAAGTACACGTATGTCAGATAGGTATTACCAATCGGCATTAATACTTTAGTCAAGGGCTGTCCAGACTAATTGCAATCGCGGGCCAATACAGATCACTGTATGGATTGGAGGGCCGCAGAAACAAATATATACGTTCATAGGTGTTTTCGACAAAAATCAATATACGATTGTAATGTTAAATTTAATTTTATTAATTATCAATTTAAATTCATTTATTTGGTATACCATAAAAATAAAATAATGTAATTTTACCAGTACACCAAAAGAAAATTTGCTTAATTGTAGTAGATTAAAAACATATTGCGGGCCGTAGAAACATTAAGCGCGCGCCATGCATTGGACAGCCTTGCTTTAGTCCATTGAGAAGCTGTTTACAAATTTTTCTTACTATCTTTTTTTATTTCGCAAATCATTAAGATCACTTGATAAATTTTATCAAGCCCAAACGTTAATAAGCCTATCAAGATCTAATATTTCCCAATATTTGAGTCTTGAATTTCTAAAATACAAGATGAAAATATTGTTATAAAGCCGTTGTAATAGACATACTAACAAAAATTATAGTATCATCAAACCAATGCACTAACCATACGTTCATAATCGGAGGTATTTATCACCATTCAGTAAGGACACAAGTTTCATCCTGTCTGCTCTCACTAATCCTATACATCATGCAAGAAATTTGCTTGCAAAGACTGATAAATATCGTGGGTTCTCACAAGGCAACACAAAGATTTAGACTCGGCTGGAAATATATCCCAACTGTTCATACAGCTGCCGACGTGTGATTCATAATTCATATATTTTGTTGCGCCTACAAACATTTCACAATGGCATTTGACCTAAAAACTAACAAGAACAGTGAAGCTATGCTCTCATCATATTGTCCCAGGCGAATAAAACATCAAGCGCACATATCATATTTGTAATTTTGGAAGTATAACCTATACCACAGGAGCTCAAACGCATGTGTCAAATATAAACTGAAACGAATCAGATCTGGATTTGGACTGTTTGACGATCAAACATCATCACAGCCTAACATTTTAAACGCTTGCGCCACCACCATGATGGATACGAACTTAGTTTACAAAAGTATTACATAAATGTCTTCGCAAAGACATCTACAAATTTCAGTAGGCTGATAAAATAAGCTATCAAGAGTCTTGGCAGCGAAACGGGTAGAAAATCGGCATTCGATGAAAAAACTGGTTTGGGTTGCTCATAAACTAAACAATGAAGTCTACACTGATTCAGATATCGAACTGGTTGTACGATTAATTAATGAAGAATTAAAATATCATCATCGATCATCGAATGTAAAAGATATACTTCTATTAACACCAACTATGACGGCGCGAAGGATGTATCGATGACAAATAAGAATAGAATGGGTCATAACATGCAGTCCTGGCAGACTTCAGAATTAGTAAACAAACACGCAGAAATACTCTTATGTGCATTGTGAAGAGGTCTGCATTCAAAAATGTGATAATTTGCCTTTCGTTGCTTATCAATGCCTTTTTCTTCAGGTTTATCAACAAAGTCGTTACTGGCATTAAGCAGGGTGGTTTAAGCGAGCTTATCAAAATCAAACAATTTGATCTTTTTTTTGGTTTTTTGTGTTATCAGAAGTAGTTGACAATGAGTTGTAATGTATCAAGAAGATGATGGTCTGAGCCAACATCACCATCAGATCTATTCATCTATTACTAAAATAAATTATTTCAAATGTTAATGAGTTCATACTATACGACTATACACATATACTTTTCCTTGTTTTTTTCTTTTAATGAATTTACCTAATAAAACTACAAAAAAATAAAAGTCATTTGGTTTGTAAAAGGTTTCATTTCTTACTGTGAGTTTTCGAAACTACACTGTTGAATAAAAATTAAGAAATATTTTAATCTATAAATCATAAATTAATTATAAGGATGGATAAGGAAGGATCTACATATGAAAACTGTTAGTGAAATAGTATGTGTAGGGATTTAATACAATTAAGGCGAATTGTTTGTTTGTAGTGGTACAAAGGGTTTCCATCTTAGGCAAGTCGGATCGATTTTTGGAAAATTGCCTCTCCTTCTGGAACGCTCTTCATACTCGTCCAAAACATCCTGCAAATACAAAATTAAAATAGTATCATTAAATATTAAAATTAAAATTAATTAATTAATTAAAAATTTACTTGTTTTCTAAGGACAATATGCTTGCCTTTCCAATATTTCATCATGCCTAAAGCTTGAAGTGTACTGACAATATCATATGAATATATAGCCATTTCCTAAAAAACAAATGTTGCAAAAAATGTTTCTGGAAACGATTATATTTAAAACCTGTGAGACATCTTTTATGCTGAGCGTATTTCCAGAACGGTTGCAAAGATAATCCAACAGTACATCCTTCCAATAAGAACGATATGATATTAAGCCTAAGTCTGATAAAGGCTTCTCCGGTGAACCAATTTTTCCTTCCACTCTTGTTAATAAATAACCTGTTTGCAAATAAATAAAAAAAGAATTTTAATATAGTATAATTTTAATATAATATAATATAATATAATATAATATAATATAATATATAATATATATAATATAATATAATATATAATATAATATATAATATTATAATAATATATAATATAATATATAATATTATAATAATATATAATATAATATATAATATTATAATAATATATAATATAATATATAATATTATAATAATATATAATATAATATATAATATTATAATAATATATAATATAATATATAATATTATAATAATATATAATATAATATATAATATTATAATAATATATAATATAATATATAATATTATAATAATATATAATATAATATATAATATTATAATAATATATAATATAATATATAATATTATAATAATATATAATATAATATATAATATTATAATAATATATAATATAATATATAATATTTTAATAATATATAACATTATATTATTATAATAATATTATAACATATATTATAATAATATAATATTATAATATATATTATAATATATATAATATAATATAATATAATATAATATAATATAATATAATATAATATAATAAAATATAATATAATAAAATATAATATAATATAATATAATATAATAAAATATAATATATGACAAATAAAAAAATGAAAATAAAATGTGGAAGGATATTTTTTATTTTCGCAAGGCTTTCCATTTAAGTTTGGAAAAAATAGGCGGGGGTGATATCTTAACGACCTTGGCACTTCGTACTTAGGGATCTTGGTCCCTAGACTAAAGTTAAGGATTTTTAACTTGATTTATATTAAGGACCAAAAGTATATTTTTACTATATAGACAATTTTCCTTGATGTGCCTGACATAAAATACTCGTATGTTCAAACCCCCAATAGAGCGCAGTTAAGGCAAATTACATGACCAACTTATAAATTCCTGTTACACAATTGGCAAAAAAGTAAAGCGGCAAAAAAACGGAAAACAATGCAATTGTCTAGACTGAACAACTATAAGGATTGGATGGGTTTTACATTGGCAATGATGGTCTACTTCTCCAACACCACGCAAAACCTCGTCCATTCACCCACGCACCTTTTTTTTGCCATTCACACGTCTGAGATGTATACACTAATAGTAAAAATTGTTGGTTATATTCTTGTTGTTGCTGTTGTTGTTACTGTCGTCGTCGTCGTCGTCGTCGTCGTCGTTCTCGTCGTCGCTGTTGTCGTTGTCGTTTCGGTGGTACATAATGTACAAGGTTTACTTCAACTTCGAATTGTGCTTGAATTTTTAAAATCCCCTCAAACTTAACGAAAAACATGTTACGACTGCTTGGACTGCGTCTGAAACTGCGACTGTAGCAATGGCTGGCTGTTGGCTGTTGTCTCATCAGTTGAGCCGGATTGGAGCTACTTTTCATGCGTTGTGAGAATTATTATTATTTTCGCCGATACTCCTGCCGCTTTGTTGCCGGTTGCCGGTTGCCAGTTGCCAGCATGACACATCAAACCAAAATGTTTTGATTTTTTTCTTGCTTATGTCTGTGCAGCGCCGTCTGTGCGTATGTTTATATTTATGTGCATGTGAGCGTTGGTTGGTAATGGCTTTGGTGGTGGGAAAGGACCGACGAGACGACTTTATCGATCCATCAAGTCATAGTCGGCTCGTGTGAAGTGTTGCAACATTTAACTTCCAGTTCATTACCGTTAGCTGCACACGAGTAACCTGTAACCCATCGTGAACACGAAAACTAAAAGCAATGAAATTACACTTGAAAAAAATTCAGTGCTATTGGCACTGAAGGAAAGACAAGAAATAAACTCTGCGTTGAAACAAGGATGGCAAGGACATTTTGAAGTTTAATGTTAAATTAGTTTAATATTATTTTCCGAAATTGTGAAAGAGCTTAAGTCAGTATGAGTGAGAACTATGGTCTGTCCGTCCGTCTTGGGCCTTCGGTGCTGACGAAAAGAAGTCACGGTTCCCATAAACTCGTTCGAGTGCGTAGCAAGCGAATACGCACAACAGAACTTTTTATTCGGCTACCTTGCAGTTGAGTAACCGAATATTCGCAGCACTAAACGGTAGAGGACGACGCCCTTTATTGGTGACCTGTTCTGACCTTTGTTGTCTGCTACTGTAGTAATAACGACAAACATAAATACACAAACATGCATAAATTTCTTTGTCTGAACTCCTTGAATCAATTTATAGAAATTGTATATTAAACATTTATTAATTTAAATTTATCGAGAATATTAGTTGAAATTACAAATAAGCAAGTCAATGTAGATAAGTCGGTAGATAAGTTATTTATAAATTTATAAATAAGTGTAGTAGAATATGTAAAATATAATAATAAATGCCTATATGAATATGAATGCATACACATTAAAGTGCTAAAATCTGCATAAAAAGTAAACAATTCAACTGACCTTGTGGATTATTTTTGGAGGTATATGCAATGATGGTATATGCAAAAGGTACTTATCTTTCATTTCAGGACATCATAGCGAATGTTTATAATAAATGATGGAATGATGGAATGATATATTAAGACATTTCCAAGCCATCTATGAATTGAGGCTTTGCTGTCATAACAATCTGAAGTGTTGTTAGCTTAGTTTGCTTTTAAAGGTTTTGGAGGTCATTGAAATAAATCCTATCATCTTCCAACTCTAAAGTATACTTTGCTTTATATAAGTAAAACCTAGTAAATGTTTCACATAAATTAGAGTATAATTGGTACAGAAATTTCTAATCCAGAATTGTTACCGTGTTCTTTAAAAGTGATATATTGCCTATAAATATGTTTTTGAGTTGGTAGTGCTTGATATACACCCCGCCAACTCTGAAATCTAAAACATGATATCCTTCAAGTAAATACGTTTAAGCACAGTTTGCAGACACTTGTTTATAAAATATATTATAAATATAATATTAAATATATATATAAGTATATATATATAAATATGGTACCTATATGATATAAATATGATATGAATTATATTATAAGATATGCATTAGCCATTATTTTCAGAATTGTGTTTTAAGTTTAGGAATCAAACTTACATCTATTTATAAGAGTCATTTTTATAATTTTCTATTTTTCAAAGAGATATCTGGGAGAAACTTGTATAACAACCATCATTAATCATAAGATTATCATCTAGGTTCGGGATCATCTTGCCACCAGTTTATTAAAAAAAATTAAAACCTTATTTTCTGTAGAAAATTTCTAAATGGAAGAGATCTTAGAAACAAATTTATATTCAACTCTTCTCCCTGACATTCACTTTTATTGCCGTTCCACTTGCTATTGTTAAACTGACAATTAAACAAAAATATCTGAGCATAGCCACGCAACACTGGGCTGTTGAAACCCATCATTAGATATTTAGATTGAATTAGTCTTATTTGGACAAGAAACGCACTAGTCAGCTACATCAACTAAGGCGGGATCTGCTCAGCACCACGGTATCTGTGCTGACGGGCCACTGCGAAATAGGAAGGCATGCTATGAGACTTGGTCTACCTATCTTTATAACATGACAATACAGTATCTTTTACTACGAACACTTAAAATATTTAAATTGAAGCATATTGCAAACCAAATAGGTTTTATTTGATTTTGATTTTATTTCTAAATATAGATTTAATTAGAGATATCGGGTTAGCTATTAGTGAGTTATAGATCAACTGAATATTGAAGGTAGTTCATTACTTAAATATTTAAGTTTTAAATGAAAATATATCTAATTTGGAATAGAGAAATAGATCGCAGTTAAGAATTTTTTGTAGTTAAAATATAGACGTAAATTTGTAGTGGGGATTTGTTTCTTTCAACAAATTTAAAGAGTGTTTAAAGTTGCACTGTTTCTAAATTATGATGCCCAGAAGTATTTTATAAATATTCGTAATATCACACGACTTAAGCATAAGATATGTTTTTTCGTTCTTTCCTCTTTGTAATTCCTATATACCTATATATATCGGGACCGGTGATTTTGATCTCGCAGGTATGTGCCGTGAATAAACCGAGGCTCATTGTTATACCCATGCTAGTACTGCAGTCCTCCTAAATATTTTCTTTTTCGTTTAATTTCCACACATCTTATACAGTTTTATGGGTGAGTAAACTATTCTCTTCTTATGTTTGTAAATTTCATTGGATAAATTTTTAGAGTTTTCTGTATTTCGTTGCCTTGTTTAAATTCCAGATAAAAGATTAGTCTACTGACGGCTGAAGCTTCCTTGACCTCTATACTCCTTAGAAAACTTTTGGACATAATGTAATAATAACAATGTAATAAAGAAGAACTTAAATTAATAAGAACAACAGATTTGTAAAATACTATACTCATTTTCTAAAAATTATTGGAAATGAGCGTAGAACATGCGCTTACTCTTTATTTCATAAAACCTAGAGGTGTCAACATCTTTTAAAATTATCCTTAAAATGCGTTAGTTAAGAAAAAAGTATGCCTAATGACAAATAGAAATGTTTGCTGAAAAGATCCTGAGATTGAAAAAAGTAGACCTTGACAGAAGACAGCTGGAGTAAAACAGATATATCACACAAAGATGAAGGATAAGGTTAATCACCTGCAGCAGCTGCGGGGCCTGAACGCAGGTCACACCGATGGAAGTCTTAGATGACTAATAGAGACCCTACCTCGAAGTAATACTAACGTAGTCCCTAGGTAGGACAAGGTCTCTAGGAATGAGGGGGAGTTGGTTTAGTCCGTGAGAGTCGGACACTCACTTTCCGGGCCGCCGGATTGTGGTCAGTGCGTAGGCATTCCACTCCTCCTTGCCACAAAAAAAAAAAAAAAAAATATGACAAATAGAAGGTACCATATTTGGTGCAAGTCTTATTGCAATAATTGAACACTATACAACATGTTAAAACTGTCTTAGCAAAAGCATTATTACTCTTGTACAAAAAAAAAAAGAAAAAGAAAGTGGCAATTTGTTCCTCATAGGACCTACAGGTATTAACACACAAAACAAAAGACAGTAGAATATGCTCTACAACTCAATAGATGTGAACTAAAAATCCAATGCGGCTTCACTGCTAAATGTGACAGCTTTAACCATCTGTACAAACTACGCATGAATCAGATGAATGCAGATACTATGAGACAATTAATCGTCACGTCTATTCTAGTTCTATGTTAGTTAGTTATTGGAAAATATGAACTAACAGAGATATACAAAACACATGCTTGTATTACAATTTATCTGTTTTTGTATACAAAATTATCTGAAACATGCACATGCCCACCATTAGTCCCACATCGACATCAGTCCTTTGCATTTACGGGGCTCCATTGCCTTACGCCCCTTCTTTAAATTATTATATAGAATATTACTTTCAACACGTTTCACACTGTTTTATATACGCACATAGTCTTTAATCCTAATTTATCTTAAAATTTCTGTAGCAAATTGTAAGATCTCCCCAGTTCCAGTTGATTAAGCCAGCAGAAAACAGACTCAGACTGGGATAAAGAGATGAATAAGGTGTATTGTAATAATATAAAATGCGATAATAAGCATGGGCGAGGTTATAAAGAGAAAAACTTAGAGTAAGTTCCCGTATTACAATACATTATCATTTCAGTAAAAATCATTTATAGTTCATCAATGAACAGAGGATTTAGTTAATTTATATAGTTAATCTTAAAAGTAATATATTTTTCCATTTGTCGTTCGCTAGTTTTTAGCATTAAAGTGTTTTTCGATCGTGGTCTATATCGTACTGCCTCTAAGATGTAAAGTATTGTGCTTTACGTCTTATTGTTGTAAACTTATGGTTTACATAACTTATCCTAGTAAGTATAATAGATAAAAGTATGGCAGGGGGATATTTATATTTCATACACTCTAATTATTCTTTATATCTTCCTAGTTATTTCGGCCATATTTTTTATTAACTAGGCGTTTTCAAGGAGAATAGAACTAAACGGATTACAACAACAACATCAATAAAATTAAAAAAGTATTATATTTAAAGAATGGACTAAGAGTGGACCAAATATTCGTCGCAGATTTAATTTCTTTTAAATAAAAATAATAATTGTTAAATAAAATTTAAATTTTTATGTCTATAATTTCAAAATTGATTTTCAATATAAATGTTTTATACCTGAAAATCGACAAAACCCCGGAAGAAGTTCTTAAATAAAAAAATTAAGTCAACCACATAGTCTCCACTTTTCGAAAACGTTATAAGTTGCCACAGCAATTTATGACCGTCTGGACTGATGATGGCTGGTTCGTCTAACAGAAATGTTCTATTATTAGAACCCCTGTAATTTGCCTAACTTATGTTTAAATATATAAAAAGTGTAAAAATTATCTGGTTATAATGACAAGGTACGAAATATGTCAAGTATCAAAATTCAAGTAACATAATGTAACACAAAAAGACAGCTGAACGTTTTTAGTGTATTCTAGAAACACACCCATGTATCAGAAATGTCGATACTTTTTAAGCAATGAACAGCACCAACTTTTTTAATTGGTTAAAATACCAAAGAGTATAGAAGGATAATACTAGTGTTATAATAAGAAGTCTTAGTGAGTTGTCAAAAATTAATTAGTAGCTTTATCAGAAGTAACCCATTAAACTATATTATAAATAAGATTACTTACTAAAATCAATTAGCAGTCTTCCGTATCCCTTTCGCTGATATGGTGGCAAAGTTAGTATGCAGGAAACATTGTAGAAAGAATTTTTCTCCTGAAAATGTAAATATAGAACAAATTAAAGATTTTGATATGTTTATGATGTCAAAATTTTATCAACAGCTTAACTAGGAAAAGATATTACATATAATATCACACCCGGTTTTTAATGATCGTATTGGTATTTTTTCTATTTTGTTAAAACTGCGACAAAATTGAAAATAAAGAGAAAATAAGTTTTATGAACGGTTGTGTCTCTGCTTTAGAGTCATTTATTATCGATTACCATTGAATGGTATGCACCACTCCCAAAAAAATCTCACCGCTTACATGAAAGGCCCTCTAAGCAGGCTTTTCAAAGCGTGGCGAAACCACAAATATATTGAATGCTATTGTCGAGAATACATTTGACATGAAGTGTCGTGTACTAGTCTTAGAGAGCCTCAAATCTTGAACATAAACTAATCAGGCTTCCAGAGAAAAAGTAGAACTATATAGACTATAATAAGATATGTATATATGCAGAAGTAATAAATGCTCTTATCGTCTTTAAATTCGACTTCCAGTGTGGTGCACCACTCCCATAAGGGTTTCCATCATTAGTAGACAAACTAAATAGACTTCCCGAGAAACGATGGAATTTCTCATGCAAAAGTTTTAAATGCCACTTCATACTATACAATGCCCACATCAATTTATTCTGTTTTATTTGATGAATTAAGTGATCATTTTTTTAACTGTTTATATTGTTAGTATATATAACCACTTTTGGAAAAGTGCAATCCAAACTTAATTCATCATTTGCCTGAGTTCTAATCGTTTATTTGAAAAGTAACTCAAATAGGAACAGTGAAACTACCTAGATTAAAACAACTACAACCGCTATCTAAGTTTTAACTAAAGCCAGAAAAATTTTTAAACAAAGGATCAGTTCATATTATTTTGAATGGTATGGATATATTGTACTGCAACTACATATATCCGAACTACTTAGAAATAGATAAAAGATACATTATCGATACTCTTACTTTTACAAAGACCAATGATCAGTGTTATTCAAATCTACGTTGATATCCAGCTCTATGAGTACCTATTGTGAGAAGTGAGAAACATTTTATCATCTGGAAATACATGTAGCACTAGCACATGCAAGTAGTGGCTACTCACTATCTCTGCAGAAATCTCACAGTATTCCCAAATGTTGGAAAAATACGGAACACAACACTAACAATAATATATTATACAAAAATTTTGGCTTTCTTATATTGGTAATCGTATGTATTATTTTATTAAAGAAGACTTTAAAAAAATTAGTAAGCAGCATTTGGTTGGCATAGAAATCAAGAGATTCCGCTGGCTCCGGTGCAAGCAGAAAGCATGCCGCGTTCTTCGTGACGTAGATTTGTCCTTGGTATCTTTATTGTTGTTGTCGGTAACATTGAAACGAGCTTGGTCGTCTGTAAAGGAGACGATCAAAGAATGGTAGAAGATTCGGTCAATTTTAAAGCACTGTAATCTTTTTTTATGCTTGATTTTTAGATCAGTGTGAACTACAACCAACAACAACAGACATAAATTCGTGGCTTCAAGAGAGTCCGAGTCTTCGTCATGGAATCACTCGTCTCTTTAGACAATCAAGTGCAAATCACCGCTCCTATCATAGATTACAATAATATCAACAATAGACGTAAACCTATGTATTCAAGAGAGACCGAGTCTTCGTCATGGCATCACTAGTCTTTTTAGGCAATTGAGTGTCACTCAAAACAACAGCAACAACAAGAGACGTACATCTGTAAATTTTGGAGTATTGATAAGCTTAAACTGAAGTTACTACATAGAGAGCTACGTTTTATATACTGGTATATATTAAAATATTAGAGTCCTTATTTATTGCTTACTTAAAACCAGAATAATTATATTATTTCTTCATTAAGTTTGTGAAACCGCTTGAGAGTTTTTATTAGTTTGCAAAATTTATTTTAAATTTTGGGGTTCGTTGACATGGAATAATAGATGTATCAGCCACACCACTGTACAGCATTTAAAGGGACTGGGCAACAAAATAACTACGTTATTCAATAAAAAGTTACGCAGTTGGCAGATGTAAGAGTTTAAATAAACAACCAGAAGTGAGAAATTGTATTATCCTTCAAACTGTGAGATAAGCACTTTGAGACGTCTAAATAGATGGGCTCTATAATATATATACATATACATATATATATAAATAAATAAATGAAACAAAAAAAAAACATAAAGAATAGACGCAGAGGAAAATCGACTAGTTCTATCATCGCGAAGATAAACAACCTATATAGTTATTCTTACACTACCTTTCGTCTCCTTATTTCTATACTCCTTAAAGGTTTACGACCTTATTAAAATATATACTGGAGCATGGTTTTTATTCACGACATTTGACGTCATGCAATAAAACGTCGGTGGTTTCCTTATACTTTTGATTTATTTTTTACTATTATTGGCTCTTTCAGACCTATTCAGTTTGCCTTTTGTTCCTGTCTAACTTTGCTATTACACTAGGTAGTTACATGGTTACATGGTTACATTTATACGTCTGGCCCACGAACTTTGTAAGGTTGTGAGCTATTATGTACTGTGGAAGACGCAAGTTTTCGGTGATTCATGGCTTGACTTCAATGAAAGCATTTCAGTCAGCGAATTTAGATACGAATATGTTAGCAGCATTAAAATTGACCAACAAATTGTCATATTACTTCCACAATTATTCACATTTGCATTATCCAACTAAATTATTTATACACATAAAGCGATACATAGAAGTGAGAAATACAGACATTCAGACATTCGTGGTGAACAAAAAAAAAAAAAAACAAAAACATATTTAAGTTCTTAAAATTTTGGGTAAGAGTCACATGAACGGCTTTGGCAATTCGTTGCTGCCACTGCTGACTGCTGACTGCTGCTGCTTGGGAGGCAGACAGATTGGTAAATAGTCAGACACAATAGTAGAAACTTGATATATTGTTGTTGTTCTAAATATGCATACACGCCATTTAATTGGAGTATGGGAGTAGGGAAATAATAATGTAAGGATGTTGGAACATGCGCACTCATTTTCCGACCCAGTCCGCTGTTTCTTTTATGTTTTGGCTGCATTTGGTAATGCAGACAGAACTACTGCACCACTGCAAAAATTAAAAATCAATGCACCAAAGTTGTTAACATCCACACTTCAAATATTGCTTCGACGAACTGGGGGAGTGCGAAGTTCTTTCAAAATTTGGGTATGGTCAAGAACATCACTTGTCTAAGTTTGCAGACAGAAAACTCAAAGTTGTAAAATATGATGGTTGGGTTAATTCATAAAAAAATTCTGATAATCACTCTAAGCATGAACTGGTTGATTTTGTCTATATAAAATTAGTAAAAAATTATTCTTGTTTAACCAAAATAGCTATAAAGCTACATATATATACAAACGGTTCCAAAGAGTGAAGGGAAAATTTAAAGTGGCGTCATCTAAACACTTGCGAAAGTAATAGCAGTCCGACATAACATTAGTTTGCATCTAGTTTTACAGACGTAGATACATTCTCTCTTTTTCATTCAAATAAAAATATTAATAAAATAGTCTTCTAATTAAAAGGTCACTTTAACTCAGCGACCAGAAATTGGTGAACAGAATTCAAGCGCTGACTTCAAGCTTTTTAAGTAAAACATAGGGCAATTTGTCACAAACCAACACAAATATAATACTTTGTCACCTGAGTAGTTTCAATAGTTTTCTTTTGGCAGTCTGCTTAATTTTTCGACACCGTACTTGATGTCGAATGTAACCACGACAAAAGCATTTATTCTTCTGCATACATATTGTTGAACCAGGATAGCTCTACAGCTGCAGACTTTGTTGTGAGGAAGAGGAGGAACAAGCAAAGAGCAGAACACATTCTATGTCACTGTGATAGTCGCGCCAGATTCAGACTTCGGTACTTATCAACTGCCTATCCACTTATAACGGAATTAGACAACATCTCTTCAAAGGATATAATGGCGTTTCTAACTGTTACTCGTCTATGGAACTAAAGTGGTTTTGTGAAAAAATTCTCAAAAGATGCAACGACATGCTGACAAGTTCCAAACCCATTTAAAATCTATCTATCTATAATTACTATTATTTGAAATAAGGATTACGAGATTTTACTAAATTGCAATTCTAGAGTGGACAAAATGTTTATTATAAAAGTGCTGAGCAAGTGAAATACCACAATTATTAAATAACGAACCATGTACCTTCAAAAGGAACGGTAAACAAAAGGAAAATAATGGTCTCATAGACTTTGTTGTTCTAGTGATCAGTATCATTCGAACGTTCTAGCCAACGAAGCGATTGTAATAGAAGTGATGTGAGAAACTTTAGAACCCCTGGCACTGTGGTACTTTTAAGTACATAATTAGTGACTAGTGTCAGGTAGAAAAGTGGTTAATGATAAAATTGAACACAATAATTTATTTTTAAGTGAATTTATGAACTTAAACCTTAAACCCCATATTATGTAAAACACAGAATTATATCTAAAACGATATACGTTGTCAACAACAATACATATTCTATTTACTATTTTTAGAACAAACGCATAAGCCACAGTTATATAATGACACTCAATTATTCTAACTTCTGTTTCTAAATTTCTCTAATTATTTCTTTTTATATCTTATATATTATATATGTTATATGTCTGTGTAAGGAGTTTGATGCTATCGATTTATAATAGTCTGTAACACCGACTATATAATAGTCAGAAACAGTCGCTGACCACAGTGAGTAAAAACGTCGAAATGTAATTTAACAAGTACATTTTAAAAGCACAATTGCCGGGTTATTATAATCCAAAGAATAGAACTACACTGAAAGCCGCTTACTACTGTAACCAGTGATTGTCTATTAATGGCTCCAAGAGCTGCCAAAACTAAGTCACGCTGCCACAAGTTAAGTTTAACGACTAGGTACCGTTCGTCACATTCAAACTGGACTACACAAGCAGATCCCTGTGGGTTACAAAAACAACAACATATTGTTTATTTAATCGTGCGTTGGGCTTGAATTCCAGATATTATTTGTCATTTTGCAAAAAGTATAAGTTTATACTATTTTAATTAAATAAATAATCTTCAAAAAGTATAATAGCTCAATCATACCAGTTCAGATGTTAGTAGCAGTAGTAATGACTTTACAACATAAAACAAAGTATAAATCTTAACGATTGTTAAAAGTTGTTGTTGTTGTTGTTGCCCGAGGAGATCTGTTTGTAAGGGATCCCTATGTAACATCCTATTTGGTACACAGCATATGGAAATGTGGTTCGATTAAATTTATAGTTTGTTATTTTTGAACATGTAGTGAAGATAACAAAAACATACCTTGCTAAAGTACCCCACTGTATGACAACCATCCATATCAGCCAATGTCATTATATAGAATAAAAATGGTTCGACATCATAATAAAGCGTTTTGTGATCCAGAAAAAATTTTGCTAACAAGCAAAGATGCTGACAATACTGTTTGTGCTTTTTGCCATCCACTTGCCACACTTGAAGTTTTCCTTTTCGATATATTTCATCGCCAGGTGGATGTCGCCATACACATTTTTGTGCATGACGCTTAATGCACGTTTCAGACTTTTGATAACGTAAACAGAATTCACAAATATACATTTTGGATAAGGAAGCAGTATCGTCAGGATATGGGGATTGATACCAAACTTCCATCTTATATTTTCCCATCGTTATATATCTAAAAAGTAATGTAAATTAATAAATAACTAAGAAAAAACTTTAAAATAAAAAGTCATATCTACTTTATGCCTTTTCCCAATGGTAAGTCTTTGAGTTCTTCCTCAATTTTAACTGAAGCAATTGATTGCGCTTCACGGAACATTGCTATATCATAATCAGGTGCAATCCCAATTAGTTTAGGTTCACGATCTTCATCTGCATAATACTTTTCTGTTTTCACTTTTTCGCTATTAATCACCGTAGACAATGGTCGAAAGTTTGCTCGTGATTCCTTGATTTTTGCAAGAAATTCTGTTTGTTCAGGAGTCAATACTTTCACTGTATCGTCTGTACTGGTTGGTGGGGCTGCAACTGTTGATGTATCTGTTGTAGTAGTTGTTGCAGTAACTACTGCAGTGGCTGTTGTCAAACTATTTATTAGCTTTTGTCGCTGTTCCTCAAGCACTTTACGTTCATTGGCTTGTGCAATGCATTCAGCTGCAGTTAAGTTGTGATAAATAGGACACGCTTCAGGTAGAAAATGTCGTTCTAGTAATCCACTTAAATGTCCAGATGAGTCACAACCTTCTACTGAGCACTTACGTTCCACCTTTTGTAATGGTGAAAATGACTGTGGCTTCGAATGTGTTAGTGTTGGGAAAATTTCCTTTTTTACGTTAGTCTTATTGCTGGAGCTTAAAGTCATACCAGGTTTCTTTGTTGGGCTTGTCGATTGAGATCGCTTAACTGCACCAATTTCAGTCACATCATCTGAATCACTTTCATAATAAACGGGAGGATTAACGACAGGATTTTTGACTTGTTGTTGTGAGTGTCTCGAGCTTAAAGAGCGGGTCAACTTGCGAGTTGTTGTTTCTTGTACCTCAGTTGCAGCATCTTCAGAATCTGAATGTGATATTTTAGTTGATGTAGCTGCCCGTTTATATTTTGTTATCTCTGACATAAACGAATTGCTTGAATCACTCGAATCAGAATCGCTAGTTGTAGTTGTGTCATCACCGGTCAGCGAACCACTTTCAGATTCCGACTCTTCAGAGCTCTTCTGCTGCTGCACCAAAAAGTTTTTACTTATAAGGTTTTTCTTAGGCTGAGGCATTACACGCGCATTTTGACACCCTTTAGTATCATTCGTATTGGAAACCATCATTTGTGTTTTCTGCGCTACTGGTTTTTTAATTTGAATTTCTTTATCATTCGGACTAGATGGGCTGTCTTTGACTGGTTTTTCAGCACTGACATTAGGTGGTAATACGTTCGAACTTTGGGTATGTAGAGATTCTTCTGTTTCATTTACATTGCTTACATCGGCACATACCTGTTTGTTTACATTGTTCCCTTTAGCTATTTGTGATTTTGTATTTGAATTTTTTGGCTGTTGTTTTGATGCAGAAGGAGATGTTTTATAAGCAGCTGCCTTATGTGAGTGCATGGCTAATATTGGATTTGGGTACACCTTCTTCCTTTGGGCAGCAGCTGCTATGTTAAGTGCAGAAGGTCGCGTAGATTTTTTTGGTGGCGGAATATCATCTTCACTGGATATTGTATCTAAACGTGAAAACCGATTATTAACTCCGTGATTGATACGTGATTTGGATGCCAACGCATATCTCTCAGAATCAGTTAATTTTGCCGCAGATTTAAAATCAGAATTTTTGCGATGCGTGTTCGAATTAGATTTTACGTTGTTGTTGAATACTTTGGTCTTATCTTCACCAGAACTGCTAGACTCAGACTCGGACGAACTACTTCCAGTTTCCGAGCAACTAGAACTCCCACTTGTAGAGCTGCTGCCTGAAGAGGAGCTCGAACTTGTACTAGTTGTACTCTAGATGATCAAATACGTGAAACACAACATATTTAGTGCTTTTTATATACATATAATTTGTTTAAAAACTAACTAACCTTTTTATCTATTGTTGACATCAGAATAAATAATATTTATCAATATGCCCCTTGTACTGATCTAAATAATAGGTTTTTATTTTTTATATTCTTTTCAGATGTGATGTGTGCGTAAAATAATGTAAGATAAACGATGTAAAATGTTTGTAAACACCGAAATTTGTTTTCGCTTTGACATTTGAGTAAATTGACAGATTCATATGGTCAGGGTTTACAAGCTTGGTTAAGACCCTAACATCTGGAGTAAAACAGTTGCACATAGACGAATTGTCCCATTATGTAAATTTGAGTTGTAATTTGAGTTTATGAATTTTTCGTTATGAAACATAAATGTAGCTAACATACTTACTTTTTTGTAAACATTTATTGATAAAATGATAATTACAACAAACTCTGTTGTAAGATAAAATAAGCTCAATTGTACAGAGTATAAACAAACCTCTAAAATTTTTCTATTATTTGTTATGATTCGAAAACGCGATAAATTAATATTCCAACAATACAAGTTTAGTCTGATAAATAAACAGCTTACATATAAAGAAATGTAAACTCATTGTTCAATGTCATCAATAGTATCAGCTTATATAACGATTTTTCTGAGTTTACGTTATAAAGCAATACTAATTAAATGTTTATAGGACATATATACCGTTTCATATAGGCGGTTTTGCTCAGCAAGCTTTCATCAGTGATTTGACATTTTAACAGCTAAATAAATCACCACAAACTTAGCATGCTAAATAAAAATCGTGTAGACACTTGTTAAGATTAAGAATTAAGAAATTCTTATCGGAATAATTTAGAACGTTCTCATATCTATTAAAGTAGTGTGCACAGTGATAAATTTCTTTCCTTCAAACACACTTTTTGTTAATAAATGAAGCAAAGTTATTTGAAGTAGAAATGAAAATTATTATTGGAATCAAAGATATAATGTTGATAAAACAAGCTTCTGAAAGTTTCTATAGTTGGATTGTAGAAAGTTCTCACTGCATTAATCCTTTTCACATATTTTAGTTTATATAGTATCGTTTTAGTTTCTATTTAAATCGTTTCATTTTTAAATAAACGAAATATGCCAGTGTGAATAAATTAGTAAACATGCTTTATGTGTCAGTTTGAACAGCACTTAAATATAGTATGTAAGAATAATATATTCTAAGAACTTAAATTATTATTAAATTATTAATATTAATTTTTTATATTATTTAGCATTTAGAGCATTTAATATATGTTAATTTTGCAAAAAGTGCTGACTCACGTTCGATATGGGGCAAGAGTGTTCATTGTTTAAGTTATTTCTTCATTACATAGGCTTGGCAACTCTACTTTCTTTTACCAGTTTTGTCCTAGTTTTTTATTTGAAGGCACACAGCTGCTGTAGTATTTATTAAGAACTTGGAAAGTAAAGTGGAGAGGAAAGTAGTTAGGAAATTAATAGCTAAAATTGTATTAAAATAGTTGCATATAAAATCGTCTACAAATGACAACATTATTATCGATTTATAAGTGGATTTAAAATATTTCGAAATCACATTTGGGTTGATGACATTGCTTGAATTCGACTTTTATACATTTTATAGGTTATGATAATATTTTTCATTAATTATGTTGAAGATAAATTTATTGGGAACCTTGGTTTTGATCTCAATTCTCTGTAATATAACTGGCGGTCACGTGGTTAGCGCGTCATCTTTTGATGAAAATGAGTTTGCTGACTTTGAAGATTTTGATGCTGATGATGATTTCATTGAACTACCGGTCGCTACTCCTGCGACAACAGCTAAAATGGAAGATAACGTAGTTCAAATTAATAACAACAAAGTTGACAATGATGCACCAGCAATAGAAGCAGACGAAGAGAAGAAATATTTTGATACGGAAGATGGTACTGTGGAGGATGACGATAGTGAATTTGAACATTTTCAAGATGAGGAAGAATTTGAGGGTTTCGATGGAAATGACAGGCGGGAACCGCCTTCGGATCATAAGACTGAACCTAAACTAACTGTTGCTAAAATACCAATGCATTTTCGGTAAATTGTAAATATTCAAAAGTAATGCATGACATTAATTTATTTTTTGCATTCGCAGTAGTCATTGGGATTCTTATTGGATGGAAATGCTAATGTTGGCGGGACTTCTGGCTTATTTCGCTAACTTCTTTGCGGGTAAATCAAAAAATGCTAGACTTGCTCAACAATGGTTTTCTACTCATAAAAGTTTACTTGAGGACAACTTTGTACTCGTCGGTAAGTAAATGTGTTCTTTATTACTTGATCCAATGAACTCATAAGAGTTTTTAGTTCTAATAATCCAAATCAAATTTTAATCTATTGAAAAAAATTTTGCATTTATAAGAAAGTAAAGTAATTGAAAAGTAAAATTGAACATTTTTGAAATCATATGACTTGTTATATTTATGTTATAATGGGCCAATCAATTCAAAAGCAAGCTAATTTTTAGATTTTTAATTTTCATTTAAAAGGATGAAATTCGTTTAATTATAAACAATTTGGTTTTCGTTTTTAAGGTGACGATGGTAAAATTGAGAATGAAAATCCTGGTCTTATAAAAGAGAGCGAAAGCTTGTACACGTTATGGTGTTCTGGACGTACCTGCTGTGAAGGTATGTTAGTTGAACTGAAGATGATCAAAAGACAGGATTTAGTTGCACTAGTTGCGGGTCTTATGCGTCCACAACAAGATCAAGTGCATATAAAAGTGCAACTTTCTCGGAGTATAGTTGATGGTTTTGTCTTCTGTGTAGGATCGAAAAAAACTGTTACCAAGTTTTTTAAGGAATATGCAGACTTGGTAAAATTTTTAAAATTTCTTTTGATGTAAAAAAATTATTTTTTTTTCTCCAATAGAACAAGTACTGCACCCTAGTCAGTAAGCCAGAAGATCGGTACAATATGCCGAGTGGATTTAGCGTACTTTCTGAAATACCAGAAGCAACTTCAGCCGTGCTGGAGTCGCGTGTAGTTTCTGCTTTAAATAAATATCAATCATATATTGATTATATACATATATCGGATCAATTTAGCGGTCCGATTCAACAGGAAGATGCAAACAATTTGAAGCAGCCTGAGACGAAAAGCATGTTAATGGCTGGATTCAATTTACCAACAAACGTTGAAATGGAGACTGTTAAACCTTTACTTATACTTATATTTTATTTAATGGAACGTTTAAAAGTTTATCGCATGTCAAAGGAGGTACGTTTTTTTTTGTATTTTTTGGTTTCTTAAATATATTTATATTTTCCTTCTCAGGGTAAAGGTAAGGCCGACAAAAACCGTTTACGCGTGGAAGAGGAGTTTCTTAAAAGCACTCACGCTGCTCGTGCTGAAGCTGCTGCCCAACGTCGTGAAGACAAACGCAAACTAGAGAAGGAGCGCGTATTAGCGGAGGACGATCCTGAAAAGCAGCGTCGGTGGGAACTAAAAGAACAAAAGCGCCAAGCGAAAAAAAATGGTCCAAAAATGAAACGTTTAGCAGTTAAGACCGTTTAAGCTTTTAGCTCAAAAGTTATTGTTCAAATGGGTATTTTTTTATCATTTTGTCTTTAAAATGTAAATATGTACCTTGGAGATATTCAAGTTAAAAAGTTAAAATAAACTAGTGCCAGCTAATAAGCTAAAAATGTAAGTTTATATTTAACACAACACGAATCTCTTATTCTATAATTTTATATTTATTATTAACTACATCATCACTTCACTATACCAAGCAAATGTCTTAACGGATTGTAGATCTATCATAATTACAACAACAACAGCTATATATTTCGTAAGTGTTTGAATTTGAAACTATAGCCAATAGAGTAATTAACAAAACTTAAAATAAAGTTATATACGAGTCACCTCCGCCATGCACTGCGATATCTAATATATTTTTTGCTAAAGTACTACCGTGGTTATGTACAAATTATTCCAACGTTTTCATCTACTTTTTCACTATCTATCTTAATCTAATGACTGACAATGATAAATATAAACGTACACTGTCCTCTTTTAAGGTCTATTCAATCGTCAAACTCTGATGGGGTCGTGTCTGCCAATCTGTAACTTTTCTACTACCTTTTATTATATACAACTTTTTTCTGTATTCCTTGATCTACTTTCAGACTATGTGACTCCATGAGTGTTTTAGTTGTATATTGTTGTCCACATCGTCTTTGAGAATTACGGGACTCCAATAAATTGTCTGGTGACCTACCGATGGTGTTGTTGTTGTAATAAAGATGGATCCCGTAAAAGATTCGGAAGAGAAACAAAAAGACAATGGAGGGATGTGTGAGAGTTAGTGATGATAGATTATAATACTAATAACCAGAGACACCTCTGTCCTATAAAGTTAAACAAACCTTGCAACCTTAATGGGACAAAGTCATTAATCAATAGCATTCAGTGACAGTTGGCCAGAAGCGGCTGAAGCGGGGTTTCTTCCCGGAGCCGCTTGTTTACACAAACGTCTAAGTACCACTTCCCTTCTCAACAGCAACAATACCAAAAACATGCTTGTTCGTCTAACACAAATGGCTTCGCAGCGTGATCGGAAAATCAAATACAGAAATCTTGCCACCTATATTTGAGCGAAGTCATCAGTTGTTGTCGTCGCCCGCGGGGATCTACTAAAATCTCTTTGGGGAATGGGAAACGGCACTTATTGGTCGAGCTTGTTGAGTGGCTCCGGGACGTAGGCCGAATCTAGAATAAAAAAAGTTCCCATGGTTCTAGGACATTGCTTGGAACTAACCAAGCATGATGAGCTTTTTGCTACACTGGAATTTGTCTGTCCGTCCCTGTCTTGTCATTAAATAAATTCGTACATTAAAACACATTTTTGATTTGATACGCAATTTATGTTGAATATATTAGGAATCATATATATATATAGAAAAAATGACTCTAGCAAATTGAATCTCATTTTTTTTCTTCACAATATTATCAAGGAACTTTTACTTTTAATTTTTTACTACAAATTTTATGGGGAAACCCTATTGAAAACATCTTACAATAAAACAATAATCATCAATTACGCATTTTTATACTTCATTAGATATTCCATGGCCTGTCCTAGTGTCAATTGGATTTCATAGTGTGTGCGTTGAATAGATCGGCTGCGTAGTAATAGTTTAGAAAATATTTATTCGGCTTAATCATTTAATTAGACTGCATAAATATTTTTTAAACTATTTCTCTATTTTCACACTGGGAAATCCAAAGAAACTAGCAGTCGTGGAAGAAGAAATGAAGAAAGGATACACAGGTTATGTAAACTGAGAAAGCGTGGCTTGGAACATAGAATTAGGCAGATTCGTTAACAACACGGTTGTTGTTTCGAACATTCCCGCCGGACATCGAATAGATATGTCTGCGAAGTACACGTATGTGTTTCTGTGAAACTTCGAAATTATGTACCAATGTATTAAGCTGGGTCTGTAACTCGGCAATTAGGCTGTCACGTTCCTGTATCAGACTTGTTGTGGAATTTTGACTGCGACTGAGTTTCAGTTCAAGCTCGAACACGCGCTTCTGGAGTTCACGCCTTTGTTTGTCACTTTGTTCGCGTTGTCGGGACAGTGTACGTTTGCTGGCAGTCTGAACATTTTCCAACTGATCTTTCAGTTTTTGCAGTTCGTCATTTAGTTTCATTTTCTCGTGCTTCAACGCCGTATTGTAGTTCTTGAATATCTTCAAATCACGTTCAGCAGCTTTTAATCGGTTAATCGTCATAGTTTTACGTCGGCCCAGCTCCTCAATTTTTAATTTGAGTTGACTTGCTTCATTTTGTACTGACCGCAAACGTTCTGCCAGTAGACTATTCTCCTTTGAAACCTTATCGTACTTTGATTGCTCTTCGCGCATCATTTGTGGCAAATGTGCCACGTCTCTTAACTTACTATCGATTTTGCTACGCAGTTGGTCAATGCCGGACGTGATCTCCGCTTCGAGTTGTTGATTGTTAGAATTAAGCTTCTCGATTTCATGTTGTTGTGTCTGCATAATATGCTGTGCTTTGATACATCTGGAATGGTAGTCATGTAGGCAGCTCTGCTGTTGTTGGATTATATTGCGAAATTGCTGCTGCTCGCTCTGTAGACTCGCTATTGTGTTTTGTAGTTCTTTCAGATCTACCGACTTATTGAAAGTCTGAGTTTTTTGGTTTGTATCAAGTACATTTTTCAAAACCTTGTAAATATCTTTCAGACCTGCCGATCGATTGGGATGGCGAGCATGCATATTCGTGTTGTCAATTAGCGGTGGATGTTCGTTTTCCTTGTTCTCCGTCTTACGTTTGTTTATACGCTTCTGGTAAACAGATTGATTACTGTTTCGGATCGCAAAATCTGACTGTGTTGGGGGAGTGGCATTGTGATTTTTGCGTTTCTTGCGCAAATTATCATTCTCTGGAATAGACTTTGAGTTATATCCTTTTTCGATGTTCTCATTTGACGATGTATTTGTGGGTAGCATTGTCATAAAGCTGCTTCCCCTATGAAAAACCTGAGTATATTTTCGTTTTAAGGAATACTCTGAACCTGTACTACTACTGCTATCCAAATAGGCTTCATTCTCGTTTGAAGACTTTCTGCGGTTGGCTACGAAGCGATCGTGTTTCTGCTGCATTTCGTTAAGTTCAAAATTTATTTTTAAGTACTTCTCTTCCAAGTCCTTTGTAGTGTTGTTGTATTCTTTAAGTTCTTTCTTGTATTTGGAGAGTTCAGCTTTTAGCTTTGATCCCATTTCACCGTGTTTACCCAATTTGCGCTTTGGACTGGGACAGAAATTCTGCTCTAGAGAATTACTAGCATCGCTTTGACAATTCTGAATCATATGAAGTTCGTTCTGATCCTGACTAGTTTTGTCAAAGTGATCTACAGTTTGTCGAGTTTTATAACTTAAATTTTGGAAACTTGAATTTTTTGAATTGCAATGCAAATTTTCAACCGTTGCCGGAATGTCGCCGCCGGATGCGCAAGTAGGACGTCCTATGTTGTATAAATTATGCGGATGCCGTTCGATGCATTCCTCAGATTTCGCATTATGTTTTTGCGCAAACTCCGAAGTTGCACCTTTACGCTCCATTTATGACATCGACGGCAACTTTTACGGCAGAAGAAGCCTAAGTCGAATAGCTTTTTTTTTTCAATTTAGAACCTTGACACTCTTCGAACCGATTTTTTGAAAGTTCTATTTACCAACAAAAAATTTTAGTCAACTTTTCTAAGGAAATCCAAACAGAAAACAAAAAACCAAATAATTTCAAGAGGGACGACAAAATATTTTACAATAGAAAATTCTATAAAATTTTAACAGAAATATTGACTTTTTGAAGTTTCTCAATAATTTTTTTTTTTGGTATAACGATTGTTCAATATATAAATAAAATGGATATGTAGTTTTGGTAAATATGGACACTTTAAAAAGGGTTGCTTTTAAAAAAATCCCTTTGCAATCATTAATTTTTATAAGTCATCTTTTTATGGTAGTTGAAAATCATTGAAAGTCACAGTTTGAGTCTTTATGAGAGACTCAAGTGCTGGGTATGCCCGTCCAATAATTAAAGACAAAAGTTGATGAAAAAAATATCAGTGGTTTAGGGGTGGGAGTTATTGTAAGGATCACAATTAGCTTATTAGGAACAGACTCAAACCTATGGTTGAAGTTGATAGGGGTAATGCTAAAGAAGGTGATGTTAATTGTGAAAATTACAGAGACGTTATTAAATACGGACTTTATGGTCGGCATCTCAATGCCTGTGGTTGTAGGCAAAAATAATGGGAGTATTGATGGTAGGGTGGATTAAATGTGAGAACTAAGAAGCTTTTTAGGTGCAGACTCTATGAATGGTATTGCTAAACTCGCGTTTATATTTGTCCTATTCGGGATAAATGATATTAAGGGAGCTGCGTCCCAAATTTTTATTTGCATCTCAGTCCGATCTTATTATAAAATTGATTTTACAAGTAGCTGTATACCAATATCCTTTTTGGCGTTATGGCTTAGACCACAGTAGTGTTGCACCCAAATCAAGTGGAATGTAGCTAATGGGATTAATAACGAGAGGAGGGTCATGTATCAGACGTACACAAATAAGTTAGTATTCCTCGGTTTGAGTAATTTAAGTATTGATATTGAAGAAGGAATTGTAAAAGCGTTTGTAATTAGGCTTGTACTTTAAATTAATGCAATCGTAAAAGACTGCGCTTAAATAGACGGAATTTTTATGCCTGAACAAAGCGTATTGTGGGCTATGTAGGTGATGCGTACGTGAGAAGAGTCGAAGTGAGAAGAGGGTTTAAGTTAATCTGACTTTTAAATGTGTAGGCTGTTTTTGTGTGCGATATACTAGAAAGTGACCTAGCTAAATGATATAGGTATCAATCAATAAGTATGGAAACTTGTAAAGTGGTATTGCCGTTGATAAGTAGAGCTATATCAGTATGGAATTTCTTTGTTAGGAAAAAGTGTAATGTGCCATTACTTATAAGAATAAATAAAAAGTAATTTGATCACTAAGCACAATATCGTAGAGACAGCTAAATTATTTTGAACGTTTTTTTTTATTCAAAAATGCTTCCATATGAAAGCAAGAACAAGCATATGAAACATCTGGATGGATTTATAGCAAGTAGTAAATTCTTCTTCTGTTCACAGAAAAACCACTACAGGGGGAACAATCATTTCATTAATTCCATCCGGCGTCATTAATATTGCACCAAAGTTTTGATAGATTATTTTGAATCTCTAAAACGCCAGTACTTACATATCTTAACTGAATAGAGTTTACCATTAGTGACACAACGTTTTTGAAGAACACCTCATATGCGTCACTCAATTCTTTTAAATCGAATTACGCATACGTTGAATGGGGTGTACGGAATATAAAAACATCCATTCGAGAACTACAAACAAATACTTTCAAGTGGTCAGAATTTATGATAGATTATGGAGTTATCGTCAATGTTACAATACTCGTTGATGTCTCTGGAACACTTTATGGTTCTTAGTGCTTCATTGCTCAGTGAATAATTTGTCTAATGTTGAAGAAAAATCAGAAATGCAAATTAATGATAGAAAATTATTCGTGTACCCCCTTGGGGCAAGCAGAAAATTAAATTTTTTTAAACATTGATTATATGGGTTGTACGGGAGATCGGGGCACACGTTCAAGGAAATAATCAAATTCGTACAAATTAATTTATAAACAAATTTGTTTGGCGTGTATTGCAGTTTGCGTATCTACTTGCTTATGTAAACAGTGGGGATGCTTTAATGATCTCAGCGTGATATTGGAATGGAGAAGATGGAAAGCACACCTCAACTCAACACATAAATTTACTAAATTTAGAAAAGCGGCCGATGAAAAACTTTTCAATGAGAAAGCAGAAGTGTGAAACCCGCAAGTGTTTGGTGCAGTGCTGCTTCCAAATTGTGCGGCTGGGTAAAGTGTGCGAGGTTGAAAAATTCACTAGCCAACCAACACAAACACATATGGCCAAATTTCTAGTAAAAGCCTCTGCCGGAATTATACAGATCCATCACAATTATGCTTCGATAAGCAAATATTTCGAACTTTAGGCAAAAAGCTTTCTCGGTTTTTGTTTTTTAGTGCAAATGACGGAAATACTGTAAAAAAAGTATGCGTACTGAAGATGCTGAAGATGGGGGTGGGGAGGCTATTTAGGAATTGGCCGTTGCCCACTCATGGTTTTGTGAGATGAAAATGCTAAGATTTGGTGTGAAATTTTTTCGTATGTTTTCTTTAGGAAACAAATTTTGTTTAAAGTTTTCAGTTTGATTTTGAAATTTGTGCGATAATCGTGCAACTAAACGGGAGCAAATGTGAGAGCTGACTCATGCTTGAGTTCCAGCAACATTTTCAGCAGATACGTCAACAACCGAAGCGACGGCGGTGCAATTATGAAGGCCACTTACACTTACAATTCCGAGTCTTTCTATGCGTTGTTATATTTGCTTTAGGGGTGGGTGCGGGCGCGGGTGCGAGTGCGGATGAGAGTGCTGCCGGAATATTTGATGAAAATTGCTGGAGCAATAGTACGGACTGTAGGATAGCGGCAACTATAAGGTCTTCGGTAGCTGCAGAACAGATAATTAATTTGAATTGTGATATTGGTAGCTATGAGGAGCCTTTTGAACAGATTAATCAATGGAACCAAATAGACGGTGCAAAGAATGTGACATTCAATGGTTGTAACAGTTCACTTGGTAGTAATTCGGTTGGATTTGAGTTATTGCCCGATTGTAATGCGATTTCTGAAGCAACTTTTATAAAATTTCATGTGGATGCTCTGCAGAGTGTACACTGTGCCAACTCTTTAGCAGTGGATGTGCAATTAAAAGTGTTGGTTTTGAAACATAATGAGATTGGTACTATCGACGGAACTGCCTTTACCAACCTAACGAACTTGCAAGAAGTTTACTTAGTAGATAATTCATTACATCACATTGATCCTGCAGCTTTTTCTCGCCAGAGTCTACAGTTTCTTCATCTGATTCATATACAAGAAGAACCATTCTTAATTGTAAGAGATGCCCATCTCTTCGAGAACACTTCCGCTTCTAGTATCTACATTTTTTGCATCAAACGTTTAAATGTGGAGGTATTAACGCATTTAACGACAGCTTTAGAAAATTTGTATATTTCAGACACAGCCCTGAATGACGTAGAAGAAAATGTCGCTGAAGTGCTTAATCCTCTACAACTTCGAAATATTTCACTTGTTAACTGTGCTCTGAAAACGTTGGTTTTACGCGATGCTCATTGTAGTGTCACGGCACTCGACATAAGTAAAAATAATATAGAGAAGTTCAGCACAAATTGTGTCTGCGATTCCGAGTCCGAGTCTACCAGCTGTGCTTTGGAGATTTTGGATTTGAGTGAAAACTCATTGAAAAGTATTGACATGGACTGGTTTGTTGCGTTAAGTAATTTGAAGTTGCTTTCCCTACGCGGCAATATGCTCAAAAGCATATCATTAGATCAATTTGTCTCGGTGTTGCCTTCCGTTAGATCAATAGATTTGCGTGCCAACCAAATGGTCGGTTTCAAAGATATAACACAACATTTGAATTGTGATTATTTGCGCATACGGATTGATCATAATCCTTGGAACTGTGTGTGGATGTCGACGTTTGCACACGAGCACCCAGAGAAGTTTCGTATCTTTCAGTATAATAAATACATATCGAAAATTAATGTGAACGGTCTCGAATGCAGTGCGGAACAACTACCAGATGATATTTTTCCAAATGATGTAAAGTCATTTGAGAACGTCAGTGCTGATGGAAAGATCAAGACGGACGGGAATTTAAATATTTCAACGTACACACTTATTTATGGGAATCCATGGGATTTGAAACGGAACCAACGTGCAGAAGCCTTGATAATTGTCTTCTTGCTACCAGTTGGTATAGCATTTTTATTTTTATTATTATATATGTGGATACATTGTCAAAAAATTTTTCATCTCTCATACTACCGTTCAAATCCACTTATTGGTAGTTGCACAGCAGGACGTGCAGCAGAGCGATTTGATATAGTGCGTCAATTGCCGCCTTCAACTGGTACTTATGGCACAGCTGCTAATAATAACGAGGATTATGAAATTCCGCTTAATTCCTTCTGCAATTGTAACAATGCAACTAGAGAAAATCACAAATGCTTCCTCGTCAATCATGCCACATACGAAAATCCACCGATAGATCAGCCATTTAAGTTGTACGAAGAAATAAACGAAGAGGAGGGCAATATGGAAACCATCAACTCAGATGTACCGCCAAATGAGCAACCACTTGAAGGTACAGCTGTGCATCCATTGTATGATCATTTATCCTTTTCAATGTGATTGTGAATCAAGCGTATAACGCTTTTAATCCACTTAACTCTATACGTTCGATATGATGAAATGTTCTGTTGCAGAAGTTCTGTGATGAGCTGCAATGATAACCTGTAATCGATTTAGATTTAAAATAAGCTGAGAGCTCTAACCATACTCGGTGCAATTATTTCAAAGTTTAGCTAGCATATCTCAAGCTAAATGGACAAAGGCTTGAGTCATTTTAACCCACTTAAGTAAGCAAGTGAATATATTTATTATTATTTTACGACTACTTATTTTACGATACTTCGAGAGAGTATTTTTACTTGTAATTTTTCACAAATAAATCAATAAACGTGGTGTGTAATAATATTTTAAGTTTAATTGAATTGAATCGTATGTGTAGCTTTGTAAATAAATGAAATAAGAAATAGAACATAATTAAATAAAACTATAAAAAGTATTTGTTGATACAATGGATATTCCCAAGTCAGTTCGGTTTTTGTTTAGCACTCACGACAATTCGTCGCACGATTACATTGGATTTGGCATTTGACTGTTTATTGGTCGCTTCATCACTTTCCTTTTTATACGGAGTAACATTGTGTATGCGTGCCAAATTTTGTGAAAATTTAACATTTTTATTTGTTTGTTTCATGAAATCATTTTGTTTAGCGAGTATAGAACGCCGTGGCGGAGAATTACGCCTTGTAGGAGTCAAATTCATCTTTAACATATTATAGCTGGCTTCATCGATTTTTGCATAGTAAGTGGTTTTGGGTGAGGTGGGTGTCGCAGTGACAGTTTCTGGATTTCTGGCAATTTTCGGAGTTACATTGAATTTTATTGGATTTACATTTTCATCATTTTCGGTTTTTACTCGATCAAGTTGAGTGACGTCGGGATTTTCAGTCAGTGACGTATTTGTTATATTCGGAGACGATGAAACATCGCTACATTCTGCTTTTGTAGTGCTCTCTTCATATACAGTTGGACTTGAATTATAATTTTTTAGATGCTCAACTTCCGGAACTATACCAAACCTTGATCTACACATTTTAGGTGCATTGTCAAACCCTGTTTCACACATTTTAGGTGAATTGTTTTCTTCATGACTAGAAATATTTAAGTTTCTTAAGTCTTGCAGTTGTAGATTTTTGACAATATTTTTTTCAGTATTAAATTTAGCAGTCTGTGTGATGTTTGGTTTAGCGGAATCGAGCTGCTCTTGAGTTATATTATATCTCAAGTTATGAGCTGACTTAAATGCAATATTATTTTCAGTCAATAAATTTTCACGATCAAGTAGAATGCAACGGTGCTTAAGCGTTTCAAAGCGCCAACTAAATAAAGATATAACAAATTACTATATAAAAGTACATAAAGGAAAATCAGTTATATGAATAAGTATTACCGTGCCATCTCCTGCTGTGAGTTACGCAATTGTTCTTCCAAGCTTGCCTTTTTTAAACGTACACTGTACAACTGACTTCTAACATTGTCGGTTTCTTCTCTAAATAATGGAAATTTCGTTGTAAAGGAAAGTAATTCCATTTTATTTTAAAATACTTTATATATGTATATAATAAATGGAAATGAGATACACATGAATACGACACAATGAAACGTGTGCTGAATGTAAGCTAATATTAATTTATAGTATAAAATACGGAAAACACGATGAGCGCATTAACACATCGCTTATATTTATTATTAGCTTTTCTATGCTTATAAGAAACGCATACTTGCAAAAGTCTAGCATTGAGCCCAACCACACAACACCTTTGTCGTTGGCCAAGTCCTTTAGGCGCTCCAGCGATTGTTTGTACTTCATCTCGAGTTCGCCATTCTGTTGGTTTAAATGTCCTAAACGTTCATTGAGTTTTTCTGCAAATGTTAGTGGTTTTAACATATATATATTACCATAACAAAAGCCTTCGTTCATTATTTTAACTATTTACCTTGATAGGTTTTATCCGCTTTACAAAATATTGAACAGCAAGCCTCCAATTCAGTGTGTATGGCGATGTTCTCACGCTTTAAACGACGTATTTCATGTTCACTTTCACCATAAATTTTTTTCATTTTCAGATAACTTTTCTTCTGGGCATTAAGAAGCTGCATCATAGCTTGACGTTGGTCATCAACTTCAGCAAATAGCGAGTTTCCTTTGCGATCTAAAGGACGAGAGTATTTCATTTTAATTTCTTTAATACAACAAATGATTGCAAATGGAATTTAAAAATTGCAGGAAATATTAATTCACAAATAAAAGAATTTTGTGTTTTATTTAATATTAGGAAACTTACGAAAAAATATCTTTATCAGTATTTCGAACCAAAAATTAAAAGAATTCTAGTTTCGATTGCCGTTTTAGTTACGGTTCGAAGCTACAATTAAAATTATAACTGAATAAAATGGATGAATGAATATGAATGCAAGTCCACAAGGATCTGTCTGTGTAGTTCTTTTTGCGAGTGCAGGACGGCTTTTAGTTGTCGAACTCGACGAGTAATTTCAGGATATAGCCCCGGTCACTCTTGAAATCATTATGAATAGATGGTAACTGATTATTGAAACCAAGCTATATATTCCATATATAGCTCATAATGAAACCATAATCATATATGAATATGAATAGATGGTAATTGCTTATTGAACTCAATGTATATAGCCCATATATAGCTCATAATGAAACCATATTCATATATGAATATGAATAGATAGTAACCGGTTATTGAAACCAAACTATATAGTCCATATACAGCTGATTATGAAACCATATTTATATATGAATAGGAATCGATAGTAATTGATTATTGAAACCAAGCTATATAGTCCATATATAGCTGATTAGTAAACCATTTTCATATATGAATATGAATAGATGGTAACTGGTTATTGAATCCAAGCTATACAGTCCAAGTTTAAATTTTTGAATTGAATTCCTGCATGGAAACTTCTATTATTCACACTTACCGACGTTCTCTGGTGCAGATGATAACATCATTAATTTGGCATTGGTCTCAGCTAATTGCTCTTGTGTGCATTCCAAAAGTTGTACATTCTCTTCTAATTCATCGCGCTTGCAATTTAGATTCTGTTCCAAGCAGAGAACTTGATCCTGTAAAATTGCTATATTTTTCTGTTATATAGCATATTATTTCATAAATACATTTTTTAAAGTCTATTTAAATAAAATCTATCAACTTACTTCACGCTCAGCTATACTTAGTGTTGATTGCACATTTGATTCTTCATATTCTACCAGTTTCTTCAATAGTTCACCGTTTTGCCGTTCTAACAAAGAAATTCGTTCAGCATATTCATTTGTTAGTTCAATATTATCAAGTGATTTGTCCTTATTTTTATTTTCTCTTTCCAAATCGACGTATTTTAACTTTTCACGTAGCTCGTCATTTTCAGTATATAATGCATCATAGTCTTGTTGTAAGGTGTCTTGCTTTATCTTCGCAGTGTTGTGCTTACGACGGAGCTCCTCAATTTCTGCACGTAGAGTTTTGTTCTCTTCGCCGACTTTGCTATTATTTATTAACTGTTCCAATTCTTGTTCGAGATAAGCTTGACTAGCCGTAGTAGTTTCCAAATTTCGCTTCAATTCATGTATGCGCTGCGTGTCATGCTCGTTTGCGATTTTTAATTTAGTATATTTTTCATGTAAATTAAAGTATTGCTCCAGCAGTTCATCTGTCGAAAGCAAACCCAGCTCTTCTAAGCATTCCATTTTATTTATTATATTATTTAAACTATTTTTATGGCACTTTTTTAAATGTTTACTACTTTTGCATGCCGCCAAGCTTGAAATCTTTCACGAACTCTTCGTTAACATTTAATTGAATTGAACGAAAAATGCATCAGTATTGCCAACAGCAAGAAATAAATTATTTTTTGAAATTCCACAGCACTGTCAAGTAAACGAAAAAATGATTATAATTTTTTTATAATGCCTACTTAATTGGCAGCACATGTTCGAGTTCACAATAACAATAAAATTATAAAGCACACAAGTTTATCTTAATTAAAATCAAATTCATAAGGTATTTTTCGTGCTACTCTTATTTGACCGAACTATGATTGTTGAAATTTGACAACTAATGTCGTATGTATGACGTCATATGTATATGTTGCTTTGCATGTTTGGTATGAGAAATTCTGTTGATTTGTAGTTTCGAACATTTATTTATATATAAAACAGACGCTTAACTTACTATACTTATTGTAAAATGGTATACATATAACTATGGCAAATTGTTTTTTCTGTATTAATTAACTTAAGCAGGAAGTAGACGATGCTACATGTTTGCAGACAAGGTATTCGTGCTATCAAATCGCACCGTGTATATTTAAGTTTGCATACCAAATTTCGGTCTGCGACATGTATGCGGTAAAATTAAAACTTTTCAATTATTTGTTAAGTCTGCACACATGTTATGAACTCTGTGGAAAATAAATTAAAATGAAGTATGCAAACCTTGTTTCAAAATGTATAACAAAGCGCATACTTGAACTTCATACTAGGTGTGCTGATATGTAGCATCGTCTATACCATGCTTTAGAATAATTGTGTGTAAATAGAATAAACACAGATATATGTTCATTCAATATACATGTTCGATGAAAAATATTTCCATATTATTTAAATTTTCTGATGATAAAAGCAGTAGTTGTGAATCTATGTTAATATTTACTAATTATAATGTTTAAATTGAATTTTTAATTTAATTTTCGTATTTTTACTGTAATTTGCTTCTTTCAAGCAGGAATTTTTTTACATATTTCTCATTTTGAATTTTTTTATTTTTTTACTGGCAGCGCTCGCCATCAAACCTTATATTGGCTTATTCACTTTCTACATAGCGCCATCTCTGATGAAAATATAATTCAGGCGTTGTCAGATCTTGCGAATATTGTCCTAAAGAAATTGAAGTTAAAAATAATTGTGTGATTTGAGATAATTTTGTATAATTTCTGAGAGAGTTTTATTGTTTTTTATCGTTTCTGTTCATTCTAAGATATTCTTTGGTGGGAAGCCAAAAACTAAAAACAAAAATGTTAACAGCTTATATATAGTATAATAATATATATAACTAATCTAACTTATATAACTTATGTGTATTATAATATATTAGACTTTTATACTCCTCTTAACTTTCATTTTCCAGAAATCGGAAGCTAGATGCCATGAAATATATAGTAAAACATTAGCTTATCTTATCTATTCGTAACCTGCTATTGCCTAGTAATTAGTCTATATGCTTTCACACGGTTTTAGGAAAAATGTGTATTGTCTGGAATTTTCAATTAATTAGATAATTAATTATATAATTGTATAATTAGATTTATCAATAGTCTTTATTTGTTCGGGTTAGCGTAGCTAACGTTTCTTCCCATAGCAATAATTATAAAAATAATGATAATTGGTTAAACTCATAATTGATTAAATGTCACGTCTTGACGTCTGTTTACTTAGTGATAGCTAGATGTTTAAAACTAGAAGAGATGTGGTACCACTAAGCGCTGTACTCGTGCTCATGTTCTGAGTGAGTCTTATCAAATAATGCCCACTGCCGGCTCTAATGAAGTAATAAAGGCAAACCCTGCACAAAACGGTCTGTTAGTGTAATAACCAGTAGAGATCTATATGGCAGATAATATAAAAGAAATTACAAATTCTAATATATGTGTTAGGATATGGTTGCATAAATGATTTGTGAAAGGAGAAGGGATTGTTAGGGAAGAAGGGTGTGGGATGTCTATTGAAGCTAAGCTGAATCAAGGAGGAGAAACCCAGCAATGGGTGTGTGCATTCAGACATGAAAATAGATGGGTGCTATCATGGAAGGTAGAATAGTATTTTATTTGTTTACGAGTATGGTGTAACAATCGGTATACTAATGTAGTCTTATAACTTATTTGGAGTACCAAAAAAAGGAAGTTTATAAATAAAGTAAAACGTTAATTTATTTTTAAAAACATTTATTGAGCACGTCATAAAAATTGTTTCAACAAATTTTAAATTTTAATTATCTATCAACAAACAGACATTTTAGTTTGGACGGTATTCTAAATAGTAAATTGGCTTAAATACTTATTTGGTAAGAGTGCATATAAATTATGTATAATTATTTAAATATAAAAAAAATACTGCGCTTCTAGCTCGCAGTGATCAGTTTCTTCTTAAACTCTAGCTTAACTAGTATTGCATGCATTCCAGTCGTTCAGAAATGGTTTTCAGGCTCATGAGGATTACATATCCTAATGTACAGAAAAGCGTAGAATAGAGCACATCGTTGTATGCAGTGGCAATATATAAAGTAAAAATTGAAACGTATAAACATTAGTAATTTGAACACGGAGCACATTTACAAAAAGTATCTTCATAACTTATAAAAAACTAAAACTAAAGATTTTAAATTAATAAAAAAATATAAAATAAATCACTTAAAAAATTTTAAATTTAATTTAATTTCAGCCCAAAGTTCAACATCAAATAAGGGTTAATTGCATTTGGTAAATTTATCAGCCGAGCTGCTTTTGTTCCTGAAGGGTTAAATCTCATATATATGTATATTATCTGCTTTAGAAAAAATCCATTTTATTTGTTGAGAAAGTCGCCTGTGCCTTACGTGGTAATGGAATGAACTTATAACGAGGGGGGTATAAAACGAATTTACATTGCCGTCTCTAGAGGTTGGCTATAGCTGCGGCTCGCTTCTTGTAGTGGTGTCAATTTTGAGGGTTCATCAAAATCAGTCTCCAGAAGTGCTTCTGATTTAGAACGGTGGTACGAGCTTGTGCTTGGCCCCTCATTGGCAGTTTGGTAAACAGTTTTAGGGCGTTTGGGTGGTGAATCGATTTTCGTGAGGGCAGATTTATGAGCATGCAACTGTGGTTGTGCTTTACTGCTTCTTACAGCTGTGTAGTAAGAGTCCGGTCGCCTTATATCAGTGGGTGGCGATATGTTGTTACGAAATAGATCATCATCGTTTGTTTTGGAAAGCGGTGAAAAGTTAAAGTTGTCGATTTTTTGATCGTAGGGCAACGTGTTAGAAGGAGTATCATTATGATATGCGAATAATGAGTTGGAATTTGATGGTTGGTTGCTACTTGCAGCCTGAGTATAATGTGTAGAAGGTAGTGCTTTTGGTTTTGATCTAAAATCGGGAAGACTTTGTTTCAGTTCTGAGAGAAATGATGAACTTTCATTTGCTTCTCCACGCAGGGGAAGAGTGCTGGCGTTGCCATAGTAGTCAGAAATTGCATCTTCTGTATCATCAATATGATGAATTATGGGCGCTTCCTCAGTCATGCTTGCGCTAATAGAGTTATTCCTTGTACCAGAGAAAGTAGAATTGTCTCGGAAACCCTCATTACGATATGAAAGTTCATATATATCCGGTCTTTGCTGATCATAAGAAAAGCCTGCGGCAATAACTTTACCCCTTGTAGACATTGCTTTGACTGGTGAACCTATAGTGGCAATTTTATAGGGTTCGCTTGTTTGTCCATCAGATTTTAACACATTATGGTTGACATATTCATTGTACTTCTGAGGTTTATGATATTCATTTTGTTTTTCTGAATGTTGGTTATCAAATGGATCAAAACTGGCTTCTGAGCTCAAAACACTTTTGTCCATTGAATCAATTGAGCCATTTCCCAGCATTTTTTTGTAGTCTTGAGCTATGTTCTTGGTTAATGTACCAGTGGAAGCGGATGTGCTCTAAATATGTTGGTAAGCAAAATAAAAATAATCAAATTAAAAAGAAAACAAATATAATAAAATAAAATAAAAAAATCATACAAAATTTCTACGCCGTAGAGAGCCTTGGGGATCAATGCTGTTCAAGCTACGTAGACTTTGTCGTATACTGTTTCGGCGCTGCAATCGCTGGACATGTCTGTGTTTTGATTTCGCGTACCAGCAAAACGCGACCATTATAAGCAAAATAATAGCTAGAATAAAGGCAGATATAATGCTGATAGCGAAGACATCCGCTCGCCAGGATAATGGGTCGATCACAACCTATAATATTAGTTTTAAACATATTTTTGTTTTTCATTATTTATACCACAGGCGCAAGATTACATAAATAAATGCAGGACACTCACATACAACGTTCGGTGGACTAACTTATGCAAGTTTAGACATGTCTCTAAATATAAAATTTTTACATTTTCGGTATATGTAAGTTTTATTTATACGTTATATGAGAGTATAGTGCATTTAGTTATTTATTGTCAATTCAAGCTTATGGATCACATCAGATATGTATATTTAAATCAGTACAAGCCTAAAAGCAAAAAATTCTATACCTTCGGGTCTATTTCGCATATTAAACCCATTTGTCTATTACAGTCCTCCACCTCTATTTCTCCAAAAACAAAACTTGTACATCTGTCAATGTGGTTAAAATCCTGAACCCACACCTTCTCTGGATAACTATTCATTTTTTTAAATTAAAACAAAGTAAAAAATTAGAATTTTGAGTATAAATAAACTTCTGATAACTTTCGTACTTAAGATGCTGCATTTGTCCTTTTAAATATGTCCAGAGTGTAGCACTGTCTGTACGTATGAAAGGCATTGATGAGTTCTCAGACCTACAGAATTCTTTAGCTTCCCTAAAAGTCATCGGTGCAGCAATATATATAAAGCAAGTGTCTTGTACGAGTGACCAGCCAGGCGGACACTTTCCATCCAATATTGTTTGGTTGTTCATTTGGAAGGGAACTGCCTGCACCTCCAATAGAATAGGATCATCTGCAGTACGAGAAATAATTGTTTATAAATAGAAACATACATTTATGGAAAAAAAAATTCTATCATTACCGAACTTATCGCGTATTCTGGACTTCACTGAGATTGTGTTGTTGTAACCCCAATAATTATATCTGGCATCTATTTTTGAATGCCGTAACTCAATGGTGCTATAAAAGGAAACATTATTTACATTATCGATATAAATTTTTAGATAGGTCAATAAATATTCGACTCACCTGTTTCTATTATCCAAGCTCAAACTATTTTGTGGCATGCAAATTACATTTGAAGAAAATAAAAAAAAATTTAGTTAATTAGTAATTAGATCAAGACAAATCGTAAATATTAATTAAGAGAAAATTTAAGAGAATTACAAGGGTAAGAAATTTATAGTGCGGTATGCATGGAAGAACTAAATACCTACATTGTGTTATTTACTGTAATCATTTCGTAGTCGTTTTCAGGATTTTCGAAAATATTATCTATATATTGTTGGCCTGCAGTCCCAGCTACAATGGTTGACCTTCCTCTAAAATCAGTAGCAACATTTCTGAAAAGAAAATGTTTTTTATTTTTCATAATTAGAGGATATACACTAATTTAGTAGAATTACCCATAGAATCCATTATGCGAAGTAGTTTGGTATATTGGTAGTCTAACTTTTTCAAAACCGGAAATTTCAACAATTCTGGAACCAATATTACTGTGTACATAATTATAACTGAAGTTGGAAACAACTTGTCGTAGTCGTATGACATCCTCATAACCAGCTCTGTTTTGTGCGAAATAATTACGGAAGAGATGGATTTCTTGATATGGCGATGACTGACGTCCTTCGACATAGAGCGCAGGTCTATTGTAATTCTTTAGAAAGAGATTGTGTTCTAAGACCCCGCACAGAGAAGTAGCTAAGCCACTGGAGTCAGCACGTATCCGCAATCCTCCTTGATTACCAACCAATAAGTTATTCTACAATTAATAAAAAAAAGTGTGAGTGGATCAGTGATAAAGGTAATGACAAAATGATTGCAGATCTCTTATTTAAATAGTGTGCATAGTTTTAATTTTATATTGAAGAAGTTATGTTGGTGTATATAAATATATTCTTATAAGAGAATCGTCGCATTTGGCGATACAATGATGTCCAAATGGAGCAGAAGTGACATGATACTCTGGACTTTATATCAAGGCATTTTTGAAGTTTTTGTTAAAGTCAAGATAGTAGTTTTTTTGTTATCTATATCAAGTTAATATAGTCGAGTCGAGTTTGAGTGTATATACTATTATTTGGTCTGTATTTGATCTGATAACTCTTGTGATGTATTTGCGAGACCAGAAAAGTATTTCTAAAAAGTAGTTCAAAATAAGTGCATCCTTATAATAATTTTTGTTGAAGAACTTCAGTGCAAGAACTTTATGAACTCGTTCAATTTTTATTAAATCTCTAAATATAGATATATGGTATGAGTGCTATTTTTAACTTACCTTAAAGTACAATGAATGCATGTTTTGTACGTCGAAGTTAAGCGCAGATTCACAGGTGGAGAAGTTCCCATATAGCTTTTTGCAATTATTTCTTAATACGTTCGATGTTAAAGTCAATGTGGGTGTTATTTCACCTGCTGAGGCATAGCTGACTGCGCCTTTAACTGTTCCAGATATATGTGAATATGTGATATTGTGTTGGGTACCTCTAACTGAAATTGAATAAAATTGTTAAAAAAATATAATTGATAATGTCACAATAATGCAAAATGCTTGCCTTGACCAATTGTTGATATAGGAATTGTTACGATTTCAGCCAAAAAGCCATGATACTCAGGTGCACCACTTGCCATCAGTTGTACGCTTAAAGTGGGCCCAGATGTTTTGAAGAATGAACGTTGATTGCTACTATCCGATTCGATTTTACCCAGGAATCGGGAAGTAACGTTATATATGTCTCCGTCAAATAAGCGAATTGAATCTGTGCGTCCATATAGTTTCGAATGATTAAATAGATTTGATTGTAGCAAACGGAAGCCTATTGGTTTCGCTCTGTAGACAGCAGTGAATAATTTCACACAATTAATTGGTTTGTTGTCATATTTGTAATAAAGAAGCACCCGATCCTCCACAATATGTGCTTTCTGCGGATCGCATATATCTATCATTGAAAAGAGTTTGTATGGTATGTCCAATTCTTTAAGTGGAGCGAAGCTCGACTCTGTGCTTTCTCGACCTTCGCCTGTCAGTGATAGCATATTTATACCAGTTCCATATGCGTTGCTAATATTTAAGAAATTAAGATTAATCGTTTTTGTGGGGGCTACTATGTTCACTCCATGATACGCTGAGTTAACGATTGTTACGAATGATATAACGGGGTTCTTAAATACTGACTGTATAGCACCAGATTTTTGATTATGCAATATGCCCGCATTTTCTATACGAACGTGCTCTAGTCGGCTTTCTTTATTTTGTACAATGCTATGGGTGTGAGAATCGTGTAACCGATGATCATTTTGGCTTTCTTCGAAATCAGAATTAGCGAATCTAATTCCTCCCCAGAATGGCAATTGTTCGTCGGGAATTTTGTTGCAACTGACAAATACAAACACATCATCCCAATGACACTCATGTCGATGTCCATATAGTTGGCCATTCAGACGTTCAGCACAATCTTCCATTCGGTTCTCATCACCTCTGCATTCCAAAGGTTGCACCCAACTCCAAACACGTGTCAATGAATTGGTATGAAATTCGATGCGCCTATCATGGCCATAATAAACATTTAGCGGATCAAAGCCTAATTCACGACAAACAACTTCGGCATTTCTTTCCGTAAACCGACTATCACATATAGGAACCCATTGCAATGTCGTATGATTAAAATACTCCAAGAAGCCTTCATTTATGGACGATGTTGGTTCCAATACACCAGTACAATTAAGTATATCAGTACACAATCTTATTGAATCGTATTGCTGCATTTGACCCATATCTTCAATAGCTCTTCGGTTCATTCCTGACATAGTGTAAGATTCATGTGTAATATTTTTGAATGGTTTCATTACAATTTGAGACTCCTTATAGCCAATTGCTGTCAATGTTCCTAGAACGAGTATGCCAACATTGGGATCAAACTCCAATTGAACCCCATGTTGTATAGTTAATATAATACCAGGCAGAACAGTAATATCAGATAATATGTGATATGGTTTAGGCCGTTTCCGTAGTACAAGATCATTAATAATACGACCTCCAATAAACTCATCTAAGTTTCTATTGTCCATTTTCTCTGATATTAGTGAGACACTTGCGTCAAAAGAGTCCTCAATCAGAAACGGTTGGAATATAACATCTGCATGATCATTCCAATTATCGAAGTCAAAAATTTTTGATTCTATCATTTTGATATCAGATGATCCCCACCAATTTTCCGTTGCTACTACGAAGTTGTTTAAACGTGCAGACCTCACACCGGCTATTAGGTTGTAGGTCATCTGATTGTCGGCCAGTAAATTCCTATATAATTGAACTGTCTGTATACCATCTAAATGTATTACAGCTAATGGCAATCTGCACTGAGTACATTCTTTTGACATTCTGGAACGTATTGGTAGCATTTTAAAGTTATTGTTCATTGACATAATACGGTTACCTTTGATCGTATTGTACTCTATAGTAGCTGGAACATCACCAAGTATTTCACTTAAGCTATCAGCTTTAAATTCCATTACAATTTTAGCACGGTTATCCTCAATGCGGTTATAATTAAACTTTATACGCTTTTCCATGCCATCCGTTGCAATAAGTGATCGTAGACAATTGTTCTTAACGAATGTGTTCGAAGTAATGTTGAAGATAGCATAGTGCCCTGTCACTCGGGTAAGGAAGTTTCGGTTTTGTTGCCACGTGCAGTTTCCAAGATATATGCTATGAGTAAAGTTCTCATTGTATTGCCAAACATAAGGCAACGCTACGTCGAAACCGCCATTCATGTTGTTCTCAATAGTTGTGTCTTGCATGACGTAGTGGAAGAGATTATTCGAAGAACGTAGATCTTTCGACAGCTGCCTTATACCATAACCATTTTGTGTTAAGATCGAGCTATTGATGTGTATAGTAATTTCGGATAAGTTACTAGAAATTATGTCCCAGAATGGTGACTTGATCAGCACAGCTTCTTTTGTGTTGTAGCTTATCTCGCTGTCGACAATTTTAATCGATTCGTTCGCCTTCCTCAAATAGTATTCGTTATTGTCCCCTATGTAACGGTTATAGTAGTATGCAGATATACCGCGTTGATTTGACAAAATTTTTGTGAAACGTACGTTCAATGAAGGCACAGGACCTAGCACAACTTTATTAGGTATATTTTGTATGGGTGCCATGACAGTAGTTATCATTAAAACAGCGCCTCCAAGTGCATTCTCGCCACTCTCATAGTAGATCACAATACCGTAACTGCTACTGACTGTTGGAAACACAGTTAGATCGCGGTGTAGCTCCCAAACCTGATTGCGGGTGTTTTCAGTTTGTGAATCAAGTATGGAAATGCGCTCGGTTGATAGGGCTGATATAGGGTTCAAAAGCTGAATGCCCAAAACATAACCGGCTGGACAGCGGATTGTTGTCTTCTTATTTGTCCTTGTGCCTAACAATTCATCTGTTCTAATGTATTTTGATTCCCATGCTCCCAATTCGATGTTGCCTTCGATGTGTGATAAAATGTATGGATCATAATTTGATTCAAATGTGTTAAAGTCACGTGCCATTTTGAACCAACCGCCCAACTCATTCTGGTCTACTGCAGATATGACGGGATCGTGTAGTATTCCACTGCCTCCATTATTCTTAATGGTAGCTCGTTGAATTCGGAAGTCAAGTTGTTTTAAACTAATCCCGCTTCCTCTATTGCCAGTAAATTCGGAGTTTTTAATATTATTAATTGACTTTCCACCATAAATATCTGCATACAGTACACCCAAACCATCGTTAAGATTATTTATAACTCGTACGTTCTCCATATTATGTCTGGCAAAATCCATCTGTACTGCAGGTTTGAATGAGTTAGTGGTGTAATCAAAGAGCCCAGCCTTCTCAATTGTTATGTACTGCAAGTCAGCGCGTTCAGCTAACATACTAAAACGTAGTCCCGCCCACGCTCCTTCATAGCAACGTATGCCAACATCGTTTTCATGCGTACATGAGTTTTCGAACTCACCACGGAACACTTGCTCGGATCTACACTTGGTAATGTCGTGATCATGTACGGTACAGCGAACATTGGTAACTATAACGTCTTCCGTTGTACCAACATTTGGCATATCTGCTCTTAGCAATCGCCAATCCTGAGGATTAAGAGTATAGCCCAACTGATGACATACTAAAGCAGCATTTAAGACAGTCCAACCATAATCACACACTGTTCCCCACTTTCCATTCAAGTAAATTTGCAAACGTCCTTCATATGGACCAGCACCACCTAAAATTCTAACTGGGACTTGTGTTGTTTCTTCTTCATTTTCTTTCGGTATAATAGATTCCGTTTCTATGTCTATAACATCCATATTCAAGTTCTCACTATCATTATATTGATCAATTTCCTTGGATGACGTCAAATTATCATTAGGTATAATTGTTTCCCGCTTCAAAGTAAAAAGTATGTCGTCAGGATGACGTCCGCGAGCTTCAAGTTTTCCAGCTACCATCATACCGACGCTGGGGTGAAATTGTAATGTGACTCCAGGTTGTAGAATGAGCTTACCTCCGGGACGGATATTTATGTCTTTAGTTACAGTGTATGTTCCAGCTGGTATTATTTCTTGACCATCAACTTCACCGCCAATTGAACCGAAGTCTTCGTGGAAAAATCGAGGAACCATTGTTGAAGTCGTTATTATAGTTGTTGAGCCGGGATTGGAACTGTGCAGCAAATAAGGAATATACTCTATTTTAGCTAAATTATATCTATCATTGCGATGAAATAAACGGCTATATATTTTGTTTTCATTAGTGTGCCCCAGCCAATTATATGTAGCATTTATTATTTTGCTTTGATCGCTTATATGGGAACCAATCTCATAGGCGGAGTCCAAATTATGGAGTATATTCCTGAAAATGTCCACATTTCCAGAAGCAACTACTATAACTGCAGCCACCTTAGATCTCGGATTTAATCGTCCAGCGCCATCAGAACCTTCACTACCGCCAATTAAAGGTCCAAAAGGTTCAGTGATTCGATTTTCCTTCACAAAATTTCTTGTAAATAGTAGAGATTGAATTTCACGACGACTAAAAGGTGAAAGGCCTAGTGAGACCACATAAACACCTTTGTTTCGCATGAAATAATTACTTTGAATTAGAATTTGAACAGGCATAAAGTTGAACTCCTCGAATATGAAATTGTTTCGAATATAAATAGAACCATACATGCCGGAACGAAATTGATTGAATTCGACTTTTGCATGTACGTTTAGTGCCGGACTCATAAAAATTGAGTTCTGTTGACTGTTTTCGAAAGAGTTGTGTCCAATTTGTAAATGCAGAAGACCTTGACTATGTTTCCAACAAGACATTATATTAATATCATCATTGAAACTGCTATTAAAATTATTTGCTGTGATATTGACCAGCATGGGACTGCAGTAGTTGCCATGAAGAACGCCATGTTCGGAGTTTAAATTAATATTCGAGTACTCTATTGATGTGGTTTGATTAAATGGCACATATTCGACACGATTCAGGTCAGTTGTATGATTAAGCCATACAGCCACACCATGACCCTTATTTGAACTAATTGAACTTCTGGAAATGTTTCGGTTACCACCATAATAAGTAATATTGACACCATCTCCCTTATTGAAGCTTATACTGCTTTGAGTAATATTTACATCTCCAGCACCACTCGTTATATGCACGCCTGATATATGACCATTTCCGGATACGGAACTTTGGTGTACGTGTATTTTGGAGCGTATATTATCTATTGCAATACCGCGGCCACCATTATCGGCTACTGTTGAATGAGCAACCCTGAGATCAAAGGCGCTGGTATAGTCAGAAGTAAGACGTAAAAATCCTTTAATTTCTTGACGCATTTCCGCTACTAAACGAATAAAAAGCTTCTCTTTAGTACTCGTAACACTTTGCGGTCTTGTATAATTCCGCGCTTTCCATTCAAAGAGCAGTCGGTCGTTAGTTGAAGCACCGTCATATATTTGAACTGTTAGAGTTTCGTTGGTTTGTAGTACAAAGTCTTCAAAATGTACAGTTAATAAATAGCCAGGTCTTGTGAAAAAATATTTATCACACTCTTTCGACGATCCTGCATAGTATTTTTGATTAAATGACAACGAGATGGGGTAAGTTTGACCAGATGTTGTGGGCAGTGTGCAGAAATCGTAAATCGAAGCTCTGTCAGTACGTTCACTAACTCTTAAATCGTGTCCAACATATTTAATACCATCAGCAGCATTTTCAATAATGTTACAACCAATCAAGTGAACGGAGCCTTGACTAGAGTTTGCAAATATGCCAATACCACTGCTTTGTCTAACAGTGACGTTTTGAAATGAAAATCCGCCAGAAGGTTTAGTAGCATTTATACCTGTGTATGCAGAATAACTAACAACCACATGTTCAAGATTTGGTGGCTGACCAATAGACTCTAATGCTGATTTTGCCGTATAACCATTTCCAACACCTGCTTGTATTATATCAACATACATTAAGGTTGATTTGGACTTAGACGTATAAACAGTATTATCTTTTCCTAAGACTTTGTCAGATGGTGCATTATCGAAATATATACCACGCCAATAACCAAGTTGATCTTTAAATACTGGAATACACTGAATACCAATATCACTGTGGTAATCACAAACCCCCGAGCCCAACTGCCTTGTTTGCCAAGCACAATTCAGCAAAGATTTCTCATCGCCTGTGCACTTTGGTTGTTCGTAGAGAAGTCTTGGTTCATAGCCGGCATTTCGTTCCACCCAATTCCAAAACCTGCCTCCTTTAAAACCCATTTGATTGCAGGCAACAGCATAATCCGCAGGTGACCAACTAAAATGTAAATTAAAATATGAAAATTATTTATTGCAGTAAAGAACAAAGTATGTGAAAATGGACGGAAGTATCTGACGGTATCGGGAATAATTGCATGATTAGTACCCAGTTATTGTTTCTCTTTTTTTCACTAAAATAGAATATTGTAAGTTTAGAGCAGTGCGTGCAGCCAAAAGAAAAATTAGATAAAGTTAGATGCATCGCCTGCTCCAGATAAGCTGTTTGACAACGTTAAGTAAATGAAGTCTTTTATATAGTTAATATCTATATAAAAAGATTTACGTTACGGAGAATTAACAATATGGTTAATGTTCTCATTACAACAGAAAACTGTGAAGATACGTTATTGAATTATTTATCTTCTTACTGTTTAGAGTTTGTGCAGACTGCTCGCCAGGATCCCTTGTGATATACTTGTAAGCGTCCTTCTAACGGTGTTGGTCCATCGACTAATCGCAATCCTTTTTCTTCAACATTAGCCAAGTTTAAATGATTACTGTTAAGATGAGTCTGTGATTTTAATGTGATGCGTAACGTTGGCGTTCCCTATAAAATAAAACCAAATATTAAAAAAGTCATTATCAAAAGTTGAACTTTATTTCGATTTATTTTATCTTATCTAAAAGTGGTCAATTTTAATTAAGGAATGTGTGCACTTATTTAGTTGGGTCAGTAAGATAATCTGTTCCTCACCTTCCATTTTACAGAAAATCTACGGAGAAAGAATGCAGCTAATTGTGTAAAATGAAGAAGATATCGTATTTACCAATAAATAGCCATTTGACCCGGAAATGGATAATTGTTATGGTTTTTTGTCATTAATAATGTAGCGATAGCTTGTGTATGGTAATGTATTGCTTCTGAGACGGAACATCGCGCACATTCGCTTGTCACAACAACGAATGGTGCTAGTGCAATTTAAGTACGCAGTGCCCACGAATGAGTGTATTTGCTTAATGCCCTTGTCTTATGTGGAATAAATTAGTTTTCTCAAATGTTATCTGAAGTTCGCTGAGTAAATCTAATTAACCTATAATGACCCATTAACCGACGTCAACCAATCTATTAGCATCTCTTCTGTTCTATGCTTTCAATGAATTAATTCAGCTGAATGAAAAACAAGAATAAAATTTGTAAAAATTTTAAGAAACGTCTTGAGGCAAACCGAGTTTTGTCTTGAATTTGACATTTTTCCAGTTAGCAAAGATAAAAATACGATAAATTATAGAAATCAAATCTCTTCAACCTCCTCAGCTGATTAAAAATCCTTTTGTAGTGCAAGGTCGCAAATTACATAATCATGAGATTTTTTTTCTGGAATATTATATCCCCTTTTAGACCCTAAAATATAATACAATATATATAACTAAAGATTGTTTTGATAAAACAACAGATTTAGTTTAAATAATATATGGACTAAATAATAATCGATTTAATGGCAATCGGTTAAATCGACTTGTAATCAGTTAAAAACTCATCGAATGTATAATCATCTGCTAGCAACAGTAAAGGGATTTTTTCAAGAAAGAAGCAATAGAAATACATTTTAGAAAAAAATTTACGAAGACATGTTATTTAATGAATTCTCCTCAACTTATAAGCTGTGAAATATTTTGAAAAAATTTTCTGGTGACAATTCATCGAAAAATTTTCAGAATTGATGAAACTTTCGGAAAATGAAAAGTGGATTTAAAGACTAAATCCTAGCAAAATATAATTAATATTCTTTACTAGAAACATATATTCTTAAATATCAGGATAGCTCTTACTAAATAACAGCTGGCTTCAATTAATTATAGCTCATTAAAGAACAAAGAACATGAAGTACAGAGATTTCATACACATTAAAATGATGAGCGTAACTTAAAAATATCTTCTCCACTATTATATATAGCATTACTGGCACAACTCCTGATGTAGAAGACGCGACAGACTGAAAATTAATTGGAGACAATTAATTGACTGGCATACTCATAACTCCTGATGCAACAGAAGACGTGACAGAGAAAAACTTACTTGAAGACATAACTGGCATAACCTCCGACGGAGCGGAAGATGCGACAGACCGAAAATTACTTAGAGACACAACTAGCATAACTCCTGACGCAGCAAAACGCACAACAGGCCGAAAATTACTTGGAGACATAACTGGCATAACTCCTAATAGAACAGAAGACGCGATAGACCGAAAATTACTTAGAGACATGACTTCTGATGCAGTAGACGCGCGACTTACTGAAAATAACTTTGAGGAAAACACATATAGAAAAACTAAGAAAGCATTCAATGAATGAAGACATTTATCGAGAAATAGCGAAGAATAGAGATTCGTTATTAATAGCCTCTTAATATGTTGTTGACAAAACATGGCTATATATATGTATGTATGTATCATGCATTGAATAGAGACAGTTGCTTACAGAGACATCGTTCTGAATGAAGTGGAATATATGGAATATATAAAGTCGCATATGGTTCTACTTTTATGTTTGGAGAACTTATGTTGCGGAAATATTTCAACAGACTAGTTCTGAGAAAATGTTTGATGATAGTGAACATATCTGTGACATTAAAAGAAGCTTTTAAGACTATAGTGGTTTTAGATGCCATTGCATTTATAACTTAGATCAAGCAAATGGGCAAAACATTTGCAAAATACCTTATTTAAGAAAATAGTGATCACATATTACCAAAATAAAGGTATACCAGTATTTATATCAAAATAAGGTGATAGGAATTTCACCTAGCGTGGGTTACCCACGCTGTGGAATCTAGAAAGAAACTTAATTCTGTACACATTTTTAAATTGTCTTTTTTCCTTTTTATTGTTTTCTTTTTCTTTCTCCTTTTTTCCTCTTTTTTTCCTTTTCCTTTCTTTCCTTTTTCTAAATTACTGAGTAGCTGTTAGAATTGGTTGTTACAATCACGATAATCAACTACCAATTAATCAGTTAATTTAATGGTAAAGACCAAAAAAAAATGGTAAAGACCAAAAAATTTGATCTGTAAGTTATAGATAATAGGCAATAACAATGGATGGAGGTAAAGGGTTGACAGCCTCAATACGGGTGTCAAAACCACTAACCTTTAAGGTGGGAGTAACAGTTTTTATGCATTGAAAAGCAACAACACTATAAATATTCGTTACTCAGTGATAAGAAGTGAGAGAGGTGTAGATTAATCTGGTTTGAGGAAGGACCTGAACTGAGAAAAAGTTTGTCTTGAAACAAATAGATAAATAAAGTGTCGAATTTGACGGTTTGATCAATAATATATATATATTCGCATTCAAGAAACTTTAAGTTTTGATTTAAGGTTTGTTCTCAAAAAGTTTAAAAGATAATTTTAATGCAATAATTTAAAATACTGAGAGTATGTTCATCTGGATTCAACACAGAAAGGCAGACATAGATTAATGGCAATGGTAATGGTATATGGGTTAGGCTAAAGTCTTTATGTACTACGATCAGCTTGCTCTATTGTGCACCAGATATAGATCAAATATACATATATATATATACTAACCAAGCTCCTCGATGTTATGTTCATGATATGTTCTCAATAAATTTGTATGGAATACTAAACTGATCAATTCAGAAAACTGAGACAATATTTTGGACAGGTGTAAGCAAATTTTCGTTTATCTCAAAGTGAGGGACTGATTTCAATTGAAATTAATATGGAGATAGACGAATATATAAAATGTCTATATGTAAAATTTCATTCATTGATTTCAAAAACTGGGAGAGTTGTTTACGTTGAATTAAAGTAGTTAAATTGACGCATTTGTCTTGTTGAACTATGTTCGAATAAATGACTATAATTATAGTCACAATATTGGTGCTAATAAAATGTATTTCTAAAAATTTCTAAAAATAATTTATAAAGTTGGGTATTATTTTAAGAATTCATTAATTATCCCATTGAAATATGTACATATAAATTAAGTAATCTAATAAACTGATAAACTGATCTGATAGAATTAAATTTAAAAGAATTAAATTTATTTTATGTTACCGAGCTTATTTGAACAGAAGATACTCCGCATTTTTAATGAAGGCCAAAATTTTCTACTATATAAGAATATATACATTCTGTAGGATTAAAGTTATTTCTGAAGAATTTCATTAAATAATCTCAAAAACTGAGTATATTTTGCGTTTAGGTACATAGATGAAATAGAAAAGAAAATTAATGGGGTACTGACATTCGTTGATATTTGTGTTACTTACCGACCCTAACTGTACAATAGACACTTCGCTTTTCGAATCAAATATAAGCTGTTGTGGATATCCTAACACAGATAAATGTAGAAATTTTTTTTATTTATTGATTTATTTTAATATTCAAGAATATTTTGTAGGACCTACTTCTAAAAAACTAGTATGCAAAATTTTATACTTCAATCTTAAAAACTGAGACTATTTTGCTTTAAGGTACTGCGACCATGATTGATCTTTCTCGTACTTTCGGAACTTAACTGATTCGAAGACAGTCCGCATTTCGAATGACTTCCAAAATGTCAACTGTTGCAATAGAATAGAAATTTACCGGTATATTGACTTTTGGGGAGTGGAACACTGCGACCATGATTGATCTTTTGCATTACTTGCCCATCTTAACTGATTCGAAGACAGTTCGCATATCGAATAACTTTCAAAATGTCAAAATACTGTCGAGGACATCATAGCATAGATAACTGCTCGAATTTACTATATCTTATAGTGCTTTTCAAGAATATGCACACTCTCTATGGATTCCATTGACTAAAACTGAAAGAGCCGTCTGCATTGCAATTATCGGGAAAATAAAGTAATAGATTCGTGTTGTCTGACTAATTGAGAATATGTATATTTTTTTAAGGTTTCCGATGTTTATTTCAGTGCGTTACGAACTACTCGACAAATTTAATATAAGATGTTCATAGCACATACATGTGTGTGCGAAGGGGAAAAAACACTGGCACCTGTCGCTTTCTATATGGCAAAATATTTACATTCATATTCGCATGCCAGTGTATTGATAAATGTAAATATAAGTTTTTGGATGAATGTTCTGATAAGAATATATTTATCAGCCCTGCTCAGCTTATCGCTTGTCAAGTCCGATAAGCGTATTGTATGTAACAGGTGCGTAATTGTTCGGTTGAGGGTTCTACTTAGGCAATTTTGAATGAGTAAGAGTTCAATATATATGTATAACTATTTTTTGTGTACATACATAAAATAAATAATGCATAGGTATTCTTTGCATATTCTTTTGAAATAAAATTATTTGCACTTACCACAGCGTGTAAAATTCCATTAACGGTTATACCGACTGTTGGCGCAAATTCAATGGAAACGCCCGGTTCAATGGTGAGCGAAGCACCACGATTCACTATAATATTTTCACGTACAGTGTAAGGACTTTCGCTGTAGCGGAGTATCCTGTTAGTGATGATTTCACCACCTTTCAGTTCTGTGTATGACATAAGCGAAGGCGTCGATGACGTAGTTTCGTCTAACACTGGCGCTTGCAGCAGTTGTGTGGCGCCATCTAAATTTGTGAACTCGATTTCATTGGTGTCCCTATTCTGTTCGTTCGCAAGGATTTCGCTTGCCAATGCAAACAGATTGGCATATAAAAAAACTAAAACTATACATTTTCGTTGTGTTAAACTTCTAAATTTTCTATGTTTATTTTTTCCTTTCGTTGATTTCGTCGATTTTGTCGATTGCGTCAAAGCGACATTGGAAACAGTATCCATTTTCATATAATTTCCAATCGTAAACTCAATGTTAATGAAGTCCTTTGGTCCTTTGGATAGAATTTGAATTTCCGTTTTTATTTGATTTTCATTATTCATCACATACGAGTGTGTGTGTCTGTGCAAGCGGTTTTTTTCACTCTTTCAGTTCGAGTTTGTTCGAATAATAATTGTTTAATTGTCTGACAAAAGAATGTTGAATAGTTAAAGCACATTTTTTCACGAAAACAGAGTTTCCTTCATCATCATCATGCATGTTAAACGTACTGCAGTTATTATTATTTTTTTATACGTATATATTTATTTATATTTATATTTATATTTTTTTTTTTATTATAAATATATTACATACATAAGTGCATATATTGATGTCTACATATGTAAATGCACACACGTTACGCGGTAGGCATGCATACACTGTTTACATACACAAATCTGTAATTTTACCAAAATTTTTTCAAATTATTTTCGTTTCGTCTATGTTTTCTTCGTGATTTTCTTTCTTTTCAAAAAACTGGAATTTTTTGATTTTTCAAAATGCAACCATACGCAAAGACCCGTTACAATCAACTAACGGAAAACAGAAAACTCAAAGTTTAACCACATAACAAAAACAACAACAAAAACAACAACAACAATAATAACAATAAGAATGAAGAGAACAACAACAACAGCAGCAACGGCAACGGCAACAGTACAGCAAACAAAACAGTAACAGCAAGAACGACAACGACAACAACAAGTTGTACTAACAAAACTTACCAAACTAAAATATTAAAAGCAAATACAACAAAACTGTGTATTATGAAAAAAGTAATTGTTCTGCTGTGTAAAAGCATTTATGACAAACTTGTACGCACACACACAGACACACACACACTCACATATACGTATTACTTGCATGCAGAGAAAAAAAAAAGGTTAAAAGCGCTGAGAGATATTTCCTCCATTTATAGTTTATAGCCATTACAAAAATTGAAGAGCACAAAACAAAAACAAAAAAAAAAAACAATAAGAACAAATGAAAGCCCATAGTGGTGACTCAGAGTAAGCTTCTTTGTAAGCGGACATCAATGACTCTGACGACAACTTTAAGTTAAATTATTTATGCACTTAATCAGCTGATTTGCTGGAAAGAAGAGAACGCGCGCCAATCCGCTAGAGATCAATATTTAAATTAAGAAAGTATAGTTTCTGCATTGAAGCTATCTGCTTTCTAGAATCTGCTAGCTGCTTTTAAGCTATATTAAGCTATTAAGAATATTCGATAAGTTTGAATAAATGCATAGATTCTTTTAGAGAATTATTTTTGGAGACATGCTAATTATTATATTTTTAATTAATTTTATTATATATTTGCCTGAGTCACTAACATTATACTTATGAGTAAGATCAATTAATTTTATTATTTTTTATTCTTAATATAATTAATTTATGATATTGATTTTTGTTTTTATAATAATAAAATAAAATATGGCCGAATAAATCAATTTTGCTATAATCATATGACATAGTAATAGATATAACATCGAAAATAGCACTGGAACGGGAGTATTTGAGTCAAGAATCAAATACATAAAACCCGTAACTAAGCATTTTCCCAGCAGAAATACACACAACCGAAAGTAATTTAATCAGTACAGCAGATATGGAACATACTCTTACAGTTGGAAAGTTAAGTTATCATTTGAGCACTAAGCTGCAACAAAGTTTACTTCAAATTAGTATGGAATAAATAAATTAACAAGATCACCAGTAAAGTGGTCTCCATACAAGTTATAGTGCCTGAACAATATTGCAGTATAAGCGAGTGACTATGGGAAAAAATGATCCAAAAATTACTGCGAGTTTAAGTGATTTATGATAATTTAAATTGCTATTGGGCAAGGATAATAGAGAAAGAATTCAATTCTGGTTTACTTTGTTCAAGAACAGATTAGAAACATTGGCCGGACTATTGATTACATGCTGTAGACTTACATTTGACATTTGAACAACATTGCATCAAAACCTATGTGCAGTTTTTGCGACAAGAAAACTAAATCTCTAGACCACATTTTTGGACTCATTTTTATCAATCGTTTTTTTTTTAATTCATTAGTCTTCTTTTTAGCAAAGTTAAGACGACTGTCATAAGAAATAAGACCATTTTGTCTATATTTATATTTATAACTTTTATTGCTTCTTTATTTAAATGAAAATTAAATTAAACTGAAATAAATTTAAAACGAAAACGGAACTTATAAATCTTTATTTTTAAATTCAGTTCTAATTAAAGAATATTAAGTTTATTAAAAACTTTGTAACACAACAAAAAAATATGTCGGATATGTTACCAATCATTAATGTTTAGTCTTTTAAAAGATGATTTATTAATTCAGCGATATATATCTATCTACCTATTTGTGTATATGTTGTTCCTATACATGTCATTGTTTGTCTATTTAAAAGTTGTTGTCTTCAGTTTTTTTTATTAAAAGTACTATCGCTTTATATCTTTGTCTCCTATATAATAATAATAATAGTAGATAGTATAATAATAGACAAGAAGGACATGTTTTTTTTTCACTTAGTTTTTTGCATAAAAATGAAAAGATGTGCTAGATATAATATTTTAAAATAATATGTTAATGCTTATATCAATAATATTTAAAAAATTAAACTAATTTTATAGAAATAGATTTTGTGAAAAACATTCGCATATTCATTTTGAAACCCTATCTTAGCTGCATTTTAACTGTGAACGGCAGCGAGGTGTGTAATCGTAAGTGCACTTTTCATGCTTTTCTGAAGTCATCGACTTATGGAAAACTACCGTTTGAAAACACTTGTCCTCATTTTTCCAACACAAAACATAAGAAAACAAATTGTACTGTGTATGTTGCCAGATTGTTGATAAATCATGAACATTTTTTTTTATACGAGCTGTGCAAAAAACTAACATTTTAGGCTATGTTCTTTTACTAATATACATTATACATTATATACATCATTTTCTATTATAATATATTGAAGAATCCATATATTTATAAATTAAAGCTCATTTCCTATAATTATTTTTCTAGATGCTACATGATAAAGTCAACAAATTTATCTGCTTGTCTATTTGATCTTTTTGGATTCACTAAGGGATTTTCTGTAAAATGTTATTTGATTAATTCAAATCAGTTTATAGGCTAGTTACATCCAAATCTAAATCGACCACAAAATTGTTTGCAATCATTACGTACCAAAGAAGAAATAATAATGATAAGATAATATGTATAACACATTAAAAAATATTTAAAAAAAATAAAATAAAAATTACTTAAAATCACAATCGAGCCTGAATTTATCAGTAACATGATCTTCGATATCTTCTTTTTTGCATTACTAATATCGAAAAACACTTAGTAAACCTTTTCCATACGGTATTTATGGAACTTAAGCTGCCTATTTCACGATAATAATTATTCAGTGAAATATGTGATCGGAGACAGGTTGACGGTTCTGTACATTTTAAACTATGACGTATTTCCACTCTGGATAGACGTGCAAAGAGAGTTAAATAAATTTATACTTTGATATTATCAAATAAATAAAGACTTTATATTCAGTTCAGTTCAAATAGTATTTGTAATCGAGTTCCAGTACGGTACTTTGTAGTGATAGCACCTTTTTTTGAGAGGGATTTAGACTCCGATTCGTATAAAGTACTTTGTAGTGCAAAAATATGTAGACCTTAACTGAACTTTAAGCATTTTAGTTGTGGACTGATAAGTTTACAATCATTCCAGACTGTGTCATAAGTTTTCATCGTTTGGTTTAGTTGTTGGTAATGTAATCAAATTTAAATATTTGATTCGAAAATATTTGATGGAAACTTTTGTACAAGAAGATTGTTAACATCATTTACCAAAGTGATAAAAAATGTTCTCATTACTAAATGAATATACTATTTTGTTGATATAAATTTAACAGGAATAGTTATGTTGCTAATCAATGATAAACTTACAAAAATATAATTTGCAATTATTTTATAACAACATGTAGATAACTATTTCGTTTTATCAACGAATTATGTTATGTTTTTATACATAGAAAAAAGAATTTTAAGTATGTATGCATTATAACATCTTTGTTGCAAACAGATGGTACTTCAGACTAAGTAGGCAATTGAGAAATGAAACCCGTCACTCGACAAACCAAAATTACTCTCTACAAATCTCTTATCTTTCCTGCCCTGCTGTATGGAATAGATGCTTGGACAATTACCAATAGTGATGAGTAAGTGTTAGGAGCATTCGAGAAAAAAAATCTTCGGAAGATCTATGGTACCTAATGCGTTGGTAACGACTATCGAATTAGATGGCACGATGAACTATGCTATTATGCCGCGACATTGACATTGTTAAGTGATTTCGCTGGCTTGATCTTGTTATGTACCATACGTGGAAAGAAGTGCTCTGGCTAGAAAACATAATAGAAGACATCCGCATCTTTGATAGAAGCACCAGGTGATCAGTCATATGAAGGCACACGGTACTGCTGACTAGCGATATCAACCCAATGATCGAGCTGGATGGCAGGGCTAGACGACGAGGTCAAAAACAACCTCGCCAAGTCTGACGAAAAAATCCGTTGGTTAAATTATCTGTACGTACAATTGATTGATGACGAATATTTCGCTTTATCCGAAAAAGCTGTATGGTTCTCCAAAAATTTACTTGTTAAAAAGAAATTTTCGTACTATTATATCCTTTTCTATTGGTAATAGATTTCTTGTTCTAGGATATAAAATTTTTATTGTTAATCTTAAAATAGTTCACATTGATATTGAGTATATTTTTGCACAAAAGATAAGATCTTTTGAGGTGATAGCTTATTGTCAAGATGATGGCAATAGCCGAGTGGGGTAAACGTTAAGTGCTTAATCTAACGATCACAAATATAATTTCTATCCATTATTTCTGAATTTTTGTGAGGAGAATGGCAAATGTTTAATTATTTACAATTTACGCTTGAAGATAAACACTAAATGCACCCCGATTTGGATCTAAGATTTAGTGGTTATACGCAACGAAACCTGTAGAAGACGTACGATATGTCGTGCTTAATTTAGTGATTTTCAATTGCAGTTACATTCATTGCGTTTGAAGGTTATTGGCCATAAAATGCATAACTCATACATATTTACACATACAAATAAATATTAATCTTAAGAGAAAAATGTGCATTCATTTCTAGCACGGTTCGTTCTTTTATTAATTAATTAATTAATTAATTAATTACTCATAATTCACATACACACACACACACACACAAGCAAACCCATATTCATGATCAAATTTATTATTATTTGCAATTAAATGATTAAATTCCGCTAGTTCTAATAAAATTAAGCTTGATTTAATTAATTTAATCTCGAAACGCATGCATTTTGTTGTTGTTGTTGTTTTTTTTTTGGTTTTTTTTTGGTTTTTTTTCTTTTAAAAAGTTTGAAGAGTAACGACTAAAATTTGTTTTGTCTTTTTTATGCTTTCATTTGGCTTATAATTGTTGTTGTTGTTGTTGCTGTTATTGTGGTTGAACTTATTAGTCAGTTTGGTAATACTTGGCTTATTTTGGTACCAACACAAGCACAAATGCAAGCTTAACGTTGAAAAGAAAATATTAACATATTTACACTTAATGCAATATAGTTTTAATCCCATTATTTTATTTTGTGATTTTTATTTTATTACTACTTAATATTGAGACTATTTTAAAATTAATAAGTTTAAAAATTAATTTAATTTCTTATTAAAACTAAATTTTTATACATTTTTTAATAAAAAGAATATTCTATATTGTCTTTTATAGGCGCGGCCAATACGTTTTAAGTTAACATACGTTTTTAGCTAGAACGACGACGCACTCGAGAAACTTTGTAATGAACTACCAAAGCACATCAACAACCTTTACCGCATAAGCTCTACTCCCGATCGTTTCCAACATAACTGAGCGACTACACCCGTCGACTCTTGAGTACAACACAAAAGCAGTTTTCCGTCAAGAGCTCGAAATTGAAGCTAGCTTTGTTTCGTGTTGTTTCGTTGGGAGTAAGCGAGCAAACGAGCAAACATCCGAACAAAAATACCTGTAAACGATCAGACTACGGTTAGTAGCCATATTTTCTTGTTCTTTTTCATTGTCTATCTTCTTTGTTTTATTTTGTTTGTTTGAATTTGTTATTCAAAGCTGTGTAAAGCTACTTTTTGCACAAATGTCAAATAGAAGCAGGCATTGTGAATAAAATTATGACCAACTGTAGTGAATTTCTTAGATTTCTTTAATTTCCACTAACTTTCGCGCTACATCAAGTACTTTAGGCATATTTAAGTCATGAAATGAAATGCATGTGTATGATACGTACACAGTGACAAAGTCGTGATTTCGCCGAGATGATAGATAACATCTATTTTAAAACAAAAATATTTCTGTACTGTTCTGTACTGCAGCAGGATCGATATTAGAAAAACACACAACGGCTCACACAGGATTTCGTTAACGTATACGTAATTAGAGTAAAACTCTACATGTTTAATCATATTATTATATATAAAAAAAATTTTAATATAAAAAATATACTCTTTTAATAGTTAATAAATTGTTATTACGACCAATATTCAATTAGTTTTTATATTTGTTGCTGGGCTTAGATCGTTTATTTAACACGTAAATTTATAACTAGTTATAACTAAATATTTAACACAGTTTAAAAAGTGCAATATTTTATTTTGTTGAAAAAAAATTTTATAAATTTATGTGTTAAATAAATGACCTAAGTCCAGTAACAAATATAAAAACTAATTGAATATAAACTCTTTTAATAATACTATTTTCGAAATATATTATTAATTATAAATATCCTTATTTCTTTATATTATTAATTAAAAATATCCTTATCCTTATTTCATTAAAAATATTATAAAAAAATTTATATTTCATTAAATTGCAATTTTAAAAATAATTTATATCCGACTTGTTAATTTTAATAATATAAACATGTTGTTATATACTAAAAATATTTCTAATATAAAAAATATCTTCTTTTAATTAAACTATTTTAAAAAAAATTTATATAATAAAAATGTCCTTATTTCTATATAAATTTTGAAAAATTGTATTAATTTAAAAAAAACATGTATTTCGCTAGGTTAATTTTAATAATAACTTAATTATTATATTATATATATTTATATATAATATATAAATATATTACATATCTATAATGTCCACATTACTATGTAGAACTTTATTTTGTATTTTAATATTTTATAATGTTAGAAACAATTTCGTTCGTAGAGCAACATTAGCACGAGTTTTTAAGTATTACGTTCCTGGATTAGGTTCTAAACATAAGAAGGAATATATAAATCATGGAACAAATAATGCCTCTACAAACAGAAGAGTATTGAAATTTAACAATTAAAAACAAAAAATGTAATTAATTAATTCAATTATTCTACAACTGGTTTATGATTTCGTTCTAATATAAACACAGCAAGTGAATTTGTTAATAAAACATTAACAAAACTTCAGAAAAATGTGCGAACATGAAAGTCTAGTACGGTTTTGGGTCAGTTGGTTGAGGTGAGCTGACTCTGAGCTTCAAATTTGGTAGGGCCCGTGTTCCAATCCTGGTATTTGCAGTCTCAAATAAAAAAAAAAAAGTTATTTACGAATATAATTATTATATGCAAGAATTATTTCCAAGACTATTGATGATGGATATTATGCAATACTCGAAACAGATGTATGGTCAGCCAAAAATTCAATTAATTCAAATAATATAAAAAAAGAATTTTTGTTGTTGTAGTTCATTACTTTTCGAAAATCTCTTTATAAAAATTTTAAGAAAAATGTTTTCCACAAAAATGATAATAATTTAAAAAAAATCATTTTTGAGTTAAACTAACTTCTGCCCCTATTCAAGTAAATTAGGTACATATTCTAATATATATACTTATTATGTTATACCTAGTATACATATGAAGAACAGAACTAAAGCATATTTCAAAGATACGCAATTATTGAGATATCAGAGATTTCTGGAATTCATGTTTTTATGTGAAGAGTTTTCTCTGATCCCGACTACTTCCCTCAAAAATTTTTTAACTTTTTGTTAAGAAGCACATCGTATTTAAATATTTAAATTTAAATATGTCGAATTTAATAATTTTTTTTATATTTTATTAAAAGAAATAAAATGAAATAAAAATTTACTTAATTTTTTATTTATACTTTATTTTATATTATTTATATGTATATATGCTTCTTGTTACTTAGTGACAAATTAAACACTTGCAGATCGAGAATTTAGAAGACCCGAATAAAGAAATTATTTTTTATATAAACATTGCTTAAAACAATTAGTTAATTTAACAATACTAAATTAATTAATAACTATATAATTTTATTGGAAGTATTTTTTTTCGTAAGAACAGGAAATCTTCAAGAGACGTAGGAAATCTGTGTCTCTATGACAGATTATTCACGAGTAAACCGAAAGGGTTTGTTTTACCAAGACAATGTATTTGAAAAGATTCTGACAGTTAGTAGTGGTTTTGCTTAAGATAAAAAAATGTGTATCAATTCAATACATTTAATACAATTTAAACCATTATTAGGTAACTTTGTTTTTGAATTTAATTGTATTGCTCAATATAGGATATGAACATGTGTTCTATATATATATATCTTTTGTTTTTAGTACATAACCTCTTTGCGAAATCTATCGTTGTCATACTTTGAATTTTACATTTGTTACATTATATTATTATTAATAAATAATGACCTTAATGATCTATAATACTAGACACGCTTGTTAAAACGGTATTTCGATCTAACATGAAAGTATTTTCAATTTTACTAGTGGAAGGTAATGACACCATTTTCAATATCTAACTTAATTACGTATATGTTAACAAAATCCTAATTAAGCCGTTTGTTTGACAAATACTATCAAAACCCTAAAAATCGACTATATTTTTTTTATAATATTATAATATAATTGAAAGAAGATTTGTTTATATATAAAGGTGGAGTAATTACTTTGTTATATATAATAAATTATAATTAAAATTATAAAACCAAAATAAAAAATAATATTATTAATGACTCCAAATAATAATATTGTACTTCTTATGTGTAATGCCATAATACGAAAGAATTACTGTCGTTGAGATCTGCCCGTCGGACGGGAGAGACAGACGGAAACTCAGTCCCGGAATTGAAACTGTCTGCCATTGTATCGTAAACAAAATTGTTTTAAATGAAACTCATGCATTTATTAGAAAGATTTTTTGTACTCTTGAGAAATCCAAGGAGCGCTTTCTTCTGTTATAAAAAAAAAAGAAAACATCCGGCTGATACAAAAGTTAATAAAATATTCATTTTGTGTACCTTCGAAATCTAGGAAACCCATTACGAATATATGCACATTCTTTCTTTATGGACCTAATCGGAAGGAATATTATTGGAGAAAAAACCAATTTTAAATTGCAGTATATTATTATTATTATGTTAGAGATCTATTGTGCAAGATACAATATATGTATAATAACGTTTTATTCTCTATTATGTAGAACTTTAATAAAAAATTTTGTTTTAAAGGTCTTTCACACTCTGTTTATCTTAAGACTATATCTATATATCTTTAACATATGTTTTTATTTTGAAAAAATCTATAAACTCTACTGAGTATTTTTTGTATGTCGATCTAAAACTTAGTTTTTGGTTTCGACTGTTTTCAGAAGAAATTCTAAACCCTATTTTGTAGGTAATGTGGTTCTCTAGTGTTAATGTTAACATCAAGGTACCAGAATTCTTGATTTTTGGAAATTATCCCATTCATTCTTATTGGGATATAATTGACACGCATTCTTAATTTTTCTGTACATATGTATATATTTAAACTCATAGCTATATCGTTTTCTTTGACACAGAAAAAATGCTTCCCTTCATTTTTACACAAAAGTGGCAATGGTTTGTATACCAACCGTATGTTTTCCTACCTTAGATGTTAACTTTTGATTTTCTGATTATATGACCCAGAGCAATATTAAGCAAAAGGCGTGACAAATTTTACCCCTGGTAGAGGTTTTTAAAAGTTATGAAGTTTACTGATGAAAGTTTTTAGATTTGTATTCACACATTTCACATTTCATAGTCCCCATCAAAAATAAAAATTCATAAATAAATATTTTATTATACTATCAATTTGATATTTATTTTAAGGTAGAATCAAATTTATTACTTTCATAGATTTTTTCGAAATATTTGATTTAAATATTTAGCCACAATATGTAATGGTCAAATTTAATTATTTTATTCAAAATTTAAATAGATAAAATTTTATTTTCCGTATTTATAGTAGTAATGTAGTTGGTCCATAGTTATAATCACTGACATATAACGCATATTTTCTATTAGGCTGACATAGTTTTTTATTTGCTATACACCTCTAAGAATACTGATAATATTATATAGGGGCATGTAACTATAAATAAAAAAATAATCCATTATTTAATTAAATTATAAAAATATTTTTGTATAAATTTGTTGGACGTTTGGTGTCTACCGTGATTGACTGTAAATTGGTTTCTTATTTACATTTTTTTGTAGACTTTCTAAATATATGTGATTGATATAGTATCCAAAATAACTTTAAAAACATATCAAAAAACTTTGCTCTCATGTTGGGTTACTAAATACTGATTTTGATAGTTTTTCGTTTTGAGACAAGTTCTGTCTTCTGTTTTTTGTCTATCTATGCCACTATATTCAAGTCATTAATCGAAAACACCAAGGTTCTTTCATTCATTTGTATCATCAAATTAATCACAAACACTAAGTGACATATGTTCAACAAAGAGTAATGTCAATCTACTTACGTCTTGTTACGTAGGGTCGATAGGAAGATAAGTGATTACTTTGCGATCACTTTTGTGTCAGAAAGAAAGGAACAAGACTTGTTTAAGTTTAAACGTCCCTAGTACTGACTTCTGTAGGAACAGTTCTAACCAGGTTTCAAATGAAAATGTAGAACACGTATTATGTAGTGATCTGCAAATAGATCTGGGAAGTGTTTTATTGTTCTTAACAGCAATTGAGAAAAATAGTTACAGCTAAGTAACTTAAGTTTATTATTGAAATCGACTGGTCTAAAAGGTGAAAGTGTGAAGATTTTACATATTTTTTTTCTAAATATTTTCACAAATATATAACTTTGTGTGATTTCCAATCAGTTTAGGACTACCCTTTAAAGATTTTAGATGCGCAGAGAAAATATAATAAATGCTGGGAACAGTTTTATGTAAAACAAAAGACAAAAATAGTTACCGGTAATTTAACAGAACTTTCTGAGGTTTATTATTAAAAATCAATTGGTCTAATAGATGTAAATGAGAAGGTTTTTTTTTATTTTTTCCTATAATAACTATCTTATGTTGAGCCTTTTCCGAGTTAGTTCATCTGGGCACTTTTACTCTATGATGGCTGAGGGGTTTCTGCAGAGTCCTACCCATCTCACTGACTAATTTGAGTATTCCTCATAATCTTCGTGATTATTCAATGATTGATCTAAGATCTGCGTACCGCCCCGTGCGATTAGTGATTACTCTGAGATTAGATAGTGCTAAGTAGGGCAGCCTGTCGGTTTTCGCATATAGCTTCCGAGCTCTGTCCCTTATGTATTTTTTGAACGGATCTATTCAGTTTTGCGTGATTCCACATTGTTTGAGGACTACCACTTTAAGATTGTCGTCAGCTGGTATCATCGAGCCGTTCAATCCACTGAATAAATGCGATTATATACTTCAATGTCGCAGTATAGTTTATACACTTCAATATAGCGGTATAATTTATATGCTTTAACGTCGTGATACAGTTTATATACTTCAATGTTACGGTATAGTTTATATACTTCAATGTCGCGGTATAATTTATACACTTCATCATTTCACTTTATTCGATACTGAACCATAGATCTGTCGAAGAATTTTTCTCTAAAGTTAGGAATATTACCAATCAATAAAAGCATTGAAACATTGAAATCTTCCGAATATGTTCAGAGAAATACTTCATTTTTCATTTTTATTCTTGGTCTTTGCATACTATAAAATTGGAAGACATTTAGAAACTTAAAAACTTAAATTGCATGAATGTATTGAAACCTAGGGAAGGTCTTAATCTAAAATATTTTATAACATACATACATATATAAATATATTTAATTATACTTAAATATCGATGAATATTTATGTTGATATATAGTTTGCCTTAATCAAATCATTTGATTTGTAATACTTATAAATTTCTTAAATAGTTTACTAGGCGTTTCCTAAGATCTTTATATTTTTAGTTTTTTATGAAGTGCAAAGCACGTTAAGTTATTGTATAAATACAATGATATTACTACAACTTAGGGCTATGAACTTAAATAAGAATATACTAATAATATATAATAGTAGCACAGTAAGAGTATGCATATTAACAAGAGAGGCATTACAAAGTAAAGTTTGGAGGTATTATATCTAAGATGCATTTAAGTAACATTGCATTTTATATAACTTAAAATATATATTGTACTTATATATATAACTTATAATAATTAACTATATATGTAGTTGTACGGCAAGTGCTGGATGCATATGTGTGTGTGATCAATATAAAACTAAATTGCCGCATTTTGGGCTTAGAGCGCTCGAGAAATCTATGAAATGAAGGTATTGCTTAACTGGGTCTCAGACATAAAGCTGCTACACACAATTGATATTCTTTTTATGTAGATTTCCTTAGTATGTGTAATCGGTCAGAATTTTGATAATCAATTATGGATAGCTAAACATAAAAGATTTTTGCTGACTCTCTGATTATAGTTTCTTTACCAGCAGTAAAAATCAATTAAGTAGATACGCACATGCAGACTGAATTATAGACAAAATTGTTAACTAACTGTAATATGTGTATATGTATTATGTTTAGTAAGTAATAGTACTTAGTACATATCAACTTACAAAGTAGTCATGTATTTGTATTATAAAATGTTCATTATACTCTTGGCAGTTAATATAACATACCAGTGATATCTATATGAATTGTTGAGGCTATACGAGTATTCCACGACTGAGTGGAAAAAGGCGTTTTAAAAAAATGTTAGCTTTTAATATGCAAGTAATTCAACATTTAGTAAAGCTAAGCTTTAATGAATATCAGCGTCTCATAATGTCTTCAATACTAAAGCCAGTACGTCGAGCCGGTTGATTTTGTTGTGATGAAGGTGTTGCTGAATTTGTGTCGTTTTTAGATGTTGACATTTTCTGAGTATTGGTTAATGAATTGGAATTGGATAAAAGAGGTATTGCTGTTGGTTTCACATCAGTTGTTTCTCTTGTTTCACTTTCTTCGGTTTCTTTTCTACTTTTCGTTGCGACAGATCTATCTCTACCTGCAAAAGTTAATGAAGGCGATGGAGTTGAAGATAGTGATGATGACGATGAGGACAATGTTGATACAGAAGCTCCAGTATTGATTGTCATAGCAGTTTTGCTAGGAATGCTATCTAAGGTTTCATGATTTGAAAATAATTCCCTTGATCCCTTTGAGGTCACTAACATATTGAAATGTTGAGTCTGTCCCTGAATTTGTTTTATTGTGGATTGTGCATGTGTGTGTCGCGCCATATTCAGTGCTACAACACTTATATTGTCGCTGTAGGACTTTTGATTAATATTTTGTACGTGTTCTAGGTCTATTATGCCCGATGAACGTTTTCGGAGTGGTATTGAGCCCAGAAAGCTGGGCATTACATCTAGAGGTGAATGCAGCGGTTGAGTGGGCATCGATGTTTTTGCAGTATTTAAAAAAGATGACTGCAGTTGTTGATGCTGTGGAGGTGATAACGTTTTTGATTTTATATCTGTACTTGGGAATAGAAGATGCTTAGAGTGAAGGTCTCTTCGTACGTGTAGCACCGGTATATATGGATTAGAGCCTGAATTTCTTGGTGGGATAACTAAATTTTCATCTGTTGTTTGAAATGCCCGCATAGCACTATAGCGACTACTAGGGCTAGAATTCATAAAAGCTGAAGCAATTGCATTTGTTATCTGACTACCACCATTACTTAATACCATTTCATGTTCATGACTACGTTGGTCACGTTCTAAATTAGGCCGCATTGTATATGTTTCACCACCCTCATGATGACAGTGTGTAACACCTTGTTTTTGAGGTTTCTTAATGAATAATTCTTCTTGAGCAGTATCAACGCACAATTCAGTTTCTTCTTCATCTTCGATTAAGTCCTCTGCTTCAACAATATTGTCGTCATTAATCAGTTCATCATCAGAATCATCGGAGTCTTCAACACCTTCAAAGTGTGCCTTACGTTTCATTGCCGTGCGTTTTTCATTTGCTGCACACTTCTCATTTTCGTTAAGGCTATTTTCTGTAGTTAAATTATTTAAGGAGGATGAAACATTAAGTACACGTTGTACTGGTGATTGCCTTGGAGAATCAACCTCAAGTAATGAGTCTTCTTCGTCACCACTTATGTTACGGCTATCGTCTTCTTCGCCTACGTCAACAAATTCTGAAGGACCATCAACTTCACCAACAGAATGTGTAAGGGCATGCCTACGCAGATCACAATTTCGACGAAAAACCTTCCCGCATGATGAGCACTCATATGGTTTATGATCGGTGTGCGTCAGCAAATGAGTTTTCAAATTAGAACGTTGATTAAAGCTGCGACTGCAAACTGGACATTTATGTGGTGATTCTTCCATGTGGAGTATTTTATGCACTGCTAATGTACGAGATTGACAGAATCCTTTTCCGCATTCCGTGCACTTAAAAGGTTTCTCCTTTGAATGTATATACCTAATGTGAAGCAGAAAATTAATAAAGTGATTATTAAAAGACATGGAATTATTTTGATGCATTTAATACTAATCAGTAATCAGTTATATAATACTCATATTTTACAACTTACCTATGATCACGTAGATGATCTTGTCGTCGAAAAGCTTTATTGCAAATATCACAAGCATAGGGTCTTTCGTCGGTATGCGTTCGCTCATGTATAAGTAAATTATACGACTTAGTGAACTGACGATTGCAAAATTTACATATGAATTGTTTTTTAGGGCGCGATGCACGGCCTGGAGCACGTAGTAAGCGCCGATCAAGTCCAGCATGCATATTAGGTGGTATACCAGGCGGAAATAGAGCAGCAGCAGCTGGTGATGGAAAAGCAAATGAGCCAGCAGCTGTAGGTGATGGGCCAGGGCCGCTAAGATACGGTGGAGGATACATAACAGTAGACGGAACACCTGGTGGAGGTGGTTGTGTTGGACGTGGCATTAATAAAGCAGCAGCAGCTTCTCTTAATGCCAATTCCTTTCTTTTATCAGCCATCATTGCAATTATTTCAAAATTTGAGCCTCGTTTACTATCTTTTCCCTCACAGCTAGCTGCTGTTGAGTCCAGCATGCTACTATATAGTGCAGCACCTTGTCCACGCATTGGATTTCTTGAAGGCATTACCGGAACAAATGCAGAAATTTCGCGATGATGATGAGCTGATTGAACATTACTTGATATAAGACCTGTGGCTAAATGATGTTGATATGCTAATTGCGCTTCGTACGGTACAACCGTAACAGCATTATTATCTCCACCACGACTGGCCGCAGTATGTGGTTCCGAAGATCCAGATGCAGACGGTAATGGTGGTGATTGCATAAATTGTTCCAACAGTGAAGTGCTTTCAGTAGGCATTATGACGCCTTCATAATTTCATTACGATGTAGTTTTCCAGATTTCTGAAAAAATATTATAATATATTCCAGATTATATGATTTTAAGTATTTTTTATACATAAAAATTAATATGAATCATATTTTATTATATGTAAATATAATTATTGTTATTATTAATTTGTAAATGTAAAAGAATTATAAATAAAAGAAATTTTATTATTTTTACTCTTTTAATTATTCTAAATTAATTTAAAGAAGAAGAAGAATTAGAAGAATTTCTATAATTATAATTTAATTATTTTTCTTCTTTTAAGAACATTTTTTAATTTTATTATATATTAAGTTAAAAATCGGGATTATTATATTTATGTGAATCAAACTGTACATACATATACGCGGTTTTGCGTTTGATTTGTGTACAGTTTTTCGATTTAATATTTAAGATCGTTAAAGAAAATTTTACCTTAATGTTTCACAGTGTATTTATTCAAAAATATGTACTTAAAAATATCTCAGAGCATGATATAAATACACCTACATTATAATTTACTAACATGCATCTGTAAAACGCGATGAAATGCAATTTCGAGTCTACTAGAGATGTATCTATAAAACTCGACGAAATATGACTTTGTCGTAGACGAGTGTATCCAGGAAGCAGACCAGTCCGCCCATGAAGTCATACAATAGTTCTGACAGGAAACTGTATACCCTTTTCTCTTCAAATTCAACTGAGACTAATCAATATAATAAATAATAATTATAACTTATAAAAAAAGCTCTAAAAGGAAAGGTATTTATTCAATTTATTAATAAGGTGGTAAGGGTGGCCGGTCACATAAACTATAAATACTGCTGATAAGTTCGACGAAATGAATGACAATTTTTTAAGTATTGTTAAAATAGTTTCACAATTTTTAATTTAACGAATGAAACTTCACGTACAAAGTTTATGCGAATCTAAGCAACACAAGTCAACAAAATTATTGAATTTAACTATCTATAGAGTGGCTCTATACAACTGCAACTTTTTATATCGAACAGAAAATTAAATTTTTTTAATCATTTCAAATAACCCAACATGAGGGTAAACTTTTGGTCAGAGTCTAAAATGAACCTGCAAAACCTTTATCCATTTACGCAGAAGGCATTTTTCACCCTTCAACACTGTGGTATGTGGAGTGCTGAACTTAGCTTATAAAATATGTCATGCTTTAAAGTAGACTGGGTCTGAATCTGATGATTTTGGAGCTTACTGAGGGTGAAACGTTGTCTCTTAACATTTTATTGGTTGGCACCTGTTTCGTATGATAGTAAATAATCGTGTTGAACTGTCGACTCTCTTTCACTGAAATATTTAGTTGCACATAGTTTTAGAGCACATTTCATAATTTTTTTGTATTGAATGTCCAAATTTTCATATGATCTCCTGTAAAGTAAATTCTAGTTGTTTTCAATACTTCCAGCTGAACAGTTATTGTTTCTCACCTGGTACAGATTTTGTTAAATTGTAGTCTTAAATTTACAAGTTACTTCTGCCGGCGAAATTGATTTATTTCGACCATCACTTTAACATTTTGTAATATAATCTTAAAACTTGCGACGATTTAATACATCAAAGATTTATTCACATTGAAGTGTTCGAGTGTCCTAGATAAGGTTATGTTGGAGTACCGCTTTGTGCCTTAAACCCACTTGAGCTCAAATAATGGTCTGTTGTGATGCCACGGATTAATGCTGTTCATATACGGCGCATGAACAACACCTAAAGGCACGACTTCCCATTCAAGGTTGAACCAATGTGACAGTCCCTAACTGTTTTGTCAAGCCGGTAAGAAAAAGGGGCCTAAAGATTTTGAATTTTCTGTTAAGCAATGTAGAGTTTCTTCCTCATCCGTAGAGTCACAACCACGACAAAAGTCATTATAGAATAGACCCAGTCTTATGTTATGGCTATCCTAACAATAGCCACATGTGGCTTTCCTTTTCTTCATGTTTGATTTCCATAACAGTGAAAATTTTTCCGAAAAAACTGAAAGCTGAATGCTTTGTAATTTATAAAAAATTCGCTCTCGTTAGACAAAACATAGATGCAATCTTTTCGTCAGTACAAAAGCTATAGCAATTCAATTAATCCACTCTGTAATGTTAAAAGTTAATGATTTCCGACTTTGCAAAAACAATAAAAAACGAAAAAAGACTTAGAAGAGAAAATAACAGGTCTTTGGTGGTGCACTTAAACGAAGCAGCCCGATCATCGTAGTTTTTTTTGTATCCTTAGGACAACCTTCCTTAACTTAAGAACGTTGTTAGATAAGAAATTAGAATAAGATAAGAAATTTTCAGGGTTTCATGCAGCTGTTATACATAGAAATTTAAGAGTAGGGAAAGAGCCTTAGATGATTGAGATGTAAATCTAATCCTTGAAAAGTTAATGGAAAGATTGATCTAAAATTAAGATTTTAAACTACTACATGCTACTATTTGCGAAAGAATACTAATAATGAAGGTACTTTAACCTTCATTATTAGGTATTTTTAGAATACCTCACTTTTATTAAGCAAGATAGACTTCAAAACTGTATCTAGTTTATAAGATACTTGTAAATAGACATATCTGTGCATTTCGGACACTGATGTTTATTGATTATGTTCAATTGATATCGAAAACGCTGAGTATATTCTTTGTGAACGCCCTGCTTTTAGCAGACAGTGGATTTATCATTTAAGTCCCATTATTATCCTATGATATCAAGTTTAAAGCTCAAAACTATGAAAAATTTTACAGTTCTATAAGTACAAATACTAATTTAAAATTTAAATTCTTTAACACATGGGATTAAAGATCACGGCTGTACACAATAGATTCATTCTGAGTGCCCTGTTTTTAACAGACAGTGATTTTACTCTTTGGTTGACGTTATTATCTTATGATATCAAGTTTAAAGCTCAAAACTATGGAAAATTTTATAGTTCTATAAGTACAAATATCAATTTAAAATTTATATTCCTCAACGTGCTGGCTTAAAGATCAAGGCTGTACACAAGAGATCCATTGTGAGTGCCCTGTTTTTGGCAGACAGAGGTTTAACCATTTAAGTGACGTTGTTACTCAGTTATATCAAGTTGAAAACTATTAACAGTGTTAAAATTTATTTAAATTTTAAAAACCAGACTGTTCACAATAGATCCATACTGGCCAAAGTGAGTCTTGGTCTATAAATATAATAAGGTATACAAAACTCACTTAGATTCAATCACAGTTGGACAAAAGTTCTTAAATACATTTTGTATTAAACGTATTCAATACTGAACGTATGGAATATTCCACGGAGAAAGTACGAGAAATATGCCTCTGGTAATTCCAATGTAGCGCTGAGCTCACCTGTTCCTATAGTAGTATACTCTTAAGACTGTGTTACGTACGCAAAAAGATGTATAACATTTATTAAAAAGTTGAATTATACGGAGTATATATGTACATATATACTTTATAATAATTAACCGCATAAGTGCTTGTGATGATGGTAACGTATAAAATTTGTACTTTCTTGTTCATTCTTTTTCAGACTGAACAAGGATGAAAAATAAAAAATCCAAACCAGCAGAAGCGCAGTGAAGAAAAAGCTCAACAGTGCCGTGCTTGTCCAGCGTTGAATAATGTACACACACTTGTTGGAAAAATTCATCAGATAAAAACGAACGCACAGGCACTGGCAGGCACACATACACACAAACACACACACGCAAATACATATGCTCCAAACATAAGCCCAAACACATACATAGAAGATTATATATATGCTTAGGTACAGACAGTGTAAAGACAGTAAAGGCAAAAAATTAAATAAACTGGATTAGACCCAACGTTCGTTCGTATGAAGTTAAAACTTCGAAGACGAACGCGAACGTGAACGCGAATATACTGAACTGCTGAAACGTTGAAACGCTGAGGTAAAATCAAATAAAAGACAAAAGTAAAGTAAAAATGTTCAGGCAAAAAGACAACAGAAAGTTGAAAAGCAAAGAAAACAAATATATTTGAAAAATAAACAAAAATAAGAGAGATATCAGCGTTTTAAAACAGCAGACCACAGCCGACTACAGCAGATCAGGCAAAACTTTTTGTACAATTTTAGATAAGAAGTCTTTCGTCTTTCTAGATTTCTACAGAATTGAATTGAACTGAACTGAACTGAACTGTGTGCACAACTACGAATATTTCATATTTAAACAATGAAATATTTCGAATAAATATATTCTTAGGTAAACAAATCCTTCATCTTATGGGATTTTTAAACAAATCTAAGTTTGAGTCTGAGTCTGAGTACAATTAGAAAGACGTTCATAATAAAAAAAATGTATAAGAATATAACTATACTGAAAAGATCAATTACGTTTGTTTTTTTAATGGTATGAAACAGTACATTACGATTTCTAATATTTACAAAGGAATTAGATTTTTGAACTAAATTTTATTTTATAAATAAATGTGTATAAGCAGTGATATTCACCTTATTCTATGTAAGTGAGTACAATCAATAATCTTGGAGAATGCATGAGTACCTCTGGTTTTTAGCAATTCTAGAATAATTCTGGATTTAATTTAAATTTAATTTATCTATAAACTGTGTTAGAAAGAACTACATATTTTTTTCAAATAAATTTATAGAATATAAATCTAAAATAACAACAATTAGCAATATTCGAGTATATACGTAATTATACTAATAAGCAAAGTAACTATCCTAGTTGTATAACTTTTAATAGAACCTTTAATATAGCAATCACTTCAGTTATATGCATATATGTACATATTTTTTAGGCATGTATGTAATGAAATAATTATATTTGAATATAGTTGCTATATGTATGTATGTATGAAGTAATCATGGCAGCAATCATAATAAGAAACAGAAGCTTGCGGCAATTCTGTTTTGTTGCAGTATTTATAAGCCAAAAACCGGATTAGTTCTTAAATTGCTGCTGTGTTGCCGATGCTGCTTCTTATCTGATTCATATTAACCAATAATTTGTACATAAAATGTGCATATGCGAAGAAAAAGCTGCAAATGTTTAAATTTCAAGAAACAAAAAAAAAGGCATTGGCAATATAAAAAAAATTGGCAATAAAGCATGGTACTCGCAAATGATCGGTACATTGTAACAGAACTGAAAAATATACATACGTATTCATACACACACATACACGCACACAAATTATATAAAAAAGGCTTAATGGATCTAAGCTGCAACAAAAGAAAAGCAGTGGCAGAATGGCACCAGCAGCAGCAGCAGCATCAGCAGAAATTTTGTGTGCAGTGGCAATGACAGTGGCAAATGCAGCTGTAGTGGTAGCTTCCAACTGCCATGACCACAACCCTACCTACATACACAGTAATGAATTTGTAAACAAACAAACAGCAGGCACACAGCACTACAGCACAACGGACAAAAGTCATACATCGTTTTTACAAGCGTTTTTTTTTACTCACACAACTAACGAAATTCTTGAAAGTTAAATTTCTTACTTAATATGCATGTGTGTTAGTAACATTCATATAGGTTTTAACATCTTTGCGTTGTATTGCTTTTTCAGTTTTGTTGACAAAAACAAAAAAAAAAAATAAATATTTTTAACGTTCCTTTTCACAAATAAAAAAAAAACATTAATTAGTGTAATTGTATTTAAATTTATTATTATATTATTCTTAAGTTTTTTTTTTCATTTTTATTATATTTTAAACGTGTGCCAATAACTATTTGCGCGCATTTTCTTAACAGAAATTTTTCACTTGAGATACTTGTTAAAAATTCTCACTTACGAAATTTTGTTTTAATTTTATGGTTTTATGGTTTCCAATTTGTTTTCACAAAATAAAATAAAATTTTTTCAAAATAATTATTTTTTACTTTTCACTAATTAATAAAACTAAGCAAGTAAATTGTGATTTAATTTATCTGTAGAAATAATTTTTCACTATTTCAACGTACACATATTCTTTTTTTAACACAAATAAACCAGTTCGCTTTAAAACATTCGGAACTTTTTTTAATAATGCTCCTGTCTTGTCTGAGAAAGAACAAGAGTACGAGTACAAGCAAAAGCACAAGTACTTTACTGACTTTTTTAACATGTTTAAATTTTATTCCTAAGCTGCTTTTCATGTACAAAAAAAAAAAGTTAGTCACTTGATCGAACGGGTAGACAGCCAGATAGGCAGACGAAGAGCTAAACGATAACACGTTAACAACAACAACAATATTTCAATACATTTTGCTTTGAAATAGGAGCGCTGAAGCCAATGCAGCTACCAAATCGCTCCTCAAGTAGTTTAATCTCTTCCCACACACGTTAAGAAAATATAAAATAAAAAAACAAAAAAAAAACACTTGGAATTTCAGACGATAGGGTATATGACAATGCTTGTTAGACGAAAGGGGTTATATTAACCTATACTTCAAGCAATAATGCGATATAACCAGTTTTTAACAATGCATATTGAGTAAATATTCATATACAAACAAACAAACGCAAACAAATAAACACAATATGAAACACAACTATACAAACGCGGTACTTAGCAACTATTTCGACTGGTGTATATGTACACATAGTCACTAACAAAATTGTAAAACAAATACAAATACAATTGAAACTTCGTTACGTACTTTATTATGGTAGTGTTAGTAAATTTTTTAAAATGCGCGACGTCCGCTTATTCCGTTCTTTGGTTAGTTGCAGGTGCGAATGGTACGATCAACTGTTTGATACTAATTCCTAAGTATAGCTCCGTTGGGGGCATTGGGCATGTGCTATCGGTTTTGTTCGTGTCGTGCGATTTTTGCTCACTGAAATACCTGTATTGAGCGCATAACCCAACATACAAAGAGAGAAAGAGCACTGTTTACCTGTTGCCAGTTCTCACACTGGCAACAGGCAACAAGAAAACAAAAACAAAAAACCAAAAACAAATTTAACAATATTTTAGCCAAAGACTTAGATTTTAACTGAAATAAGTTCATATACGTCAAGAGCAATGCGCACACGAGCATTTGTTGGACTACGTACGAATGTGTGTGGCACTCATCCGTAAACTAGAAATAGACGTGTTGGACCGTCCGTGGTACTAGACGTATTGTTTGTACTTCGAATTGGTTGTGTACTTATAACTTGAATTCCGTAGCAGCAAGTAACTAATCAGTAGTTTAAGCAAAGAATTCATTATATTTTATTATTTAACTCAATCATTAGTTTTATATTAAACTCCAATTTTGCTCATTTAAACATCGTTCTTCTTCTATGAAAATATATGGTATATGAAATTAATTTTTATTTATATATCATATTTAATATTTCCATTTTGTTTAAAAATTTATTAATTTTATATTTAATATTTTATTTAATTAATTGAAGGTAGCAGTAATTGATAAAACATCAAGTGCTTTAATGGATGAATCATTTTATAGGGCAGGACATATTCACATCTCCAGAAAGCGTTTACGTTGCAGAAAATAATAACAATAGCGGAGAGATCACGACTAACGTTTATAAAGCGAATAAAACCACTTCAAAGAAGAAGAGAAAAAAAATGTTTGGCGAAATGAAAAGATTATCGCAGAATCATTAGAACTCAAAAAGATTTTGTGAAGCCTAGCAGACTATATAGCGATATAAATAAGTTTAGATAAAGAAGAAGAAAATTCTTTTGTAAAAATTTGTTTAAGTGAATAGAGACAAACTAACAGATTAGAAACAAAATAATAACATGAAGAAAAAGAATCCTTAAATTCAATTACTAACTTTTTAAACGACCGAAATAACGTTTAAGAAACAAATCGAAGAATTTATAAGAGGAAAAAAATGTTCAATGAAAAAAAGCTGGCGAAAAAATTATCGAGACGGGAAGATTTTTAATATATGTATATTTTCATATAATGACCTCTATAACCGAGAACTCAAGTGAACAGTTACACCACATAAAATTTTTAAGCTAATATATTATTTTATATTATATACGTATATTATGCATGAACAGTTTATTGCACAAAGGAACCTAAGTCACGTCTTTGAAGGTTTTGTATTAGAAATAAAAATATTCACTAATGGGGTAGGCTCAACTTTCTGTGCAGGAAGCATCAATTTGCAAGGGCACTTGTCTTAATGTCTTTAATACCATAAAAATTCCACAGAATCTAATTATATATTTTCCAAAAATATTGTAGGGCGAATTATAGATACTTTTCTGTATTTATTTATTGTATATGTCATATTTAGTGTAGAGCATATTTAGTCAAAAATCTGTTGTCATTTTTTAAATGCAAAAAAGAATTTTCCTTATTATACTATTATTCATTATCATTATCATATTATTAAGACTCTTACTTGTTGCATATATATATATATATTGCAGTGTATATCCTTTCTTTAAAAAGACACATATTAATTGTGTTTTAAAACTATGTTTAACTATCTTCTACAACTTCCATACATTGCTTTCTTACTTAAAAAACGTTACTTTGCATAAATTTTTGAAAAAGAGCTTTGTCATAAGTATTAACCCTTTCGAATCTCACGTTAATCCATTGATGGTTAACAAGCTTTGTTGTTCAAAAAATGACTTTATATAGGTGGAACATATTACGATGTCCATATAAATGTCTGACAAAATGTTGTATTTTTAAAAAAAATTTGCCAAAACTTGCTTTGCATTTAAGAAATTTTCACTAGTCATAGCCAAGACAGAAGTGACAAGACAGAAGTGACTCGTGGTAGAGCTAACCGGCCACTGCCTAGGGGACACACATCACAGTTGGGTTTTTCTTATAGAAATGTATAAGCTGCAAGAAAAAAGAAGGAAAACGAAAACAACTAAACATTTTTTTTGAAAATGTCATACCTGGAGGGATTGAGATATTCCACTGCAGAAATCTATGAACCTATTACCTTGATGTAAATCTTTTAAAAATACTTTCCCTTATCAACCGCGTAAGTTATTTTTAAAACAAAGGTTTTCACGATCAAGTTTGTTGTACAGAATTGACACTTATGTGCTACTTGGACAGAAGAGGAAGCTCTGCTGCCTCTAAGACTAACCAATCAGGATTTTCTTTCTCTATACCTTTTATATGCTTCCATGCTTCTATGTTTCCTTTTTATACCCTCTCAGTTAATGTCTAAATTACACATCCATATCCTATATTTTATGCTTGTGGAAGTACTTTGTTTTTGACATTGGGGTCCTTAGTACCTTCTAAATGGTGCAGACAATCAGCGAAAGAGTTTTTCTGTTACTTTAACAACGGTTCATAGTATGTATTCTTATCAACTCGTAAGGTTAAAATATATGAAATGGATTGAACAAACTATGAATAATCGCCGATTTTGTTATATATTTAATCATCCTTCGTTCATCCGTTATTTTTTCATAATAAAGAAATTTATTTTCAATCCAGCTGTACCATTTATTTTAGACAATTAAGTGGGTTATCTGCTTATTTATTTACAGCAATTAGGAATGGTTCTACAAATTTGACTTAAATTACATTGTTTAAAGTCTAGCCGAAGGAAGTGTAGAACATTAATTAGTGAATTGACAGGTCACTGTCTGCTCGCATCCCATGCACACAAACTAAACAAACTATACGAGCAGTAATTTAAAAAAATTATCAAAAACATAAGAACAAACAAGACAATACTGCAAATATCACAAGCCCATTTTTGTGGATTTCTGACTAAATTATTATAAATCCAATTGTATTAAAATCACAACAAAGCAAATTAAATTTGATATATTTAAAGATATATAAGTGTCAACCAAATGAGAATTACAAATCTATTTCCCGTTATATTGCATATATTATAGTAAAATAAATGTAAATTATGCTAAACATGCTAAGCTGCTAAACATGTAAATATTGATAGTATAATCTTATGTGTTAATTAAACAATACACATAAATATGGTAGAAGACACGATCTAATATCCATAGATTATGTAGTTAATTTTATTATTATGATATCACGATTTTTCGATTATTACTTTGTCAAGGAAGTGAAAGATATTGATCATTATTTTGCAATTAAAACATATTTGAAACTAATTTTAAAAAATAGACCGGTATATATTTTATCGCCTTGAGTAATGTACAATGAGTACATTTTCTCTTAAAGTTAAGATAACGTCTTCATTTTAACATTTTACAGTAAAACCATAATTCACGCAATTAAAAGGGCTTTGCTTTGTCTTTCACATTTTCAGATGCATTGCTAGTGTCATTATCAAACTTTCCACAAAAAAATAAAAAAATTATAACTGTAAAAATTAAACTTATCAACTTTATTCTATTATCAAGCTTTATTAGAGCTTATCAAGTTCTATTCTTCCCTATAATAATATTGTCTGTGTTACTTATACGAATTTATTTCTAAATATTTGTGGCTAACCTTAAACGACAATAAAACTTTTATTTTTCAATATCTCGAATACCGTGTGATGGATTTTTTTGAGTTTTTTTTTTAGATTCAATGGACCAACTCTACAGGTTCCAATAGAAAGTTTGTTATAGTTAATTTAATTTGGATCTTCATTATTATCAAACTTGACGAAACTGTTCCAATGTTTAATCAGTAGCGATACTACGGGTTCGCTCGGTCAACATTACCAATAAACGGACTTGATGTTCAACAGCATTTTCAATGTACTTATATATATTTTTGCCTAATACTGTTATTATTACTATAGGTTTTAAGACATCAAGCTTTACAAATTTTGCCACTCATGTTGTGGTTATATATGTAGTTACCTTTGACATCCAAGCCAGTTTCAAATTCTCTCTATGTACTAAACAGACGCGTAGACCCTTACTACGCGTGGCCTTTTTGATCTGTCAGTATAACGTTACCAAAGACAACCAAGACTAGCATAATTGTCCATCTTAGTTACGGTGCTTAGTATTCTACACAGAATTTTTAGAATTCTTTTAACAGAGAGTCTTTCATTTATACATATTGCATAATGTACAATAAGTAAAAAATTGGATATGGAACGGATGCTAGAGATTTCGATCGCAGTTATATACGATTCATTAACATAATATATGAATGCGTAAGTACCTAGACATCTCAAGGACTGATTAAGCATTTAACTGTAGTTAATAGCCATTGAAGTAAAATTAAGCATATACACTTAGTTGAACAAAAATTGTTATTTGTTTTATTAATGTGATAAGATTCCAATGTTAATTAACAATTACATTCTGTTTTTTAATTGTGTACACTATTTATAATAAACATTGTTCCCTTCTGAAGGAAGTACGTGGTACTGCTTTTAAAGGGTATACAGTATATATTCTAAATTTAATGTTCCCTAGATTTTATTTAAAACATTTCTATTTAATCGTTGTCAGTGGTTTTATTCCATTAAATAACTAAAGCTGCGACGCGTCTTCCGATTTGAAGAGTTTCTTGAAATTGTTTTTAACCTTAGTTACCCAGATTTAATCCAACGATCTATTGAATATTCCAGAGCTGATATCCATCTATAAAATAAAATAATTAAATATATATATTAATGAAATGAAAATTTTTCAAAATTTTGACTAAAATTCTTTAACTAGAACACTTGTTTCTTTGAAGCCTAATTCCAAATTTGGGGACTCTATATTATAGAACACTTAAATATTGTAAAAATATTATAAATGATAACTTTATGTGAATACTCAGTGCTTCATAAAATATTTTATGCAATAATAAATATGTCATATTTCATTCTAATAAAAATATTTTTTAAACATTGAAGGAGCATTTGTATTCATTCTAGGTTCCTTTCTCAATTTTATATTTAAATTATCAATACCATTGACTTATATATCATACTATACATCTGTACTATACATTAAAATAATATATAAACTATACATTTCAAACTCTAAAAGCATCAAAAGACATTCAGATCAAGAATTTTACATTATCTATTAGTATACTCCATGAATTTTAGGAATGCTAAGGTGGCTTTGCACTCAAAATATAATACACAGATTATCACTTATGTGATAAGAATACTACTATATAATTTACGGTTTCAAGTACAATGGTCATTATCAGTTCTTCTTATGCTCACCTTATCTAATCAGAAAAAAGGCAAGGAAGTTACCTTTGCAAGTCTGTCAATCCATTACGCTGGTCCGTTTCGCCCTTCAGTGTTAAAAAGATTTGGTATAAAATTATATCCATATTAGAGTGACCAGATTTTATTTTTTTTAATACGGAATAATTTATTGCAATTTGAAGAAGATGACATTAATATACATATATTTTATACTGATTTTTAGTTTATAAAAAATGTGAGCTTCTAAAAGTATTATTAAGTTATATCGCGGTCGGGTGTTGAATAAGTTGATCAACTTAATCTTTCAAGTGATTAAATTAAAAATTACAAGGTCAGAAAATTTTGATATTAAGACACGTAGTGTGGTAATGTATTATAAGTAATGACAACCCTTCAAATATTGGAACGTCTGGTCACTAACATAGAAGTTTACTTAGGATCGTATCATGTAGAAGGTTAGTTGGCTCGTATATAAATTGGTTAAATATTTATTTATGAGTTTCTACTTAAAAATTTTATACTCATTGCAGAGTACATCACTTGCTTGCATACCTTTTTTTATCCATTTCCGATTCAGTACAGAAATAGTAATGTCGTAATTTTGATTCAGGAGGTATAATTTCAAATGAATTCTTTTTTCCGGATGCACTGACAGACATTGATACTACCTTATATCCATGTAAACACGCCATACCTAAACGGAAAAAAGAGCAGTTAAAAATGCAGTGTGTATTAACTTAATTATAAAATGTACCAAAAGCATTTTTACTGTTTACATCCTGGAAAAAGTATAAGCATGCGTCTTTCAGAACACAGTACCGTTTAGACCAGCCGCACCATCTTGATCCTAATTTCAATAGATAACCGAAACAGTCTGGCCTCGCTATACTGCTTGGCGGTTGGTAAATATATTGCGAGCTACAATAAGATAATGTGTATTGTATATAATAAATTAGGAGGAACATCTGTGGTATCTGGTAGTGAACGAACCATTTTTCTAGCCAGGTGGTGTTTTGAAATGCAGCTTGTTTAAGAACTTTAATCCATTGGGCACTTAACTCTTCAGTATCTGCCGCCACATGCATTGGAATACCCTCACCAGAGTCAATTTTAAATGCAAATGGCTTACCAATATCTGGCTGGCAGCGTTCAATGGTATGTTTTGTCATTATCATCGCACCGACTGGTTGTGAATCCTATAAGCATAAATCCTTATTAATACATATACCACATAGTTAATAAATTTAAACGTTCTTACATTTTCAGTCTTATAGTAATAAAGTCCATTGTCTGGTCTCAAAGAAAACCATCTGCGAACCCATTTTTTATTATTTTGACATCCTTTAGCTTGGCCACTTTGACGCCATAAATAGCCAGAAAAAATAGGCGGACTCGGTGGTTCTTGTTGTTCATTTAAAAGAATACCGATAGTACGTGCCACTTGAAGTTCAAGCGTTTCGCAGCCATCGTGTGCAATTTTTACTACTTCAGTATGATGCTTATCTAAAACTTGAACATTATTCACTGATATAATAATGTCACCAACTTCCAAGCCAGAGCTCTCTGCTGGTGTGTCCGGTTCAATAGCAGCTACTACAACTGGTTTCGAGCCATGTATACGAAAGCCAAACTCACCAGAATCACTTTTCACCACCACTGTTTTATCAACACCTGTAACGATGAATAACAAGGTAATAATAATAATGTAGTAAATACCAATAAATTTTATTTTATTGTAAGTATGTGTATAAGTACAGTGTTCAGACCTACTTATCATGAACTCATTACACTAAGTTCGGTTAGTTAGACAATCGCTTGAATTTAGGACTCACTTAGGCCAATGACCTATTGTGATAAACTCAAAACTCTGAACTCTAAAAAAATATACACAAATTCATGTAGATCACTATACCATGTAAACCCGATGTTATCTTGGAAAGAACATACGCTTCCCTAGACCATACCAATAGCATTGTCTTCAATACTTCTTCTAATTTTCGACGAATGGTTTCTGGTGATGAATTTGATGAAATTAGTTCTAAGGATGGTTTTAAATTTGTTTATTAAATTTTCACTAATCAACAGTACAATAAGTTTACCAATCATTGTGTATGTGATAATTTAGATAGAAAAGCTTCTTTCATTAAGCAATAGATAGTAGAGTAAAAAGCACAAGTTAGTATGAAGAAATTTAAAGACTTTTTCTTATATGTCTGAACATCTGAAGAGGTAAACGAATTCTGCTATTATAAATATTATCATCACACAACAGCTTGTTGAGCTGCGATGATTCAAAAACAAGTGCACGCATAGAACACAGTCTGTACTACTAACTATACCAAGCAGTCGGCCTGTTAAATCAAGACCTTCACCAATTCTTATATACAAGAGATACAAACCAATACTGTGTGATATCAATCTGATGTAATCTTTTTGTTTTGCTTGTTTTGTTATTGTAATAACAAACAATGATAAAACGTATATTTTTTTTGCAATGGTACATAATCAAAATAAAAGGCACCTCTAGCAGAATGTAACCTAAAAATGTTCTGTTCTCTATAGAACATTCTGTGTTCTTTCACAGATAGTTTGTATTCTTAAGCTCTCCGCCATTTGGTTTATAGTTTATATGATAAATTGCACTCTTTAGTTTTAGATACAGGGTACTTTGCAATTAGAACAGTCAATGAACAATATATTCAATAATTTTTAAAAGTTCCTCGATATATAATTTTAAATTAACATTGATTTGCTAATACTTCATAAATAATAGGTTCAAATAATATAAAGGTTCTTCAGAATGATCTGATATATTTAATCTGATATATCACAGTCGAATATCTACACATAAATTAGCTGCTACTTTTCAAACTAACTGTGAATAAAGAACTTAACACCCTGCTAATAGTTTATAGTAGACATAGAAATCTACATCCAATTGTGTCTCAGCACGCGGTGGTGCTACTATGCCACGGAGTATAAAAATAAACTGACAACGAAAAAGTGAGTTCATTTGCCATTGCCAAAACTAAAAACCGAGGTGGCGTACCGCAGACATCACAGACGCACCTCTCTATAAATAATTTTTGGTTTTTATTTGGCTTTTTATTCGAAATTTATAGAGCAAAATCTTTTTTCACATATGAACTGTGAAAATTTGCAATAAGTTGCTTGGGCAATTTATAGATGAAATAATTCCTAATTGAACTTTATTTTCCTGAAGATATTTATATTATATACAAATACCATATATATCAAATAGGATTCATATCTTTAGGTTTTTTATTTATGATTACAATTCCTACCTTAGAAAAGAAACTTTTCTCTTAGAGTGCAAGCAATGGAAGTAGTTATGGATTTGATCTTTCTGAACCATAATTTTATAAAACTTCAAGCTTGCTTATAAATAGACGACTTTAAATCACGTAATAAAAAAACATGGATTGAAGCTTCTTATTATACTGAGGTACACAACTATAACTACAACAAACTACAGCAAAAAAAAAAAAATTTGAATTTCAGAAACTGAGTCGTTTGGTAGGTATATCATCCAATGTATTATACCAGTAGTCATTTACACATTAGAAAGTTTCAAGGTTGTTTTACAATGATCATATCGGAGATGGGTCATTCTATGGATTACACCAGTTTTCATGTATGAAATAAAAAGTTGATAATGTTCATAGAATGTTTTCATAATTTTAATTGAAAAGCCTACTTACTGACCCATATATAGAACCAAGTTTCAAACTTAATTGATCTTATTGTTTTTAAAAATATACCCAAATGTAATCCCAGTATCGGGGATTTTTATGATCTTCAACCAATTATCAATGATTATAATATTTTCAAAAACTCCAACACTAATCGAACGACCACCAGATTAGTAAGTAAGTCTAAAAAACTAAAACTAAAACTAAACTACCATATATTATTTTAATTGAAGTGCAATTTGATGATGTGCCTATGCTAAGATTTACTCAAAATATTCGGAATATATAGCATTCAAACTGACAAGTCTGAGCCATTCAGTAATCCAAGTATCGCAGTTGAAGCACCGATCGAGTAAGTAGAAAGAATAAACTGGGGAGATAAACTCAAATCCGTTGGGGTAGAAAACTTATCTCCAACTGCTAATTTTATACGATAGTTTATTATATTATAGTTTATTATATTTATCTAGTCTTTATGCAATCAAAAGTTCTAAACTATGTCCGCGTTAGATCAGGAAACTTTTACGAAAGATAGCACAATAAAAGTCAGATATCACTGTGTACTGCTTTCCTTTACAATAATTGTAATTCGAAAATGGACCTTTAGAGCTATATGAAGTTTGATCCCTCAAAAATTATTGTGACATAAGGATTTATCTTCTATCTGATTGATACAGTCAGATACAGTATGCCCTTTAAATAAAGAAGCATTACATAAGATCATATATTATTTAGACTTTATGATATTTTACACGCAATGCCCTCTAGTTATAACTAAGCATTTCTGAACAAATGGCTGACGATATATAATGAGGCATTATTCCTAAATTAGATTGCTATTAAGCCCTAAACGAACCTAGATAAGCAATGTTTTCAAGTTTTGTCAGGCACTTAATAAGAATATTTCAGACTATCTTACGGAAAGTGTTATTTTTTTGGCGATGATACATTTCTAATGTGCATCGTCGTTGAACTAATCGATGCAAAATAACTTGATATTTGGTGTAGAATCCTCTCTCCGATTCAGTTGATGATTTACGATCGCGTTGATGATCTGAAAAAAAAATTAAGAATAATTTAATGAAAACGAAAAACTAGAAACGTCAAGTAAAAAAAACTATGTATACCAAAACTTTGATGGCTTAATTGAGTCCAAACATCCTCGTCTGTTAATCTTGCATAACGATCAGTGTCATAGTGACCTTTATAAATAATTTGTTGAATTTGCTCTGAATTAGAATCAGGCAAAACGCAAGGACTAGAACCAGCTGGTCGCAAAACTGGTGGAATTTTCATGTTGCTTTCTCGTGTTCGCTCCTCGCTCTAAAAATAATTTATCTTGATTAAATTCACTTAAAAAATTATATTAAATTAATTACTTACTTTAGCTCTGACATTTTCTTGTCGTGATTTGTAATGACGTCCCCGCTCTCCATGATATCGATCTTCTGATCTAAAACGCTTATCCATTTTTTTATACAATCGTTGAGTTGTTTTTATTGTAACTGGAGAATCTGCAAAATCTGATGGTGGCTTTACTATGTTTTGTTCGTTTTCTATGTAAGGTAATGACTCTACTGAGTCACCTTCAAGTGTGCTTATGGTAAATTTTTTATCTTCCATTTCTTTACCGCAATGTAAACAGTGATTTTGTTGATCGGGTGTTATACCATCTGCTTCGCTGTAAAATACGGAATCTGATCCAGGAGATACAGAGCGTAGGGATTCAATAGATTTCGCTTTTAATTGAGTCACTTCAGAGGCTGACTTTGTAGCAACTGGTTGAGAAGTTGTTTTTGAAACTACTTCAGTTTTCTTTTGGGTGCCGTTGTCATTTTTTGTGTGTGCCGGTCCACAATCTATAAGCTTCTCTGTACTACCCAAAGTAGCAAATCCATAGAGATTTGCAATATTTTGACGTCTTGGTGTGTTGTCATCTTTTGCAGAACGTTTGAATTGACGACGAATTTTTGGACGGAGACGTTTTATTTTATTAGGACTTGAAGCATCATTAACATGTAATGACTGTTGCTCTTTCTCTTGATATCTCTCTCTAGCTGTTGTTGAGAGTAATTGTGATTTTTTTATTGGGCTTGTCAATGCACGCATATTTTCTTTCTCAATGTCTAGTTTCATAGAAGTTTTTCTTCTTTTACGGTCCTCGTCCAAACGTTGACGTCTTGATTTCGTAACGGAATGGTTTTCATCATGAGGACTTTCATAATAACCAGAGGAAGAATAACGAACTTCGCTATGATCATCATCTGATATAGATTCTGGTTTTAGTTTCGTTTTTGTCTTAATAGGATGCATAGTAGACTTGTCAACAGGCTTTGGTGATGTTATTGTATCGTTATAAGTAGTGGTACTTTCTTTAACTGGAGATATAGCAGCAGGGCGTGCAATATTATAACTACCGGATGAAGTGCTACTTATAGAATGTGCAGGTGATTTTATAATAGTTTCTGCTGAGTCTTCATTCTTTTGCGTTTGAGTTGGTTGTTCAGTTATTATTTTTGGCGTTCTATCATCCTGATGTACGACATCCTCTGATAGAATTTCACCACGTGTAGAGTAAAGAGATGATGCACTCTCAAAAGATGAACCGCCATGTGTTTTGTCCATAAGTGAGCTTTGTGTTGAAACTTTAAAAATATTTAATATTAAAATAATTTTAAATTAAATATAATTAAAAACAAATATTTTACACATAAGCAAACTTAAAATTTACGAGTAGTTATAACAACTAAAATACTCCAATGATGCAATGAGCTATATAATGTATTACATCTATACATAAAACATAGAAATAAAATAAAATGCAAAATTTATTAATGTCTTCCTGAATGGTATTGTTCCAGACTAAGTTGTATTAGAAGACTTATGAAGTATTAATTAGTTGGGCCTTAAAAGAAGTGTTGCAGTAGTATATTTCATTATAAGGATTAAAACTATTGTCATTATACTAAGTTTCAATTCTCAGCAAAGAATTTAAAATCTCATAGACGCGTAATATTAAAAATTGAACAGGAGAGATACGACTAGTGTCTTTCATTACCAAATAAGATAATTTACTATTGAACATTGCAATAATCAGTAATATATGTAATCTATTTGTTATTAGAATTAGTGCCAGAACTTATTATCATAAACGACGTATTTCATCTAAACAAATACTGTTTGGTTTTTATAATATCTATTTCATTAATAAAGGAAATTTATAATCAGATAATAAAACCATGAAGTAGTTATCTTCTAAGTCTGTATATATTGTATATCGTAGATAGATGAGTGAAATTGACTGGTGGAGCACTGAGATACCGCAAACATCCTTTGTTTTGGATTCACAATCATAGATTCTGATTATTTATCTATCAAAAGAACTATGACATATCCATTGTTTTAGTTTGCTTCTCATTATCAATATTGTTTCTCTAAATAAGTCTCAACAAACAAATCCAGTAATTTATTATCTTTTTAAAGATCTTAATTATTTGGATTGTACAATTTTGGACTTTAATAAGGGTTATTATTCTGATATTTTACCTTAACACTGTTAAGACATTTTATTAAAGAAATATTTTCAAGGAGCTGGATTTTTATTTTAAACCTTTCTACAAGACTTCCAGGATTAATACAGAACAACAATTCCGCCTTAAGACTGGAACTTTAATATAAAAAACACACAAATAATGATGACCTATAATTTTACTAGATCAGGAATATGTTATAAGATTAATTCAATCAGAGTATAATATTTCCATTTATCTTAAGGCAATCCGATTTTATATTACCACTTAATATATAAACGGATTTCAGAAGTACAGATTGCTGTTCTTATCTTAATATATTCAAAGCTGCTAAATTGGTTTAATGTTTGATTTATAACCTTATATATTATTTTCTTTTATAATTAATATCAAGGATGTATTTCAATCTTAATGTTTAAAGTGATGTTCGATCTATTTTAGTTCCAACTTAGCTCCAGTTCAAAACTTCGTCTTTATGTTTGTTTTTGTAATACGTATCTCTCTCTTTCTCTATCTCTTTCTATCTCTCTCTTCTCTCTCTGTGACTACGTTATGAGTACTTATACCACTCCAACACAAAACACATGCTTTCTACTATAAAATAAAAAAAAAATCTAAAACCGGAAACCAAGCAAAATAGAATAAATCTAAAGCGCAAAGAAAAATAGTTAACATCTAAGAAGGCTCGTTTCGATCCAGCAAAAAAAATAATTAACTAAAAATATAATAAATTAAAAGAATACTACGAAGATTTTTACTTTCATATTCACATTGGATGTGTCGAATGCATTCGGCTATGGAATACATTCAGATACATTCGGTGGATTTGACGTTTTTCGCTCTGAAGCATTCCACAACACATAGGGATGCGTCTCAAGAAGATCATGAACATGGCAGTCCACAAACCCATGTTTAGAATGGACGCATAATGGTTGATTCATGCAAATGAAGTACAATTTTCTGACACTTACACACACAAATACATACAGTTACGAACACATACATTTGAATATAAGCAAAATCGTGATTAGCTACATATCTCTAGATTAAAATGTTTGAGGTTTAAGGATTGCCAAACTTTATGGCTTATGGCAACGAATTGTATAACATTTCCAACCTGGTACTTGTGTAGTTGATGAAGAGCTTGTCGTTATTGGCGGAGTCTTAATACCTGTACATGTTGCATATTCATCTGTATTAGTACTGCATTCAGAAACATCATTATTGGTAATGGTCATCTTGGACGTATCGGGCTTACTAATATGCGAACTCGGAAAGTCTGGACTCCTTTAATTAATCAATGGAATTAATTCAATATTCGTAGTTTGACGATATAATTATAATTTAATATTACTTTTGTTGTTGTGTCATATCCACATCACTCCCTCTATAATCATGATGAGAAGTCAGTAAACTATTAGAATGTCTTCTACCTGTACTCGCTGATTTTTTTGGAGAATGCAATGCTACTTCTTCGTTACCAGAGTAAGTTTGTGTAACTGCAATTGAAGGCGGACCCATTTTGGGAGTAACGATAGAAGTTTCAATATCTAAGCCAATTTGCTGTACAAAAGCTGCTGGTGATGGTATTGTGTTATGAATAAACCTTGGAACCTCTATCTGAAAATATAGAAGATGCTAGCTTAAAATATTATTATTTTAAATTGTTGCTTCAGTTGTGTAAGTACTTAGAAGTTCTTAATAGCAGCACCAACACAACATTAAAAGCAAACTAATGACCTACATCATCAACATAATGATCCTCATAGTCAAGTGCTTCGGTTTCCACTGAACTACGTTGCTGATGTTGTAAGACCAAATTTTTTCTTCTAGTGGAAGGGGTAAGCAAGTTTATACCATCACAAGTATCCTTTTGATCAACAGTAAGTACCGTAGCTTGGGATTCATTCCAAATTCCATCCGAATGGTCACGTGTATTGTCATTAGCCAACGAGTCAGACGATGGATAAGTAGAGGCATTAGCTAGTATGTTGATTTTGCATGGACTTGGTGGCTGTGAGCTTTCTGTCAACTTACATTCATTCTCTTTAGAATCGTCTAAACTGACCGATCGCTTCCCTAAACTATCTGCAGGATTGAATTCGGTTTGAATACTTATTTGGTTGCATATAGGGATATTTTCGTAGACGGGATCATCATTTTCGGTTAACGGATCATGTTCGCTATCGTTTTCGCTATCATAATAGGGAATTCTTAGTTTTTCATCAATGTAATTATCATCATCTGAATCTTCAAAATATTCACACTCATTGGCAAATCTCTCATGCATTGCTTCATGGGAAGGAAGTTTCATTTTGTCCCTGTATTTGTTATTACATTTCGAACCAATACTTGTAGATATATGTGGCTTAAAATCTATTAAAATTTCCTTTTCCTCTGAGTTACTTATTTCTTGTGTAAAATGTAGCCTTTCCGGTTTTATTTTTTGAAATGAATTACTAGCAACATAATCACTGACCAAATATCCCATTTTTATGGAACCAGGCATAGATTGTCGACGTATATCATCTCTTCTAAATGGTGTGTCCAAACTATTTTCAATAGTTGCAGCCACCATCGACATTCGTCTATTTGCATCTATATTGGGCTTGAGATATTCGCTTGATTGATGAATAGATTTTTCCTGAGGTGCCTCATCAACTTTGCAATATTGCAACGGTGGTGGCAATAAGTATGGTTTTGTGAAGTCTATAACACTAGATTCGTTGCGCAGTTCAGAACATTCTGTGATATGCTTACATATATCTTGAGAGTACTGTTGATCCCTGCGCGGCAAACTGTGAGAACTGAATTCGTTTTCTAAACGATAATGATTGCAAGACCTTCGTGGCAGACTATTGCTTTCATAGTTGAAAGTTAGAGTCCCCTTTTCTTTTTCCATATCAGGAGTAGGTTCCATTGTATTATATTGGAAAACAATTCCATTATTAAATTGGTGATATGGATGCTTCCATATTTCCTGCGAAAGATCTGTTGAGTCCATCTGATCCTTGAATTCATCGTCTAAACATGTTTGAAAAGATTTCACTGCTAGTTTCTGTGGCTCTTCCGATTGAGTACGATAGACAGCTTCGTGCTCAATAAAAACTCTATTCATGTACACGAAAACCAACATTGATTAAAGTATTATTTGGAAACGACTTGTACAAACCTCTGCTGATTGTTTTCCATCATTCTACTTGAGCCAACTATTGGTGTACCATTTGGCATTTCGGACAAGCTTTTTGTAAGCTTTTTACCACCTTGTAAGCCCATAGTTTGAGCACCCTGTGATACTACTCTTACCTGTAAGAATTACAATATTTACTTTCAGATGTTATATGCTGTAAAAACAAATTTCAAATATTTTACCTTATGTAAAGTACGAGGACTTAAAGCTAAAACCTGAGTACAATCTTCTCTTCGAACCTCAGTCTGTGTGGCTTGAGTTTTCATAGCATTACGAAATTTTTTTTCAACGACAACAACTTCTGGTGTTGAGGGAGCTAAGCTTTTTGTTCCACATGGTAGCAAACCAATATTTATATTGGGTATATCATCCCGAACAGAACTACTTTGCATCAACGGAATCGGTTGGCAGTCTTGAATTTTTGCATTATATGGTGAAGGAACAAATTGGTGAATATGTAGTGGGCTATGGTGATGAGAATGCCCATGGAGGTGCGGATGTATGTGCGTATGCTGCTGCATAAGAGGTTGCTGCGGGTGTTGTTGTATTGGAAGAGAATTTGTTCCCGCAAATTGGTTATGGACTGCTAATGAATTTTGTTGCATTACTGTGGGTTCATACATTTGAGATATTATTGCTTTCTTGCCACCTATTAGGCGTTCTTGACTTCGTGCAACTTTAAGACGATTAATTGAATGATTTAATCCTAAATTGACTTCATCAAATGACGTCAAGGTGTGGGAACGAGCAAAACTTACATGTTTAGTTCTATAAAAATAAAATACATTTAAAATACATTCAAATTGTATTTGTTAAAAAACAAAAATATATTAACTAGTTACCTTGGCGTATCTGGTGCTGGATGCGGTGGTACTGAAGTAATTCCAAGATGGGCGGGGCAGTGATAATTGCTATAAAAACCAAATAAATATCCTTTAAGAAATTTTTAAGGAGTTCATATTAAATAAAATGTATAAGTAAATTGGGTTAATCTACAATGGTGACCCTAATACCATATACAAAATGTAAATTAAAAATAAATATAAATATAGAGCATATCAGGTTTTTTTAGTATGTTTGTAACTTGCCGGAAAATATGTAAAAAATCGCATAAAGAATATATAGTCTTAATCAATGGAAAGACGAAAGAAGAAGAAGAAAAAATTTATCGATATCATCTATCTGTCTATATACGATTTCAAGAAAATATTTTATGGTCAGCATATGGCCCCTATGGTATATATCCCTTTTAAATTGATCAATATGACATACCATACATACCATACGAGTAGGTTCTAAAAAATGAGTACATCAAAGATCATAAAACAGATGAATAGTTAGATGGTTTTACGATTTATAATGGTCGTTTATAATTGGTTTTATATAAATTTGAATTGCATATATAAAGACTCTTTCTCTGTTTATTATACCAAAATACTCTCAGAGTAGTCAATTGATTATTGTTAAGTACATGAGCTGTTTCTCGAAATTAATGTTGTGACCTTGGTTGATTATGATCCAGGTTTATGGTTGATCCCATGACCGTTTTTATGTAAAAAGATTTTATGACCTTTGTATTATCAATTCAAAAAAGTAATTTGGGATTCATTCAATTCGAATTATGAACCCAGCTCAGCTAGCTTCTTGACCAATACATTTATATGTTTCTGCGTTCTGGTTGAGTTTGTTTATTATATATAACTAATTTATTTAAGGTACTTGTTGACCTTTAATTATTAAACTTTTAAATTGTTTAAGCTAGTTAAATCTTAATGTATTAAGTCCAGTATATTCAGAAAATATTTTTAGAGACTGCTGATAGGGGATATTTGCAAATCTAATGCAAACCAAGAAGATTAGGTGTTGTTCTAGTGACAGATTAAGTATTTTCCTAGTGAACAAAAAAATAGTTGACCTACATATTCCACGTAAAGTAGGTGCTTTGTTAAGAAGCCTTCCATATACAATTTTAAAAAACAAATTTTAAAGTCGTAAGTATTGTTTTGAAATGTCCACTTTTTTTGTAAATATTGAATAATAGTTAAGACCTAAAGTTGTCTCGAAGCTTTATCTATGCCTTATTGTAACTAGATATATATTCTTTTAAAAATTTATGTTTTAATAATAGAAAATATAAGAATTGCTATCAAGTAACTATTAAGATATCTACGAGGTTTGACTCCTAAAAATGTAAAAGAGAACTAGAGAAACATCTCTATTACAATTTGTCGATAGACGAACACATAAATTGCAGATGAAGTAAAAAATAAGGGAATATAATGCTAATAAGTTATATTATTATATGATAAAAAATATTGATTGCTATCAAACCCACCTTTGCTCATTGGTCAAAAAATTGGTGTTTTCGTTATTTGAATACATTTGCAATCCCATCCAGTTATGTCGGCCGTTTCCAACTCCTACTTGCACATCCGCTGTCTTCGAGGTACTGAGAATAGAAGCAGGTTGGCGCCGAAAATATGAACTTTGTAAGTCAACATCTGACTTATCATCAGGATGGTGTTGTTGATGATGATAACTATAGACAAAAAAAATAAATTTTTTATTATTAAAGTTCTATAACAAACTACATTTAAAAAAATTTAACTTTAGAACTAAAGTGCGCGCAAGAAATTTACCGTGGATATTTATAGAATGGTGCATATGCGACCAGATTTTCATCAGACGGTACTCTCCGACCAACACAACCACCAAGAAATGATTGCGGCGCTCCACGACGCGAAAGACAACCAAAAAATCGATCTCGTCGCGGTCGTTCTATAGTATTTAACTGCCGATCAGTAAGACAATACTAAAATTTCAAATTTTAAGCATCTATACTAAAATTGATAATATTTTAGTAACTTACTTGTTCCTTAATATCACCTTTTGAATAAATGGAAGGACGTGGATATAATTCCGTAGAAGATGTATGCCTTAGCCGCCGTCGACCCATATTCTCATCCTCAGAGTCATAGCTGCGATCGAAATGATGTGAATAACACGGCTGAAAGTAAAACTAGTTTCTAGAACAAAACTTTTTCTTCTTTTAGTGAAGTGCTTCAGTACTCACCTTCGATGATAGCTCGATAGTACCTAATGAAACTGCATGATGCAAACCTACTTGAAAGGAAAATATGTGAATATGCAATGCAAATATAATATATACCATATATATATATATATATATATATATGTGTGTGTGTAGAAAAAACTATTAAATAAAAACACGGGCACATTGAACAAACGTTGTCTAGAAGCTTTATCATGCTAAAAGTCTGATAAGCGATTTTAAATCGCTTAAATTTTATATGTCCTTGTGGAGCATAGCAATAAATCGTCAAATCCTTTAATATTTTCAAAGAAACATTAAAAGTTATTGTCATTTCTTAACTTAAAAACATTTGGAAAGCAAAGACTCTTTGAAAATAATTTCAGAAGTTGATGTGCTCGATTTTTCTCTTCTTATACCTATCAGGGTAGAGTGTATTTGACAATAAAAATTGTTAGCTTACCATTTGATTTCATTGCAACGGCCATTATAGGGTTAAGCTAATTCTACTTTCTTCGGAAGCAAGAATTTTATAATTCGTCGGGTTCGCAAATAGTTCTTATCAAAGTTCACACATTTCTATAAAGTTTCACTAGTACCGACATATGTCCTTTGCATCTCTTATATCCTCGATATTATGAAGTTATACACAAACCAATTAACGCACAAATCGCAAACTTATGCAAGTCACCAACAAATCGATTTTTTAATAAACATTTACGTCCTCTGATGAAAAAAATTCGTGTTTATGTAGGAATACTTTTGAATACAAAAGCCTTCAGAAAGTACACAATTGTTCACGTTAAATTACAAAAAATAAAAAAAAAATTGCAAAGGACATTGCTTAGATTTTATTTGAGCTCAAAGTTCACAGGATTCCGTACTTTCATTCATACATTCAAAGTTTCTGCTTTTCGAGGATTAAAACGTTAACGGCGGAACGCACGAGGAACTGATATTTAATTAAATTTATATATAAAATGTTAGTCATTGTTGCCATCTATTGTTATTAATTATGATTTTTAGTTATTTTTTATGAGACAATCTTGCCTTGAACGGCATGTAAGATGCTCTGCCGAAATCCGAACGCGAGGATGTTAATGCTTAGACTGCAGGAATTTATTGTATTTCGATTGCCATTTAAAACGAAAGTATCTACACAATGCGTTTGCTTCTTTATTCGAGCGAAAGAGAAAACGAAATATTTTTGAATACTTCATCCCTCATACTGTGCGCCCAAGCACCCTCACTTTCGTAACCCGCATCAGCATCCTTCGTGGAAGCTGGAAAATCAGCTGTTTCAAAAGTGACGCAATGAGAGCAGAAAAAAACTTTTTATCGCTTCACCAAATGAAGCTTTTATCGCAGACCCAAATGATATGTGGGGTGTCTTGTGATTTTTTTTAGAAAAATGTCACACATTGAAAGCCTACAGTCGAAATCTTAAAATTTTATTGTTGACTTCGGATTCGAGTATTGTTCGAGGTTCTGGAATGAATACGTTTGGCGCCTGCTCCAGTATTTGTGAGTAAATTATTTTTCACCCTTTGCTCGTTGCTTCCAATGTCAAAGCAATAAATTTAGACGTTGTATTTTTAAAAACCATTAGGATTTTTCTATACAGAAGTATGCATAAATTTGGGTTTGAGAATAGAGTTATATTATTTTATACTTGAACATTTAACAGAGAAGCCAGAACCGATGTCTTAAATTTTATGCTGGTTACATAGTTAAGGATTAGCATCCGATTTCTTAATTTGTTATCCCATGTAACTCGTAACAATCCAATAATTGTTCAAACGTTACACGTAATATGATAAGGACCTCCACACTTAGCAGAATAACGTCATATTTATGTATTTCATACATAATGGTGCGGTGCGGTCAGAATTTTGATATATAGGGTTTTATTATTCTATAATGAAGTTGTATTGCTATTGCGGAATAAAAATAAATTTGACATACAGACAGGATTATCGTATCCTAACTCTTACGCTTAACTACTCTAAGGCGCAACTCTTTTGATGGCGGTAATTTCTATTAGCATTAATACTATTATGAATTACTATGTTAGCGTTAAATACTTCTGAGTTTGCAGGAGACGTATTCTTCTATTTTCTATTTTTCCAAATTTGATGAATTTTTCCATAAAACATCGGTATCAACATCACAGTACAAATAACTAACCACACTTAAATAGACATCAGGAGAAATCGAGTGGCTCAAGTAAAGTAGTCTCATTCTCTTCGATTAAGTTCGGGTAGTTGCAAAGAATGTGATTCGGAACTTCATCCGGTTTCTAGCAGAGTGGACATATCGTTTTTTTAGACAAACTCATTTTTTTGAGATGGTCACGCCAGCTATGGTGACCTGTTAGATAAGTTCTTAACAACTTCAGCTCTATTCTACTAAGAATGGATGCCTTATCGTAGATCTGAGCACAAACCAGCTCTTTAATTTAGTATTAAATGTAGTATCACACCACTAACAACTATTTTCGACTACAAACCATTTTTATAGAAAAGTGCAACTGAGCACTTTTACTTTTTCTTATCTGAGGGGTTTCTACAAAGTCCCTCCGTTCTCTTTGACTTATTTATGTATTCCTCACAAGCTTCGTTGATTATTCGATGACTGTACGGCTAGTGACTGCTCTAAGATTAGATAGTGCTGTGCACGGCAGCCTGATACGTTTCGCGTATAGCTTCATTTCTCTATCCCTGAATCTCCGCTCTACAAGGACTCCGCATCCAGACAATTATAAACTTAATTATTTTCTAAAGTTGGTTTTTAGAATTTACAATAGTTTTCTTGTCGTAAATATTAGTTACTATAGTTACTTTTATTCATTCCATTTTTATTTGGCTTCAAGTTTTATTAGATAAGTATAATATAATAAATAGTATTAATTTCATATCAATTATAATAGTACATAAATAAAAGTAATATGTAAATACTTAGTTGGTATCAAAGTATGATTATTATGATTTAAGGAGTACGTCTAGTTTTCGTGTAAAGATTAAATCGTTTTTTGTTCTTCTATGTACACTTAATTAAAATTCCTACTTAGTACGCACTTAAGTACGAGTGCAGTGTGTACTAAGTTTATTTACTAATAATTATTAACCTAATATTCAATAGACGAGGTGAAGATATGCACTATATAGATGAACACATTAAGAAGGTTTTTTTCGTTTGTCCAAGCATCGAAAATGCCTTTGGTTGACCTCAACGTGCCCAAATTTGTGGACCGCTAAGTGAGTTTATGAATGCCCTCTTATACTTATATACGAGTACTCATTTATTATTCCTAACTAATGCATACGTTTTTAATTTTGAAGTGAAAATTATGGATCGTTCGATATCTTAGTAAGAAAATGAGTAGGTTTTGAAACGTTTCTACTTTTAGACATTTACACTAGGTTTACAGATACATACATACACGCATACACACATTTTACTTATTACTCATCACATGATCTATATTATTCAGTAACATTCATCTATGGTAGTTAACTAAACCATTCACACTCATAAAAGTTAAAACAAATTCTAAATTCAAGTCGGTGGAGTAAAATCTATCATTAAGCTTAAAGCAATTAGAATTACAGATTCAAACTACAGAGAAAAAGTGGTTCTTTTTTGTATTGAAACTCATATAAGCCTTCTGAAACTATATAGATTTGTATGGCTGTAGTACAATTCAGTGTTAATAATATTAAGACAAAAAAATGGAATAAAAGATTATTTTTATAGGTTAGAGAAGGACCGAAGATTTTTACAATTTTCGAAAGCAAATTTAATTATGTGTATAATTTCAGAAAAATTATAGACTGTATCTCAAAACACTGGATATCATACAAAATAAACATTACAATGATTTTATGGAAATATATTCTACAGTCACGCTTTATGAGTTGGATTTGTATAGTGGAGATGTCTCACATCCATATACATCCATTTATTACGTAAAGTGTATATCGCATATTAAACTTGGTATGAATTTTCTAACCAGTTACAGGACTTCCTCTTAAGGAATTTTTCAGATTGTCAGATTGTATGAAAGATTACAGATAGTTTTATCTGGCCCCTATTGCATCTGCAAGCTCAAGTTATAAGGTAGCTAGTTATTTCAAGTACAATAAATGCGCTTGTATGATGTTCGCATTGCTAAATATAATTCTATGCGGTATACGACATAGAGGCCAGAGGTTCAAAAAAAGAGACATGTATAAATTTCGATTCCTTCTGACCTGTTATTTTCAAGACATTCGGTTTTGGATGAATAATATTTTATTCCGAAAATTCTGACAAATTTGAAGTGTTATAAGGGGCATATATAATTTTTAAAAAGCTATTAGAGTTTGAAGTTAAAAGCGCTAAAGATCTTTCCATGAAATTTTAAATAAATTGACTACGTTTTTGATTTTACATACAATATAACTAAGGTTAAAGGCTAAAAGGGTAGGATTTGAAGAGAAAATATCCTAAAGGTAAAACTAAAAATGTTTATACAACAACGGTGGGCCATTCTTTTTAAGCATGACAGATATGGCACAGAAGAAAGTTGAGATACATATCTAAACGGAAGTAGTTATTTGCTCTACTAAATGTATTGGTTTTGATAGTGATTTTGAGCGCTGTCGAAAATATCCTGGAGTATTTAAGCCTCTGTGTTGAATGTGTATATCCCTCGATGAATGACAGCAGTCCTTAGTATAGCTCTGAGATTGCGCTGGACTTTTTGGTACAAATAAATATTGTGTAGATGGCTTGCACATACATTGTTGTGACTTACTGGAAAGACCTTCTGGTACACTTTGGCTTCTCGAGTTTTGCATAAAAGAGGTGGAATTGCATGTGCAAAGTAAGGGTGGTGTTAAATCAGTTCTAGGATTAAAAGACAAATATTTTTTAAACCGAGAATAATTAGTTGTTACTTCAAACTTACCTATTGCAGCGTGCACATTTGCATAATCCATGGCAATTATTGTAGCATTTGAAAAGCAAACGCCCCTCACAACAGCAAGAATTGTGTATAAATGACAAACTTTTCTGTAGACGCTTTCCTTTACGATTGTTTAGATTTGTTGGTACAACAGAATTCTTATCACAGCGATCAGGGTAAGTTCTGTGGTAGGTTTGACAGGATGCAGGGATGTGTTGAGCGTAATTGGGTCTTAGATGACCGCAAGCTGCAACGTGTGAATGTTCACTGCCTAATTGATTAAGGCTTATGCAACTGCGGTTTAATAGATCTGGTGCATTGAGTTCGCAATTGCTATACAAAAAATTGTCTAGAGGTGGGATAGTTCTACAATTGGCGCGGTAACGATGTACTGCGGGTCTTGCAGGCGGTGCAGGAATTGCACCATTTCCATATTTTCTACTTAGTGAACTATGCTGCATATTTGAATAGTTTATAAAAAATATAATTATTCCAGCAATCGCAGCAGCAGCTGAGCATATATAATAACCTGCACGACCGTATTTAAGCGAGTAGTCATTAAGAAACGATGTTAACGGCACACTTATTAACACTGGTACAGATTCAACACCTCTCAGCACACCTATAGAAACACATCACATTATTTATATTATATTATGTTAAAGTGATTTGTGATGAGAAAAATGAGGAGAACGGGGAGGAGGTTACTCAATTCAGGGGGTGTTACATCATATTTATTGTTATGTAATATTTAAAATGATAATCATTAGAGACATTATCATGTCTCTGATATTATTACTTTTTTTAGAGTTATAAAGATTTAAATATATTTACCCCACGTCTTTGAGAAATGTTTATGTTTTATACGTTCTAACGCCAGCATTTTAAATGAATATCGAAATCCTCCGAATCCTATGCCATATATCCAGCTTAGTATGCACAATCCTCGATATCCCATTACAAATGATAAGAAGAGTATGGCTATGGCCACAGTCGATATAAATATCTATAAAACGAATTCAAATATAATAACTCTTTTTTAATTCGGAGATCAAGACTCTTACTTGAGAAATCAACTGCGTTGTTGTAGTAAAACGTCTTACTCTTATAGGCTTATGTATCAATGAACCCGCCAGTATAACCCCTAATACTGTAGATAAACCCAAAAAGGTTTGAAGTAATACAATGTCCTGAATATCAGAACCTTCCTTAATCGCATGTAGTGACTTGAAATTTAAGAAAACAGACACATAATAAATACAAATATATATATATAATAGACATGAATTCAGTAAGGACCTCTACAGATCCTAAGTACTAAACATTAAATGTTTGCATTACCATTAAAAACATTGGCGTATACAAGCCGAGAGCAGCTATTCCTGAAATCATTAGAAGCACTTTAATAGTAGTAGACTTTAACAATGATATGTCCAGGAAAAACTGTTGTACAGTCGAACGTCCAACCAGGTGAGATTGAAATCCTTTCTCACGTACCTATGTGATTATAAATTTCTGAATTAAAGATTTATTATTTGAATTTATAATAAATAAACATATAAGTAGATTCAGTTTCTTTCAACATTGGTTTTTAGGTAACAGAATCTAATATGTAGTTTGAGAGAACTTTATTCAACTAAATTAGAGACTAGAAAAGTCTGTTCATAGTTCAATTAACATATAATAACAATATCAGGCTAAAGTTTACCTTTCTTCGTTGATTTTTTAAATGTTGTATAGCTCTTCTTTGGGGATGGTATAGGGAAGCGGGTCTATATATCAAGCCAATAAAGAAACTGACAGCTAACATAGCAGCTATTATTTGGAGTCCAAGTCGCCAACCAGTTTTTCTTGAGAGTTTTAAAATAGCAAGTGTTAATCGAGGTCAATTGAATAATGACAATAAATAATAAATTATGTTTAAAACTTACCCAACGCCTTCCTTTAGTATAACTGAGAAAAGTGCTATACCAACACCTTCCCCTGACATAGCAACCATTTCAACAAACTGCCGTCTGCGTTTAAAATAATTTCCTAGCATTATTGTGGAGGATTCACGTACCATTGCAACTCCAATACCAAAAATTATACCTAAAATAATATAAGAAAGATTAACATTATCAAACACTTCACTTCATTAATTATATCTTTTTTAACTTACCATAACTAAAAATAATATGTTCCAGTTCTGTTGCAAAAGATGTAAATAGAATTCCTAAGGGTAAAACTAAGCCACCAACAACTGCTAACAGACGTGTCAGCTTTCTCTCACAGAGCGTCACCACAAAAGGAGATAATATTGTAGAAATGGCCCAACTTAACGCTCCTAACCATTCAAAACTTCGAGGTTTTGATAAGTGGTCTGCCGCGTAAAACATTAACAATCCATATGACAACTGAAAACCTGAACTAAGTATGTGAATTAGGAAAGAAACACCGCAAACAATCCAACCCCAACCGCCATCTGGATAGAAGTACTAAAAAAACATACTTGAATTAAAGCTTATATTGTATTGAGATGAAATACTTGTCGTATTCCAGATATATCCACATCAGTTCGTCTGAGTGCTGGAACATTATGATGCAGTAAACGAAACTCCTGATCAAGTAATTTCGGATATATAGAATCATCATCATCGGTGTAGTTATTTTCATGCTCATATTCTGTAGTTAAAAATAGAGTGTATATATTAGCTACAGATTAAAGTATACGAGTACAGCAGCCAAGAGAAGAATATTTGGAATAGTTATTTATATATATAACTACTAAGAGAAAGTAGATAAATCAAGAATATTGGATAAGAACTTACTGTAGTGACAGCCGTTCCCAATTCTTTGATTATAAACTGCCTGTGGAGGATGTAACATTGCTGCTCGCTGGTATTGTTGAAAGGATGAATTAGTGCAGGTGCACGCAGATATTGGTGGCAGTGCTGGGGAGGCTCGATTGATACCTTGAAAATGACAAAAATAATCGACGCCCCGACTACGGCAATAGCCAGCTCTGTTCGACGTGTTCGCAGTTAACGGTAATGTTGCATAGCTGTCACTTAGGTTATAGTTTGGCAGTGGTACAGCTGTTTGGGAGAACGTTTTATGTTGCATATGCGGCTTGGGTTGTGCAAAATTTCTCTTCGCTACACCATCGACAGGAAACTGCAAAAAATCATGCTTCAAGTACACTTTGCCACTATTTAATTGGCTTTTGGCATTTTGCAAATTTGGAGAGGCTGCACTTCCTATCCTCTGATCTGGCTGATGTTGTTGTTGTGGCTGTGGTTGTTGGTGTTGGCGTTGCTGATGATGGTGTTGATGTTGGTGTTGATGTTTTCTCTGTTGATTGTTGGATTTGTGCTTAAAGTCATATGAATTCTCAGGATCGGGTACAGTTTGAGTCTGTTGATGAGACGTCATTGCTTTTGTTGTCGATACCGGAGCGTTAGTTGATTTTGTGGAACCCAAATTGGATAATCGAGGACAGGAAACCCACCACGATATTGGTTGATTATTGAATCTACAATTTAAACAGAGATAACGAGTAGTGTTGATAGCTGGTGCTACAACTGAAAGCGTTAATGCTTCTTTTAGTTTTTCCTGTAAACGTGCTTTTACATCAGGCTCAGTGGAAGCTTGTGGCCTTACAGTAACAGTCGTACTTTCCTTGGTGGAAAAGTCATTTGATTTCCTTTGCGGATGTAAACAAGTTTGATTATTTCTTCGTCACACAGCGCACTTATGACACAATACAGGACTTCTTTGCTGACGGCTTACTAAGGTACTATGTTTCCTTTGATATGAGTCTTTACTTTTTGCAGATTCAGCCAATGATAAGTGATAATTTGGATTCTCTTGGTATAATTGTGGACAACTACTATATAAAGAAGTTGAGCAATTTGAAAGTCGTCGATAGGTATCACCATCTGCCATGATACTGTGCAGCCGACGTTCGTAGCGGCACGAGGATTTATCACTGTTATCACATTCACATGAACAATTGATTATCATCTTATGATCAACTAAAAACCCGCCTTTCAAAGTGGGTAACAACAATTATGCTTGCGCTTTCAGTAATGCCAATACTCCAACTGGAACTGTTCTTTATGACCAAGCATTCATTTATACATTTTACTCTGTATAATGAATAAAGAAGAACATTTATTTACGAAACCAATAAAAACAATAGATATTTGCTGTCCCCTAGTAGATCGCAAACTCTCTACGCCAGCGAAAATAGAACAAATATGATGACTCCTGTCTGCTAAAGAACACGTGTGGCTTACAGTCGTTTTTTCGTTGAAATATCTCTACTTAAGCTAGATACTATGTACATTTCTAGTCCTAATCAATTTAGTATGAAAAAGAATATAAGTTTCTTATGTATCCGACGGCTTTACACTTCTCGAGTTACTGTTCTTGCTTTAAAAATGCACAATCCTTTCAAAATGAATATTGTCACGTTTTCACCTTTCTCTTCCGCTCAAGTACCCTTAAAAAAGTTTGTGTGTTTGAAGATGTATGACAAAACAATCACGAAGGCAAGCAATCTGGCAATCTGGCAATCAGGCAATCAGGCAATTAGGCAGTCAGGCAGGCAAGCAGACAAGAAGGCAAGAAGATCTGTCCCCTTTTAGTCCTTCAATCAGAAACTTGCAATGGGCCAAGCACTGCTAAGTACTAAGAAATTTGATTGCAAGATTATCTTCTCCTACTCATGTATCTGTGCGTATGTCCGTGTCAAAGTCAGTTTGTGTGCTTTTGTGTAAGTGTGTGTGCATTGATGGGTACATATATCCTTAGTGTCCATATTGAGCTTATAATATGTTTTGCTAGAGTGTTATGAAAATCCTTTAAATTCGTTTTAAATCTTCTAAGCATTATTACTTCATTCTCATCGGAATAAACTGCAAAAAATGAAAAAATTAATTGCTCTTTCTATTTGCCTTGAGTTTCGAATTTGCATGTGTTTATTTTGGAACGAAATCTTTAGTGGACGCATATCAATGTGGCAAACATGAGTTTGTAAGTTTCCGCTTTTAAAGGAATGGCCCCAATAGATGCGGAGGCAGACGTCCGGACTCAAGACAGATGGATGTAAATATGGAACAAATATAAATACTCAAACAACAGCAACAACAACAGAACTGCGGGAATTTGAAATTAAAAACAAAGACAATCTTCTGCGAGTCGCAATGCACGACTCTTCACTACTTCACTACTTCACTACTTCACTATTTTAAAAACCTCAAGCACTGCCGACACTGCGATATTTTTACAATACAAATTAGAAAAAAGCGCTCCGCTTTCGCCCGCTGCTTTCCGTTTTTCTACTTTCATAAACTAAACCGTTTTCTGTTTTCGTTTACTCAATTTATTGTTATTTTCAACGCATTTCGCAACTTGTTCTCATAGCTGTTGTGTGTATCTGAAATGTATAAATACTACTGATTCTCATTTACAGTTTTTGTAACATGCAGATGCCAACAGCATCATCCATAGACACAAGTACCAACCGAGATATACGTACTTACTTGGCCATTACTTGCCGTTTGCTGTTTGCCACTCGCCGTTCGCCGTTCACCGTTCGCCACTCACCACTCACCACTCACCACTCGCCGTTCGACGTTCGCTACTCGCCGTTTACCATTCACTATTACCCATTGACAAGACATCAACGCACGCACAAGTATTGCCACTCTTACTATTCGCATCCACATAAATATCTATACATTCGAGCAGCTAGACGAATGTCGAATCATTCCGTATCGACTGGAAGGAGAGCTGGAATGCGCATTGCCGCAAAGAAATGCACAACATTCAACAACTTACGCTCGCAACATTAGAGAGTGGAGCACCAGCAGCAGCAGCAGCAGCAACAGTAGCAGCTTCAGCTTCACCAACAGCAACAGTAACAGCAGCAGCAGCAGCTGCAGGTATCTAATGACACACTTATCCAGAGAGATTTCAAGCTTTCCAGCATAAATGAAATAAAATGTACTGCCTTCAATACCCGTCAAATCGAAAATTTAGTGTGCCCGCGAATTATACGTTGTCTTCAAATATTTAAATCTAATAATTCCATTTGAATGGACCAGTCACTTAGAAGCGAATAATCGGAATTAGACCATATAATCTATATCCATTGAGAATAAGTATTGTCGTCTGTAGGTACATAATCCTATCATCATAGACAATAGGGATATTTAATAAGTTCAAAATATACACAATATATAATAGAAAGTAACGTGTAGTGCCAAACTAATCACGTTAGGAGTTTCAATATTTTTTTTAACAAAAGAAACTGTATGATTTTTTTTACAGAGACGGATTAAATATGTATAAGGTCCGAATTAAAAAAAAATATACGAGAGATCCACTCATTAAGTAAGAAACTAACCCTTGCTATTGGCAAATATATATAACATATATAAAAATTCTAAATCTTCAAAAGAGACAGAAATTCTGTACTTCGAACTATTTTTACCATTAAAAACATCTCACTGCCCCTGTTATTGCTCTTTTGATTCTCTATAGCACCATTAGTTTCGATATTCGAAAAGGCTATTAACTTTTTTCTGCCTTATAAATGCAGAACATTTCTGTAATAACGCTTCTAAAAATAATATTTTGAAAATCTCGATTTTTAAGTACAATTTTAATAAAAAAATTTAAATTAGAAGCCTCAAACACGACTATTCGCCAGCTAGAAATTGCACAAAGCCGGGCTCTGAGAAGTCTTTTCAAGGTACCATGGTACATTGGGACGAATGACATCTTCAAGGACCTCAATATTGATCCGTTCAAGAAATGCATAAAGAATAGATCCCTGAAATTATTTACGAAAACTGACAGGCTTACCAACACCGCGTTATCAAATCTCAGAATGGTTACAGGCTTCTCGGAGAGGTATGCAGATCTTAGGTGTGATGTAGTGATAAACAATAATCCAGTCAAGGGTTATGAAAAAACTCTGCAGTTAATAGAGAGTAAAAGTGCTCAAGTGCACTGATTCAACTAGCCTCAACATAACATAATTAAATTAGAAATAAGAAATAATCAATGTTTCAATGTCAAATATAAGTACTTAAATATAAATAATTTAAATTATCTTTTTATAAAATATTTATTCAATCATCTTTTTAATATAATTAATTTTGTACGGAACAAATATATGTTTTTGAAGATGATCATCGAGTAATTTCGAGAAAATAAAAATAAATTCCATCAAATCAAAAATTCGTGAGCCACAGGACATCGTACAGTTCTAAATACTTTTAAGATAACTTTTGACGACTTGTCAGTACATATCTAGATGGATATAAAACGTCAAGAGTTTGAGAATTGTGTATATAAACAAGTTCACAACCATTTGAGCAATGTTATAATGAATAGATAATTAATTGTCCTTAGCCGAAGCTTCGTCCAATGTCATTTCGATGTCGGGTATTATTCTTGAATAACCGGGTTTATATAGTGTCTTTTGAGTGATTTAGATTTGTTAATTCGAAGATCTCTATGAATATTCGCGTCTTTTATATACCAGGGAGCTCTTTGGAGTTTTTCAATGTTAGATGGAGAAACAGAGCTCCAGAGTTCAATTCAATTCCATAAGTCCCTACGGGTTTTATTATTGCATTGTAAAGTTGCACTTTATGGGTGAGAATAAGTTTAGAATCTTTGTTTATCAGCCGGTTTAGTTCTTGTTGTTGGAATTTTAATTTTGTTACTTTGGTTTCTATATGCATTCTTAAGTATTTTATGTCATTGCATTGGGATATTACTTTCCCATTCATACGGTAAAAAAAGTTTTTAAATAATTTTGAGAGAATTGGGAATAGACTTATGGGTCGATATGAGATGATTTGAGCGGGGTTCTTTCCGGGCTTGGTTTCATCATGATTTTAGAAAGCTTCCAGTCGTTTGGAAAATATACAGTCTTTAGAATAGGGTTATAAATCAAAATTAGCTGGTCTTTGGGGATTTGTGGGTCTTTTATTATAAAAGGGGCCTCGCAATTTTGATGTCGTCGACGTCCAGAATTGGTCTAGCTCCGTCACTGCTTACACTGTATCGTATGAAAACTGTAAGTTTTATCTTCAATTTATGCCTAGAGATAAGATACCTTTTCTGTCTAGAATTGAAGAACTAGAGAGACTTAAATTATTATGGAAACACAGCATACATGGGTAAATAGAAAAATATACAATTGTCTGTCCAGTGATATAATATAAATGATATATGGTAGTACATATTTTTGGCATTTTTGGCATTCCTACTTTATAACTTTTTATGTAAAAATTTATGTCGACTTACATTTTTAATAATATATTGAAAATATAACTATTAAATTAAATAAAAATAATTAAGTAATTAACAATTTTATATTAAAATTTCTTAACAGTAAATAAAAAGTATTTATGTCAGGCGTAACAAGACAACTAGCAACCTCCTGACTATTTTGAGATCCATGTCATTACTGACAACTACAAGAACGAATTTGGTCGTTTATCTGGGAATCACCATTAACAGCAAAAATGACTTTAGTATCGCGATTAAACGAACAATCACGCTTGCCAATAGGTACCACTTTGAATAAGGTAGACAACTGAAGACTGAAGCTCCCTCTTGAGAAACGAAAACAACACTCCATAAGTATTTTTATATATTCTGCTGCATTGTGTAGAGGACTGAACAATAAGTATTTGGAAGAAAAATCTATATCATCTTCAGATGATATATCGTTCTAAGTAAGATGATTACAAATATCGAATTAGATAAAACGCTTATAGCATTCAACCAAATAAGTAAATAAGTGATTCCGAAATCACAGATTCGAATCTTAACTAAACACAATTATTTTTATTAATTTTCTTATTGTTAAAATAAATATTATTACTTTAAAATTATTAATTATTTTTGATCTTTTTAAATAAAAAAAATGTTTTTAGATACCTTGGCTTAGTTGCACGACTTTGGTTTATGGGTTCCATATATAAATTTTTAAAAAAAAAATTGTGCATTATCATTTATGATTTGTATTAAGAAAATCACATCATCACTTGAGAAAATGGGTTATCACCAACAATGTTAAACGCAGGAGATCATGATGAAAAAAATAATAAAACGGATCACAACACTTCGAAAGCATTATTCATTAATAAAAGGTATTGATCTCCAGATCGAACCCCTCCGGAATATTACTTGTTCCTTATTACTTATTATTACCCTGATCTCAAATCAGGACGTTAAAGATGACTTGGATTAGTTATGTTGGATCAGAACATATATAACATTACTACTAGAAAGATGAAAAAGGCACTAGTATTAAACTAAACTGGAATCTTTAATATTTAATAAACTATTTATTCGCTACGACATTTTGCCATTCAAAACAATAGTAGCCACGATCTTTTTCATTGACAGCATAGTCTTTATCTTTGCCATCTACATAATGCTTTCACCTTTTACAAGCCACTGTTTCGTCCTAATCGTTCTAATAGAATCTTAGAAATGATCAAGCAATTACGTATTTGGTTTAAAGATATATCAGTCAAACTAATATTGCCAACTACATGAAAATCATACGAATGACAGCTGTTTATGGTGTCTTAGTTTTATAGAACAAAAGTTATTCGAAATGGAATTCAAACGTAATAATGTGATTGCGTTATATTTGGCTGGAAAATCGCAACCAGCTATTGTTCGTGAGCTCAAACACCTTAAAGTGAATAAAATGTTTGTGTATCGTACCATAAATCTTTATAATAGTTCAAGCTGAATCGCCAAACGCTATGTTGGTGGACGAAAAAAAAACAACAACATCACCTGAAATGGTTTGAAAAATGAATGTCCATCTTGAACAAAATCCACATCGTAGTGATAATCAAATGGTCAAAAATATGAAAATATCCCAGCGAAGCATTCGACGCATATTCCAAAATGAGTTCAAGGGAAAGCCTTACAAGTTCCAAAAGGCACAAGATCAAAGCAACAAAAAGTTAGACTCGAAAGAGCAAAGGAGTTGTTACGTTTCATTATTTTTACCGAGCCTATTGTCAAAGTCAATGCGATTTACTATCGGGAAAATGTTTCAGAAGTTGCTTCAGACCCGTGGGCACGCAAACATTTCGGTCATAGACCATGGTGGTTCCAATACGATACCAACTCGGCACCGTCTCATAAAGCTGGTGTAAACCAAGAATAGCTTAAAAACATATTCCACACTTCATTTTGTCCACACAATGGAGAGCAAGGTACAGATTAAAAAACCAGTAAGGATACAGAAAGCCAATGGTTAATGAATACATTCATGGAGCATGCAATTTATTTTTTAACCGTAGCCACTTCGAGCTAGAGTGAATAGATTTTGAAATTTTGATTATGTCTATACATTTTCGTAGTTTGAATGAATAAAAAATTACTTCACACAAAAAAGATATAGTCGCTTGAATAGGAAACACTACAATTGCCTAACCTTGTATATCTGTTTGACTGGTTATCAAACTTTTCGTTGGGCCCATTAATTCGGGTATCTGCTCATCTATTTGTTTATTTGGCTGTCTGTCTGCCTTTCTGCCTTTTGTGTGTGGGCTTATCTGTATGTTAATATCGAATGAAATTTTGCGCAGATATGTTTTGCAAATCTGGACAACTTAGGTCGACAATGGTTAACAATTGGTTAACTATTGGTTAACTACTATTGACAATGCCACTCCGAAACAACTGCTGAAAGTGAGTTAAAATCTAAAAACATGTGCAAGTATTTGCGTTGGATATCATCGGATAAATTTAGTTAATAATGATCATTATTATTTAGTTAATAAATGTTTTGTAGAAAAACTGTCTTTGTGGTGAAGGGTATTTTAGTTTCGGTACAACCAAATATAACTCGTTGCTTTCTCATTGTTCTTATAAGTGTAATAGGTTAAAAATTTTTCAGATTACTTGTACATCTAATTTAGCTATCCAGCCTTTTTCTGGACAGACGGTAGAATTTATAATTCTTACAACTTCACGTTAGAGACGCAAGAGGGAATATATAATGAATAATTATATATATATATATTATATATATATATTATTATATATGTATATATATATATATATAATAATATATATATTGTTCTACATATATATATTTGTATAAAAAAGAAGAAAAGCTAATACTGTTTATCGATTATCAATATTATGTAAAGCTGTTTTGATAGTGGGTAGTTCTGTAGAACTATCTGATCTGATTATCTGATGATCCATGTAAATGCATTGTTTTTTTCTGCTTTTAAAACAAAAACTAAATTGTAACAAATATTATAGAGCTGTGTATTATGGAAGAATAAATTTTACAAAAACTCATTCTCATCGTATAAAATAAGATACATAATACTAGTAGGAAGCTGCTTTATAACTAAGGCATTAGTCCTCGTTTTAAGTACATTAATGGAGTGTCGCTTCGAAAGCCGGCTAATCCGTAATTATTAGGCAAAAAATTATAAATCCAAATTTTGTTTTATAATTTCAAATTTATTAATCATATCCGGTGTTCAATAAACTTTTTTTAGTATTCACTTAAAGACAATATATCAACTGTGGTATACAATTTTGCTTAACAATTTAAAAATAATTCTATAAAATTTTTTTTTTTGTAATTACATGGAAAACAATAACGAAGTTTAACAAAACGATTAAATATTAAAAATAAAATTTTTTTTAATACAGTTCTATGTATATTAAATTAATCCGAGCATGATCTGCAGTATTATATTCTTCAAATTATTTCTTAATATAAATGTTATTGCATTTGTTTAATAATATAAGCACATTGTTATATTGTATATATAGTATTAATAATATTAATATTATAACAATCTCTATATTAGATGAGATGGCTCCCTGTGGTGCACAAGTTCAATAGTGAACTTAGTGGAAAGGCTTAGATCCCGAGTTATAAATTTATTCTTTCATTAAGATTATATTTCTGGTTATTCTTGAATATTGAAATTGCATTTAATGGATCACAAATTGAACACTAAATTAAGTGTATAGGCATGAATTTACCCTTTTTGAAAGATCATTTAAGATTATTTTTATGGATATTGATTTGGGGCTCTGTGAAGCACAATTTATGCACCAAATTTGAATTTACTGTCAAAATTTTTTGCCCAATCGAACATTTCTAGAGCAATCTAAGATGATTGTAGTTGTGTCAAATCACAATTTATTTGTCATCATATACAACAGCTGTTCATTTCAGGATAATCTGTCTGCTCCGGCAAAATATCTAGATTGTTATAAATTACTCTGGAGTGTTATACAGATTTACCAATCGAAAATGGAAATTGCACTAAAAGTGAATCTCGATTAAAAAAGTTACCCCAGATTTAGCAATCGATAACGCCATTAATGTATAAGCCTGGGTCCTGACATAAATCAATTCTTTTTTAAGATTACTTTTCTGGATAATCATGAATATTGAAATCACATTAATTCATCATTAAACTTGACGTATAGACTTAAATACTGATTCATAAATTTACTGTCTTTTAAGATTATATTTCTGGGTATTGATGTAGGGCTCTGTAAAGCACCTAGTGTACAGGCTTGGATCCTGACTGATGAATTTATTCTGCTTTAGAATTATTTTTCAAAATATTGAAATTGTGCTACGTATATCACAAATATAACACTAAATTCAGTGTATAGGCTTGGATCCTGAATCATAAATTCATTTCTTTTCCAGATTATTTATTTTTCTAGTTACTGCAATTATTTTGATTTCATTTTGATTATTTATTACTTTTTTTTGAAATTGTTATTGATGTATTCATTTATTCTTATTATATTTTTATTATTTCTAATATTATAATTCATTTACTATTATTTTACATAAACTAATATTATATTATTTATTTCATTTTTATATTAGACTTTAATAATTAGTATTTTTTTTTTTTTTTTGAAGAAAAGAAATAGAAACGATTATAATCATATTTATATATTTTTTCTTGTAAATTAAATATTATTGCTTTAATTCTTTTAATTTTTACCTTTTTAATTAGAAATTAGAATATATTATTAAATTTCGACAAAAATTTATTTATTTGTATTAAATTTTGATAATCTAAGCATTCCATTTGTTATTGTTGTTATTTTTTGTCTTAATATCATTTTTGATTTTTTAAATTTTCTTTATTTTAATTTTAACTTTTATATACAGTACAATTCCATTAAAATATTATCGCATTAGTAAGGAATTCGAGTTAAATTATAATTATAATTCTCATTTTCTTTAAGCAGTCATAGTTTGTATTTAAGTATTTATCCTTTTGTTTACCTGTTCACCTATCAATAAGGAGTATTCGCGGAATCGAGTAACAAGCTCGGTGATCGACTAATATAGTAACATCACAGCAGCAACAACAACATATATTTCAAGTACACTTTTTTTGTTGTTGACACTTTATACTGTCACTAAGTTACTCGAGCACCTACTTCATTACTAAAGCTCCTATCCTTAATACGTCAGCTCCTAATATGTTAGTGGTTGCAATACGTCAGCTTATGCTTTTGCAGAACTTCAGACCCGGACACGTGTCAAGAAAACTGTTAACTAAGTTAGTTAACTGAGTTAGTTAACTAATAGTATGTATGAATCGAAATTCGTCTTCAAGATAATGTCAGTTTATCTAATTTTAGTTGATTTTATAGTATTTTTTAATAAATGAGCGTCGGTATCGGTCTTTTCGTCCAATATCTAATCAAGAGACGAAAAATGATTTTTTATTTTGGATAATTTGTAATAGTTTGATGTTATTTAGAAAAAATGTACATCTATATAAAAACTTATTTAAATTTAAAATAATAGTTTACAATGTTTAACTTGTGACCTTCTTCTCTGTGCTAAGTTCGTGACTCAGTTCAGATACATCGTATATGTGTTTAGCGTTATTATAACTAGAAAATTTATGAAAAAATTATTGAATAATGCGGCGCAGCATAGCATAGCATTTAATATTATAAAACGATTTATTTATTCACTAAATATATATACAATACTCTTAATGAAAACTTTCTAAGAATTATTCACTTACGTACGATATCATAAAAGCCTATGTACGTAGAGTTCAACGTAAAATGGGACTATAGCTAACTTCTGATATATCATATTTATATGGTTTCTGATATGTTGTTTTGGCGCATGCTTTCTGAATATATTTGATATATGTTAGATTCTTTTTTACTTAGAATTAACTTTAACCTCCATTGTTATTATATATATATATATATATATATATATATATATATATATTATAAAAAATATTTTAATATTAAAAACTTAAATTTTAAACGAGTGAAATGAGAGATTTATATATAGTATAATTACTGCAATGGATAAATTTGTAAATCGTTTAGACGTACAGTGGATCGTCCCTTAAGTCGATGAGCTTTAATAAAGCGTATATCGCGTGTGTGTATATAGCTGAATGTAATATGTATGTATATATATAATTTATAAAAAATTTTTCTTTGTAGAATCTATTGTACTGCGAGCTAAATCCCTTGTATCTTTAGCTGTGATTGGTGGACCTCGTGATTGAAAAATTGGTTTACCCATCGCCAAAGCTGGATTTAGATCTAACATAGTTCTTGGACTCATAGCAACAATGCTGGCTCCAATAGGTCCTGTGAATAACAATCAAAACTTTCTGATATTAATTTCATAAAATCATAAAATATAAATATAATTTAATTATAATTTGCAATTACTAATTTAAATACACAATAATTAAACGGGAAGCAGTTTATACATCGATGGATATATGTACACAAGGTATAGTTTAATATATATACAAATATATTTATATATTCATATATATATACATATATTTGCATATATGTATATGTATAGAGTGTAATATATTATGAAATAAAAAATGTGGCATTACAATTTAGTCGAAAAATTAACATGCATACGAAAAACATAAAGTGAGTAGAGCGTTCTAATTCTGAATCAATAATTAAAGGATTGAGACTAATATTTTCCATTCAACGAGAACAATATATTTTCTTAATAGTAGTTTTAGAAATAAAATGAAATAAGAAATGATAGATATTAATAAATAATTCAGATTCCTTATAAACCTAAAAATCAGATCAAAATAGTAACTGCTTTGCATTAGATTATATGTATATGTAATCACATCTTTAGTTCCCCCGACCCTAAGAAAGTTTGACAAGAAGAAAATATGTGATTAGTACAATATATGAAATCAATAAGAAATCATAGATAAGATATGTGATAAGGTTGAACACAGTGAAGTGGAAAGTACAAAAATGGGTGTTGTGATTGTTATAGTCCGTCATGAAATTCCGAAAGTAGACAGCTATTATCAATATTAATAGATGTGAATAACGAAGTGTAAATAAAGCTAATACTGATCTATAGTTACAAATATTTGCCACATCCAAAAGTTCTTTTCAAAAGTAGTAGTTAGTTATTACAAAGCGTTAAAATTTATAACTATCAAGAGGCTAGATATTGACTAAAATTTGGAAAAGTAAAATGCTTCGCTAGACAATCGTTCTTCTTTCTGAACAATATTAGAGTAACATACTGTAGAACGTATTTGCGATAATTAAAGTCACACATTTTCAACACTTATGCAACAATTATTGCTCTATGAGAGATACGAAGGCAGGGATCGATAAATAAACAAAAGTGTAGTTCTACTCGCAGAAAATTAAAATGTGTAAGATTAGGTTTAAACACTTATCACCGAAAAAAGCTTACACTTGAAAAATTGGTTTCTAATATTTTCAATAAAGTAGCATCTTAACTTGTGAGCAATATTAACCAACCATTTGCATATATGGTATAATGACTCTGATGAATCTGTCTAATTACTCTTGAAGTTTTAAAATGGAAGCTGTAAAAAAGGATATAGAATATAGTGGGAAGTATATAGTGTTTTAAATTCCAAGCATTCTTTAGGTACTAACTGAAATCGACAAGTTATATGGCATGCTACTTATGATTTAATAGTTTATCTATCGCTTCGTCTAGTCTGGAATGAATTTCAAGTCAAGTGGTTGACTAAAATATTATAAAATATAGTGTCGAGTTCAAAACACGGAAAAATGTTAAATAAACAATATATATAAAATATTGACCTCATTTAAATCACTCATAATTGTATCATGAGTCGAAGTCTCTCAAAAGATGATGCGTTATTTTTTAAGATCATGCTGTTGGAGAGGGAGGTGATGATGTTAATAAGATGCGATATATAAGTAAATAGTAAAAACTCTAGAAGTTTGACTAGTGGAAATAGTAAAGAAATAGTCTATATGATGCTATACACGCCCCATTCCCTCAATAGAGTAATAATTCTACCGATTATTTTTAACTCTAAGAGTCTTTGAGTTTGTAGTTTTTAATTATCTTATTTTCGATTTAGGCATCTTAATAAAAGTGTAGATATCCTTATTAATAGCCATACCTTTATACCGATTTGTGCCATATTTATGAAACAAATAATTAAATTTATACAAATAGTAGTACCATTGAAAAGTGTTCTAGTGCTTAGGACTATAATTAAATCTGTGACATTTCCAGAACTTTGTCAAGGTGATATTGTATGATACAGAAAGATTTTGAAAGACGTAGTATCCAAAAGAATTGCAGGGATGATTTTCTGAATTGTGCCCAAAAGGAATGGAAAGTTAGTGTTGGGAAGACTATTGAAAAAGTATTTGTCATAATAGATAAGTTATACACATTTGACACTAAAAAAACAAATTAATATTTTTAAATCGATATATTGATCTTGAAATATATTAATTTTTTTTTTTTTAAATTAAAAATGAATTAATATCTAATAATTAAAACTTAAAAATTTGTTATTTCATTCTCATTCCAATATAAGCTGCTATTCGAAAAAGACATTTCTGATTCTTTTCACTTTATATACTTATTCTATAAATCTTTCTCTGCCTTTGTCTCCTTTTTTTCTGTGCTTGCTTTTCATTTCGCCACTCGAAAAATTCTCATTATTAAAGTTACAATCTTAATTTTTTAGTAGATGGCATATATAATCATTTTCCCTTTTTTCTTTCTTACTCTTTTTTCATCTATTTTCTTTAATTTAATTTCAAACGTATAATTTTTTGTTATTACAAAAGGAATTCTACATTTTTTTCCTTTCCTACTTTAATTCCTTTATAATTTTATTTTATTTTACTCCTTTCCTTTAAAAGGATAGGAATATTCTTTTATTCCTTTCATTTTTTTCTTCTATACATTTCTTTTCTTTTACTTCTTTATAGTTTTAAATATATAAATATTTTGAACACTTATAAACCTCATGGGGGATTCTCTTCCATTATCTTTCACTGATTACGCTGCTAAAGATATCTTTAGTTTCGTAAATAATAATTTTTAATTAAAATTCAACATAAAAATATATACTTTCTTAAAACATATATAACAAATAATAGGTACACTTATATCAAAAACATTATTCTTACTTAACATTCTCACATAAAGAATTTGTATATACATATAAGTTAAGGTTCCAACATGCCGACTATACATGCAAAATTCATCTATAAATCAAAAACATTCACAATAACATTCAAAATAAACACAAGTCCACACAGATAAATACACTTTAAGATACAAGAACAATGTTTGCAACTTCGTATGTGAGATACAAAGGTAACAAAGGTAATGTTTATGTATAGCTACTAGGTTCATGCAGATCTATTGGAGGTGCTACAATATGTCTAGATACTGAAGACCTTTTACTATTCTATTAGTAAACACCATTGTGAGCATCTATGCAAATTTTCATTTCAAACAATATGTATCCGAATTGTGCTCATAGAGGCTTAGGTATAGGCAAAGGCAAAGGCAAAGGAGTTCGTTATATGAAACATTTTCAGGAATAGCTACAAACTACGTAGTATGTAAAGTATACTGAGTGATATCTCAGCATTGAACAAATTAATTACAGGAAGTCATTAGTCTAATTAAGGATAGATAAATGTGTGATGTACGTAAAATAGACTAAAGATGCCAGTTTCACTATATAAAAGATATAAATTAATAATAAAACAAAGAAGTTTTTAACACACCCTCCCAGTATCCGCTGAATTATGTTTACATATATAATTTCTCAATATTCGATTTGTTACTTGTATTTGTTCTTAATATATTTATTGTATTATCTATATTATTGTATCTTTTATTGTTTGTTCTTTGCAGTGGCAATACTGAAGGTACGAACGAGTACATTTGCAAAAGCAATCTTAGTCGAAACTGAAGGCCATATCTGAAATACACAAGAGTTCGATCATAAGACATACACACAAATATGTTAAATATATTAAAACTCCTAATTTGCTATTATTGAAAAGGTGCATCCACAAAAAAGTACGTTAATATATATCTTACTTAAAATAAAACATATAAATATATTGTTAGATTAAAGGCTGCACAATGCAGAATACAGAATGCAGATACAGTATATAGAATGACGGCACATGAAAGTTGGCGCACCGCATCGATGCCTTAATAGAATAACTGGCTGATCTCTTCCAAAGCAGGTGTAGTTCATTTATTCACTATTGAACCAAACGATTCTAATTTAAAGCTTCAAGTTCATTGCATAATACATATTCTTAGAAATATTATAGATACTTTATCTCTCAACTCCGATCTGTGCTACAAAACCCATATTTCTATATGAACCAATAGCAAATTAGTGCAATGAAAGAATTATTGATGATATCAATTGATTTATACTTCTTGATTCCGCAAAAGGTGATAATTTATGAGTTTTAAGCCTTTGAAAGATTAAAAAGAGCAGTTCCAGATTAATACTGGAAGCAGCCTTGATAACATTTTAAATTGAACTATCGCCTGTTAGTCGATATATAACAGCCAGTTATTCATAATGTTTCTTAAACGCTATGCATAAAATTGAACAATACTTTTGTGTATGGTCAGTAATACTCTTATAAGGGTGCAGTTTCCAAAAAGAAACCGTCAAGTTATTAAAAAACTAAAAATTATTATATAAATTCTGTTCAAAAAGTACTAGGAATATATATTTTCAACGCTGCATACCTTAAAACAAAAATTTTATGTATAGTATCAAACATATTTAGTTTGTTAAATAATAAAAACTTATCCTTCAATTATCATAAAACTTAATATATTTTCCACTGTCCATAAAACATCGAAAAATTATAATTAAATAACAATTGGTTAGGCCTGGACCTATTTTCAAGGTAGGTACTTGGAAGAGAGTTCATTTCTTTCGGCCTCAGCTCTTCTTATCTTTAATGATGTTTTAGCTGCATGCTGTATCAATAGAAAATCAAAAGTTTATCATTATTGCCAATGGTTTACGCTTTACCCAATCTCATGTAAATAAAACTAATAGATGGCGTTGAAAGTAGAAGAAGAGAGGAAAATGTTTTAAGTGCTTCTTCAGAACATTGTTCACTATGTAAATTCAGACACTATAATTTCAGAATATACTTATTAGCAGAACCAATAATCGGATGGTTGCCGAAACTGACTTGTAGGCCACCAGTTATGTTAACAAATTTAGGGAGAACAGTATTTTTTGAGCAGCGATAACTGTGTATTCGAACATTCGTTGAAATTATATATTTGTGAGAAGTTTTTGTCCATGACTCACAAAATCAGTTATTGCAAACAGAATCAATTATCGGATAATGCCAGAAATTGACATAAAGCTAATAATGTTAACAAATTTTCGGAAAAATCAAATTCGAAATACTATTAATTCGTAAATGTCAATTGATGAGTTTTTAAACTGCTTGTTAAAAAAAAATTAATAAACAGATGTCGTAAATAATGGATTTTAGAAGCTGAGAGTAGTTTTAACAAAAACACTTCTCGCATTTATGATACACTCCTAGTGTAAATAGATCAAATCATCGGATGGTGTGAGAATCGTTTAGAATTCTCGACTCACGCAAACTTATTGTATAAATAGATCAAAATTGTTAAAAGTGAGAATCTTCTAGAATTCATGACTCACTCAACCTCATAGTGTAAATAGATCAAATCATCGGATTGTATTAAAGGTGGGATAAGAGTTATTATTAGTATTAACAATTTGAGAAGAACATTTTATTTAAATGTTTCAAGTGTGTAGACAGTGTCAATTGATGGACTTACTTAAAGCACTAGCGCTACAGATTGACATAAAAATCGTCATAGGCATGTAATGTCAACACATTGTTCCTAATATTTTTTAGATGTCTTAAGAGTATGTCGTTTAAATAACTATATTCCCAATACTTTTTGAATAGAATGTAAAGTGTTTATAACATGAGATATGAACACTATAGTTACTCTTTGTCCAAAGATATACATAGCGATCAGCACCATTCACACCACATGAAGTAACAAAGAAATATATAAAATAAATGAAAAACATTACTTAAGAAGAACAGAAGACAATGAACATACAACAACATTTAGATTATTTTACGCTGTGTCGTGTCATAAATTGAAATTCAAAAAATTTGGCACGTGCATCTCCCGACGTACCATTTCGTGGGCTACTACGGTGCGGTCCCAGTTCAACAGTGATGACATTTGTGTAGTGAATTCTTGTAAAACGACTTAGGGTGTGTATTATGTTTGAAGCTGAATAGAATATTTTTTTTTTGGTTCACAGCTGTTCTTTCTAATGCTGGCCGATCCACAGTATCTTGCAAGTTTCATACGATATTCATATTCTGCTATAGCTGAGCAATTTAGGGCAACGTATATATTTTATCTACTCTTCTATAATTTTATTTAATTTTTTTTTCTTTAACCATATCGCTATACAGAACATGAATTTTGGTTGTATGGAGAGGTAGGTGTTGATTTTTGGCTTTGGTTGTGGTGTTGACGTTTTTAATGGTGATGATGATAATGATGGATTTTTCTGATGAATTTCAAATTTCTCTAGCGTCGATTATATAAAAGTGATTTAGATATGAATAAACTATTATATTATTGTAAATATTTTGTAATTATTCTTAATATAGGCGCAGTCTGGCTTTCTTCCTTATCACTTGGTTTATATGTATATTATTATTATGCATACGTACGGAACTCTCTACATAAATTTGTGTGCTTATGTGGAGTACTCGTATGTAACGCTCATGATTTGGTTGCATTCGTATATCTAGCAAGAACCGTTAAATCTTCAAAGAAGTCTTCCCATTTTTCCATCACGTGGTTTACCAAGCATATTGGAGTACTCATCTATTTACAATGATGGGAGATAATACAGTCAATACGTATACATCGAAATTAAAACATTTCGTAAAGGTTAATTTAAAATTATATACATAAATAATATATGGTATATATATATATATATTAATAAGAATCTTGAGAATAATATGAAAAAGTTATTATAAGTAAGTAAATTAAATAAAAATTTTATAACTAATATTGCATCAAATATTGATTAAATTGATTTACATACATAGTTTACAAAGCGCAGTTTAAGATACTTAACGAAAATTTTTACTGATAACTGAATATATAATCCGTTAAGTTTAGGCTAACAGAAAACATTATATTTTTTTATTTTACATATTATATTTTTACACTATCGTATAGCGATTAGTTATGATATAGCCAAATCGGATAGTAATAATGCCCGTTACTCAATTAGTATTTGGATCTAATGCCCGATTTACGTACGAGTATTTGAAACGATGCATATTGTCTTCTGGACAATATATCAATTATAATGCAATATTTACTACAACATATGCATATTGAAAGCTCTCATATTAGCAAGCCCATTTCAATTGTAAAAAATTACACAAACATATATATTGTTGTTCTAACGCTACGATTTCTTTACGAATTACGATTTTTGGTGCTCCCGTCCACACGGATTTTATTAAAATCTACTTTTCTGGGCAAAAATTTCTTTGTTTGTGTAATCAATGTAAAATTTTATAATTTTATGCTCCTATATCTCGACAATCGTTTTATATCGGCATATAGAAAAAATTTGCCTCAAAATAATAAAATTGTTTAACATTTGTCGTCAAACCACGGTACTCGGAAAATCGTTATCATGTTGTCTTTATTACTGCGCTTTAAATAGAACTGCTAATAGTGCTGATGCAACATATAATATGTCGGGACCTTCAATCGCGAATAGGGTGACATGGGTTGTAGTGCATGTGCGTAATTGTTGGCTTGAGAAACGAATAGTTTATAAGCACAGTTTTCGCTATACTTTATACAATATATTCATATAAGTTTTGGTTTTGAGTTCATATATACTTATATATATAAATAAATATATATATATATAAATAAGTATATATTATATAAATAAATACGGATGTTTTATAGGTAAGATAAATCTTTTGAAAATAATTGTACAATAAATTTTATTTTCGCAAAGAACGAACCTGATTTTGGGCTAACTAAATCTTTAGTTTTGTTATTCATTCTTCTTGGTCCAGTTCCGCTTGATCCCATAGGTCCAGAATGTGGTCCAGACCCAGGCGTGCCGCAACCACTCACACCTCCTGGTTGGCCTTAAACGCATTATGGTTAATGATGGTTAATGAAATAATATTATTATTTTTTATTCTGAATTTTATTTTTACCTGGTAGCCTTGGTGGACGGGGCTGTTCAACGGGAAGAACACGTCTACGTTTCTTGGGCAGTTTAGCTCGGGCTTGTGTATGTGAATAGTACATTGCAAAATTGCTAACAATAACTGGAACCGGCAGTGCTATAGTTAGTACACCAGCAAGTGCGCATAATGCGCCAACAAACATTCCTATATACGTTTTAGGCACCATATCTCCATATCCAACTGTAGTCATTGTGACTAAGGCCCACCATAAGCCTAAAGGTATGCTATTAAAGTCATTGTGTGGATTTGGTTGAATACGCTCCGCATAATACACAAGACTTGCGAATATAACTATACCGAGTACTAAAAAAAACACCAGTAATGTAAGCTCCTTCGCCGAAGCCCGAAACGTCTGTATGAGTATTTTTAAGCCGGATGAATGGCGCGTGAGTTTGAACAAACGCATTATACGTATTATCGAGAAAAATTCTAAAATGTCGGCGTTTTCAAGATGAGAAGCAAAGCGCTGAAGCACAAGATCGATATAAAAACTAAGCGTTGCTATATAATCTATGATGTTAACAGATGACTTTATGAATTCACATTTATTTGGCGAGGATATGAATCTAACCTAAATTTGGAAAGGGAAAGAATCACATAAGTTCTCATACACATGCAAATATATTTTGGTATACACATGTACTTATACATATACGCACAGACACATATACTTCAGTACTTTTTTATATATATATCCATTTATTTCCGATGATCCTTTCGTTTTTTAAACAATTTTCGAAGTTCTTGCAGATATTTTTTTTTTATTTTATTGCAGATATTTTTTATTTACAAATTTTTTCAAAAATATATCACAATATATCATATATCACATTGTTTACAACTCAATATTAGTGTGATACTAAAGAAAAATGTCCTCTTTAAAATTTGTTTTTAATCACTAAGGCAGCTACTTGCTTTTGTAAATTACAAACTGTGGCTAAGTGATGATATCATAACAAACAAGTATGTACAGTAGCAGTTCTACTTGGGACATCTTGCGAATTATTGAGTTACCATAAATATCTATAAGTACTACATATGCTAGGTAAATTGTCCACTTACCAAAATCTCGAATGTGAACCACGCATTGCACACACATTCAATATAAAAGAATGCGATATGTGCATTGGTTTGGAATTTATCTAAAAACCACGAAGTGCTTCCATTCGCCGTACGTACTGTTACGTTTCTAACAACCGGAACTCGCATATCGGGATGCGTTTTGAGGCAGAATGATAAAATTGAAATGCAAATAAAAAATACTGAGACAACACCTATAGTCTGTAAATCAATATAGAATTAGTCTAATGGATCTAATTGAAAATTCACACTTACCTTAGCTGCATTGGAACTATATGGTTCGTCAAATAATGACCAAATGCGAGGTTTCATTTCCTGCCACCAAGATAAGGTACCTTTATAGTAATCTTCCTCGAAGCCGAACTTCCTTGCCAATTCCTCTTCGGACGGTTTTTCTGTATCAAGGTCTAAACGGTCTAATACGGCAAGGGTTTCTTGAGTATCTCTATGCTGAAATAGTATTGTAAATATGTTTTATATTATATATTATTATATTATTCACATTATTCATATGTAGTGTGAAATGTTTAAAATCAAATGTTTTTAATTTTTTAAACAATTATAAATTATTAACATATATTTTAAAAATATTAAACATTTCTTCATACAAATGTTGTTAAAAGTAAATAATTTAACGAATTGCCAACAAACATAAGATTTTATGTTCTTCTATTTTCAATAGAGCGCAATCCGAAACTAATCTACAATTCCCAACTAAAGAACCTTCCATACCAAAAGCACTTTATATAAAACTGGTATCTGTTTCTAGCACATTAAGTAATGGCGAAAAGCCGGATATGAAATCTTAAGAGGAAGTTGCATGAGTGTATCCACATAATATAGTGACCAGATGGATAACCGGTTATACAGATGATAATCAGAATGAAACCATAATGTGCTCAAAAGAGGCAGTAAAACTAACCGCAATTGTTACAAGGCTATGTCTCTACTATGTGACTAGTATTTAAAAACATTTTAATTGACAATAGAATAAATGTGATTGCGAATTTTATATTAGAAGAGAATCAATGCTGTTTTTACAGTACAAACGGAAAACTACTAAAGATTAAATATTCATTATTACATAGCCCAATACCCAATTGCAATGATTATTAATCGACTTCAAGCTCCCATTTCACATTTTGCAGATTAAAAATCAGAAACCCTCTGCCAACACAGGTAGTATTCAGAGAATTGTCATCATTACTATTGATAACACTTAGATATACAACAATTACAATTACGTGTAAAAATTAATCTGGTATCAAACATCATAACAAGTTATCAAGCGTTATGACCACAATCGTGAACCAGTTCGGAACCCTTACGGTTTTGATACGCTTTTGAATATTGATATTTCAAGAACTTGGCTACGTCGGCATATAGCTTTGCTGATTGTCAAATCAGGATGACGCAGAAATTGAAATTGTCATTGCCGGCATTCGCACCCTATATAAAGTGTGCAAATAATAATATAATATGATTTGAAACATTTGCGTGCTTTTGTTAACAACCAATGATTTGATTGTAAATATAAAGTCAAATTTGCCAAAATCGAATAAAATTTATAATAACTAATAGTAATATTTTTATAATAAATTAAATAATAATAAATATAGTACCTGAGTGTAAGTCATCCAACAGCATGGCTCTACCTGGTTAGAATCTAATCCCCAAAACTCAAGTTCCTCTTCAAATAGAGGTCCGCAAACATCTGTAGGATAATGCAGTTTGCCAGTTCTGTAAAAATTAAATTATTGTATTTATCACATCAAAATGACTTTAAAAAAAATGCATATAAAACTTTACCTACCTATAGTAATTGAGGACTTGAGCAAAAACTCCTGGATGCCGATCAAAAAAATATTCATTCAATATAGGATCGTAGTTGGCAAGGGCTTCAGTTAACCGAGACAGGCGCGTAGCGGGAATCTTTTTCAATGTGGCTTTATAGGTTTCATGCCGAATGCCGCCCACATTCAGCACAACCCGATTTTCTGAATCCATATTTATGAGATTCATGGCTGCATGCGTAAAATACAAGTTATTCAATTTTTGATAGTTTTCCATATACCAAAAAATATTTGTGCAATAAAGAAATGGTGCTGAGATATCTGATATTTTCTAAAAATACCGTGTATACCTTCTTCTTCTTCTTGATATTCTGTAAATTTTTTACAAGTTATTATTGCTTAATCTAACCTATTTTTTATGGTCCCTTTAATGTACTCCGGTATAAAAATAAGTTTTAGATTCTTTCTCCACATTTATGGCATCAATGAAATATGGTATCCATGTCTGTTAAATATGTCTTTGACTAGTTATATATTCATTTTACAAAGCAATTTTTGCTCAAATCGTGTTCGCTTCTGTAATGACTTTTCCATGCCAAAATATGAATGGATCTAAAACAAAAAGAAATTATTTTAATTATTACATATTTCTTCATAGTTCTTTTTTTTAAATGTAAAAAACATAAATATATAATCATATAAATGCAGATTTCTTTTAACGCAAAACGCAAATATGAATAAAATTAGTTTTGGCTTTGGCAAAGGCAAAATATCCATCAGACAATATATCCTTTGGACAAAATATCCTTTGAACAAAATATCCTTCAGACAAATATCCTTCGGACAAAATATCCTTCAGTCAAAATTATAAAGAATTGCGCCATAAAAGGGTTTTACATTAGAAACGTAGGACTGACTAGCAATAAGTACTATACCAAAACACCTGGATTGTTATTTTAATATGAATATATTTTTAGAAGAGTTGATATGTCTAATTTTGGTTGTTTAAATATTAACAAGCAAAGTTAGTGGGAAAATGTTAAGGAGGGAAAAAATTAAGCAGTGACTTCATCAAGTCTTAAACCCTCTTTCTACATTTTTTTTACAGGCTGCCTTTAATAACAATCATTATATTGCGTGCACTGTATCTTGCTTATTAAGTCGGATCTTTTTTGTGTATTGGTTGTATTGTCAGTTACATATATATTTTAGCTGCTATAACTTACAGAAAGTCCATGTGGGTATACTGACATACTGACAGATATACCAACTTATAATAGTCTGCAACACACAAAAATAATATTAAAATATATCATTATAAAACAAAATTTTAAATTCCAATTTTTGTTTGATGGAATAAATATGTTATATAAAGCTGAAGAAGAACATTACTATATTCATCCAACCGATATTATAGAGTTCCAGAACTGGTATTTTATTTGATTTTGCGAAATTTCTGTTATAGTTATTATCGACGTTAATATATAGGAAAAACAATTATTATCTCTCATTGGATATCTTGTTTTGAAAATTGTGAATGTAGTTGTATTTCATTTTAGAATAGTATTCCAATAAAATAGGTTAAAACTTGGCTACAGTGAAGGCATCTTTCAAATGGAATTGTGTGAAAGCTTTTCCTATAAAAATACGAATTTACGTCATCAAAATGATGCAATACATCTCACCCAAATCTGAACCGGTTCTTTAAACCATTTAAAAATATACATATTAGAAGAAGGGTGACCGATTTTTTATTATATGAGAAGATAGTCTACTGAAATATTTTTTGTCCGAAGCTTACAAAATACACAAAAGTTATTATAATCATAAGATAGATGAACTATTCGAAGAATATTACAATCTTTTAGCTATCTTATACCAGATCTAAAAATATAACATATATTTTAGATATATGTATCATTAAACGATTTCAGATAAAATAGTTGAGATATTTAAGATAGTTGTTAGATAGATTGGAGTAGCGGCCTTGTTTCTAAATAGCTCACTTAAGATCAAATTATAACCCATTGTGGGACCACAGGAATAGCATTCGCGGATATATAGATTGAAAGATCGGTATACAACCAACGCCTAAAAAGGTAACGACTCCCCCATTAGGTAAAAGAAAACCAACCTGACAGTTCCATAAACTTGACTAGGTTTCTAATATTAAAGGATAATAGTTCGTTCAGGTCGTTGAGAAAAGGGATCGCGAAAATTTTCAACCTTATTCTAGCTAAAGAAGGGCACTGACATATGAAATGAAGCATTGCATTCTCCTTGTCCTCAGAGCCTCAGCCTCAATAAAAGACACTGTAGGGTAGACCTAGTCTCATAGTATGTCTTTCTCTTTCGCAGTGGCCCGTCAGCACAGATACCGTAGTACTGAGCAGGTTCGGCTTTAGTTAATGCAGTGCGTTTCTTGTCCAAATTAGATCAAGTAAACCTAGATATCTGACAATGGGGTTCATTAGCCCTGTATTGCTTGGTTATCCTCAGGTATTTTTGTTTAATTGCCAGTTTAACTGTAGCAAGTGGAACGGCAATATTTGAGAAGTAAATGTCAGGGAGAAGAACCTCTACATTGGTAAGCTCGTCCGCTCTGCGATTGCCCGTGATATCACTATGACCTGAAACCCAAATGAGTTAAACCTGGACGCACCTAGCTAGGTCATTGAGGGAAGCACGGCAGTTTTGAGTTATGATTGATGTAGTTAAAATAGTGGTTCAGATCTGTTTGGTAATGGAATTTTTTTGTACAGAACTTATATTCCAATTTTTTTATTGTTACTTTTTTAAACAGGTAAAAAATTAGAATGAGTAAATAAAAAATTGTTTAGTGCATTAAACAATTTGGTTATTTCTGCCTAAGAAAAGTAAAGACCAAGACAGTTTAATTAAGTCTATAATTTTACTTGTACAGTACATTTGCGAAAAATAGTATAAGTAACCAAAAATAATGTTATTTCTATTTGTTCGAATAACATCCTCCAGAAATCAACTTCTACAAGGAAAAACCTCAAGAATCCTAGTTTTACATAATCGACAAATATCTGTAAGAAATAAGTTCGAAAAATAACACAAGCCTACAAATTCCCTCATATGCCATGTGTTAAAAAAAATAGTGAATCTAGTTTAGAATAAATAATCATAGTAGCATACAAAATAACATCGGTTCTCAATGGATAGTGAAGTAGGCACTAAAACACTTGCCATGTCACTGTTCAGGCTTATCGAAATATAAATTAAAACTTATGGACTCAACATTCATTAATTTATTCAACGTTAAACATTGAAACAAGTTAATTTCTAGTCTTTAAACGCCTAACCTTTCAAAATTACGAAAAATGTCTAATCAAAACGGGTCTCTTAACCAATTGAGAAGAAGTCAATCCTCCTTCCATTTACCCTTCCTATCTAGCTAAGCTTGTTTTGATATCTTTTTTGTTTATATCAAATTTATATATGCGATAATGATACGTAATAAATTATTGTGATCTCGAGACTAGTATTTTGATAATTAAAAATATTTTCCTGCTGGAACTTATACAATCCAGTAAGTATAAGGAAAGTGCATTATAAATATTGCATTCATATTGATATGTACTCAAAATGTGTTAGCGGAATTTTAATTCAGCTAGAATTGGATGAATAAAGCTAATTTAAAACAAGTTTAGGTCCTTTATGAATTGTAAAGCTATTTCTTTTATTTCTTTTATAAATGGTGTTCGTTGTACACTGAAAATTCTCTTAACGGATACCTCTTTTAAAATGGACATCCTTCTATAAACAAATTTTTTATTATTCCTTATTTGGAACTACTTAACCTTTTATAACCAAGCACCCATCTTGGAGGAACAAAAATTAGCTAAAGATTACTATTGCCTACTTTAGAACTAATGTTTCATACGACTATTTCAATGTCCAAAGTCCAACTCCACTGGGCCATATATAATACGAGGGAACTATCTTCACTACGAAAAAAAATACACAAAATTAAAATCACTTACTAGTTGATTGCTTTAGTACTTCATATTAAGCACTAAAGAATTGGGTAGTGAGCAGGCGAGTATATATAGCTGCCATTTCGTCATAAATAGAACAAAATGAAAAAAGTAGGACTTGAAATTTACACAAATCTCTGTACACATAATGGCAAAAAAAAAAAAAATACAACACGTAAATTTTCTCAAATTATAAACACTAGAAAAATCAAACCGAGTAAGCAAGCAAGTATTTTCTGGACATTTTGGCGCGCCCACATACTCCAACCACACACACACATACATAAGTAATTATCATACCCCCGTTGAGGTTTGTTTTATTTATTTATTTTCTTATATATGCCATCCAAAAGTACTTGGATGTGAATATACTTAGATATGCGCACTTTTCACCTCCACCTCCGTCCGCTTGGCAAGCAGTTTTCGACACAAACACACGCACACGTACTTATAAATTCATCCTCACTTACTAACACACGGAACGGGCCTTCCAGGAAAGGGAACAACAAATGAACAATATTTATAGTAAATCACCACATTTCGTTTGACGGCGTTTAACTAATTTGCCTAATATCGCATTCCCGTTCCCGTACCCGTACCCGTTTCCGTTCCCATCGTTATGTTTTCGTTATGTTTGAGTACGAGTACTGAAACAGTTTTGTACTTTTCGAATTGCGCTCGATTGCAGCACCAATTTATTTAATATTTTTATTTGCAATTAGAATACGATTTTCCGCGAAAACATTGTTATTTTGCGGTTCTCATTTTATTTCGCTTTACTTCTGAATTATTCACATTAAATTGGAAATGTTTGTTTACATTGTGACTAAGAGGAATACGAAATGGGCAGTGAGTGTTTCGGAATTTGGGTACAGAATATACGAATCTGCATTTGCATATGCCTCACTCTATGGACGTACGGTTTTCTGTTTGTTTTATATTTTCAATTTTAGTGAATTTAATTACTTCATATTTGTTTACTTTTGAACTTAAATGAATTTTGGTGCGTTCGACTGAAAATCGGCACGGCGATTGCATCGATTTTTCTCCAAATCATGTGTTTCTCTTTTACATTCACTTTATTTTCTGATTACTTATTTTGTTTGGGGCTTTTAAATGTTTGTAGTTTCACGTTGGATACGGGATATGGGAACTTCACTTTTTAAAATCAGAGGTGCGAAACTCAAGCGAATAACTCCACCTCATCGGATAGGCGATGAAATTCACTTCAGTCCTTTAGTAAGGATTTTTACACTGTACAATATCTTTAGTAAAACTGTCGTTTCAATTAATACATTTATTAAAATAAACAATTCTCATTAGAATTACTTAGTTTTTTTATTTCTTTACCTCTAATTTTTACTATGTAAATTTTATATAAAATATGACTAAATTTCTACGTTTTTTTATTATAATAGTGATTTAGATTAGAACAAACTATGTGCTCCCGTGCTTGTGTCCGAAAAATACTCAAAAGTCTTATTTCATTTTTATTATTTAAACCATTTTGCTTCAACAACAAACTCTGATACCAATTATTTTGATACTCCCCATTCAATTCAACTAACAGTAAAGCGAGTACTACGAATGAGTACGAAGGAAGATATTTAGTGCTGTGTAGCAGTGCTGCCAGCTAAACCAATAAATTGTCAACTTTTAGTTTTTCCATCCAATATGTTGTTATATACAACAAACGGTGTTGCCAAGCAGAACAGGATAATTCAAATAATTCGTTAGACTGTGTTTACACGAATGATGCCCACGAAAAGCATCAATCGTTAAAATATTTAAGCAAAATATTGTAATTTCTATTGAAACAAAAATCACACAAAAAAATTGTAAAAAAAATCTTTAAGTAGTTTTCCAATCATCTTATATAAAAATTCAAATAATTATGTATATTAAAGTTTATTGTTGGATGTACACCGTAGCTGGTCTATGAAGTAAACCGATATATTTGTATAAAAAATATGTTCTTAAAATATATTAAATATTTTAACAACAATTAGTTATTTATTAACAATTTGAATGTTAGGAAACCAACCATAAGCCCGGTTAAATTAAATAATTTCTTTAAATTCTTTAAATAAGAATAAAAATAAAAAAAAGTCATTTATCGAATTTTAATTATTTTCCTTTAAAGGAGATTTTTTTCAGTTTATATAACTGATAATTTACTATTTTTGATTGTTTATTTTATTATTTATTACTTAAAGCAGAGTTTTACACAGTTTGTTCTTCTTAAGCAGCCTTGTTTAGTCCATCGCATTTCCTGGACAGTGATGACGTCAACCTCGCTTCAACGTCTGCCAGTTGAAAAAAAGCACCTTCTTTATGAAGGGTTCGGATATTCCAGGTGTATTTTCGTAAATCATTATTTTTTGCTTGTTTGCAGGGGTCGTCAACATTCGAGGTATTATTGCATCTTTTATTGGCGGCTATTTCTACGTGACGGGTGACCAATCATATACACAACTCAAATTAAAAATACTGGGTAAAACTGGCTGTACGCACTATTAGTTTATTACCCAGTGGGTGCTAGATAACTATCCAGGAGTACGATGTGGAGGTTGTACATTAATCTAAATTAAGAAAGACAAGAATTGCGCTGGCATTTTCGAAGTTAAATGCAGTCAGGCACGTCTTGCGTTTGCTCGTATGCAGTAACATATTATTTGTTATAACTATTGTAACTGAGTATATATTGAATCACGTGCTATACCTTTTACTGGTATAGAGATGATTAACGAGTAAAGTAAAACACAACTTTTGATATTAACTTAGATTCGTTTTATTATTACTATTTACACAATATTTCAGTGTTCACGAATGAGAATAAGGCATTAAAAGTGTTCTTAATAAGAAGAAGTTCTTATACTGTCTTTTTAGTGCTTAGATCAACTTCCCATTTAAATTAAGATTATTGGTTTATACTAAGATGAATTTATTTTCAACACATACTTCAACACATACTTTGATATAAAATATATCAAAATCTCATTAACTGAATTCGTCCATTTTGGTTGGTTAGTTTAATAAAATATCAAAATCTTTTTAACAATTCATTATTATTTCATATGGTTTCTTTATTTCAACATTAATTCAATTGTAAGATATATCAATAACAATGGGTAAGCTAAATTTTTAAAAATTATAATACACTTATTCTAAATTTTATGTAAAAAAACCATAAATTATTTAGGATTTCATTTTATAAAAAAAAAACATTTAATATTAAATTTGATCGACATCTGAATTTAGGGAAGCAGATCCTGCAGTTGGAGAGTGCCATTTTTTATCTATTTCAAGTGCTTGCATTTTTAAAAGCTCTTTTTGACTCTCCTTAGCTTCCAATAGAAACACACTTCGCTAGATTAAAAGTTGAATATGGAACATTTAATCATATTGCAAAAAAAAAATATATATATAAATATTTATACATACCTTGACTTCTTTACTAGTTAATATATCCATTTTATCGTATATTATGGCGTGCAAGCCCAACTGTTTAAGGAGTTTGATTGTGTCTTTTGAATTGTTTTCATCTCCCCAACAAAAAAGTATTAATCCTCGATTCTTTGTCAAATTAACTTGAGTCGGGTCTCTAAGTAAGTCTTCAGTATGTGCAACAATTCCTAGTAACTCCATGGCTAATGAATGAAAAACAGCAGTTTCAAAAGAATTTCCCCTTGGGTCCATGTATTTGATATATTTTGTAGTGTTGCCAAGGCTAAGAAACATAACAGGATACCGATTTTGTTTGAACCTGAGCATAGTGCAAATATCTGGATCAAAGCAAGAAAAGATTATGCGTCTATTAGCACCTTTACGCCACACAGTATCTAAAATACAATCTATGTATGAATTGCGATCAACCACAGGTTCAAATTCTTCTTCCATAGTGCCGTCTTGTAACTTTTGAGACCACTTGACTTCAATATTGAATCCAATATGTGAGTCAATTGCATCTAACACGTCAGATAGTTGCGGAAATGGTTGATGTTCTTGTAAATCATCGTTAAAAAAACAGCGAACTTCGCCTGAGCGCCCTTCTTCAGTATGATAAACCTAATAATTTGTTAATGTAAAATATCGAAAATAAATTTTAATCTTAATTTTTAATTTACCTTCAAATTTTTAAGCTGATCCAATGTAAGATCACGTACAGGTAATTCCAGAAAGCCGTTTTCTTGTAATGTATGTTTAGATTTAAGCGAAACATATATTTTAAAATCATGGTATACGACTGGTACCAAATCTTTACTCAGTTGAACATCGAATTCAACCATATCAGCACCGTGATCAACTGCATTTTTTAATGAAGCAATCGTATTTTCACGTATTAGACAATCGTTTGCTTTGAAGCTAGACCCAAGTCCTCTGTGACCTACATCTAAACCTGCCCATTTATCATTCCAATAACGAGAAAATGAAACGCGCATGTCAAAATCTAAAGATGAAACTGGTTGTACTATAAGGTACCCGATTCGCATCATACCCAAGGGACGGTGTGTAGATGCGCATGTTATTGGTACTTCTAAGCGCCCTTCAGAACTTTTAAATAAGTTTGGTAAAACATATTGATACCCAAAATGCAACGGGGGCTCATCTCGAGACACTTTCGAACTATATGAATAAAAATCAATCAAATAAGCAGTACTTTCAAAATCACCAACTGTTAAGTGAAAAACAACAAGATCAGTACTTCCACAGACTGTTCCAAATTGAGGTTGTAAATGAATTTCACTATCATCAGCATTTAAATTAGTTACTTCATTGAATCCGAATGATTTATAAGCGTCATTAGCGTTCTCCTTAGTATCATGTGTATCATTGGATAAAGAATCTTCGACAGATAAAAGTGAACTCCCGGCTAAGTGATTGTTATCAGAAGTACTTGGAATCTTCAAATGCATAGGAGTTACTTTAACATATAATAGTCTGCGTTTCATACGTTGCTTAAAAGTAAATGGGGCATTAAAGAATTTCAATTGAACAAGCGTTTCTGTAGTAAGCCAACCGCGGTCTACTTTTTCTACATCGTCAATTACACCAAAAATATGTAAGCATGTTTCTTTCTGTTCTTGTTGTAACTGAAGTAACCGCGGTACCAAATGTGTCTCCCATCGACGCACTATTAGTTTTTCACTGATTGGATCAATTGCACATACAAAATAACGATATTCTACAGATTTATTGTTTAAATCCATATTAGCAAACCACACATTGTGCTCTTCAAAAATTATAAAGTTTCAATAATATAAATTGAAAAGACAATTCCACAACTTACCATCCTCCTTGGACATAATTTTGCAACCTTCTAATTTCCAATTTCCAATAGCACTGCAATTCCCCACTATTGCCAAATATTCATTTGATAATAATGTTTCACGAATAAGAACTCTAAAATTATGTCGATAGAGGCCGTTTCTGTCAGTATTTGGCAGTGAGGCGTTAATGGTATGAATGCTGCTATACTCATCAAACTTATCCATATCGGCTTTTATTACAAATTTACAATTAACGGAATTAATATGCTGCTTACTAAGTGTACCTAAAAAAGCATCAAATGAATCAATTTCTGCATATATAGCTTCAGAATTCAAAAAAATGAAATATTAGAAAAATTAATTAATTAACTTACATTACGAAGCAAATGCAATCTTTTTGCCTCCTTGCAATATTATATTGGGCTTATCCTGAAAAACAAATTCCAGATGTTGTCAAATGTTGAGAATCCAAGGCAATTCGAAGCTTTTTTGATATGAGCACATATTTGTTATAAGAAAAAATTTATCTTAAGAACAAAGAAGTTAAATGAAATGTAGTGTAAAATATCAGATTACGCGTTATAACAAAAAAACAACTGCTTAATCATAAGAATTATTTTTTTGCTATGAGCTTAACAGGCCACACCAGCTCATTTTTGATATCAGCTTAATAAAAAACACTGTCATAGTCTTAACTTTCTGTAGCAAGTCGTATTGCTTATATATACTTTTATTAACTTATAATAATTAAGTTATAATAATCAAAAAATAATGCTAAACACTACGAATAATAACTAAGCAGTACCAAATTTATTTTGAACCGACGAACACAGCAACGAGCAGTAGTACAAAAAAGTATGTTCAGTGGAAGCAATTTTTTTTAATGCAAGTTGATAATACGAAAGGTATGTTGATATTTGTAAAATAATATGCTGTCAAACTCATTACTATTAATGTCAATTATTATCTGACAAAAAAAATTAGCAATTGTGTGTAAATTTAATTTGTGCTTACATTTACCATTAAAATGATCGTGAAAAATTTACTTCAATCACAAATGTGTTCCTATAGTTTTGTTAGTAGAACTTTTAAGTACAATTTTTATCTTGATTATTTTAATAAAGCTCAAAGTAAAAGAGCTCATATATAGCAAAGTAAAAATTAGTGACTCATTATTAATTCAGATATTATTTTTTATTATTAATTTAATTTATAGCTAACGACTAATTTCAAATTAAATATTAACAAAAATCAGCTGGTTTTATTTGTTTTAATATTTTTATCAGCCACAATATTACTAATCCGAACTTTAAATTCAAATTAATATTATATCTTATTATATCTTATTGCGCTTTCTAATTAAAGTTTAAAACTAAAAAACAATTGATACAAGTTTTATGTCCAGTAATGCATTTAGTATATCAAACACTTTTCACAATTTTACTAAGTTAATTTATTGATCACCATTTTAAAACATTTCCCACATCCACTGTTGTATATTAAAATCAAAGAATGTTAAAATATACGCTTTTAAAAAATTATTAGCAATCAAAATATATGTTTTCTTAACGAAATATGGACCGAAGTACGTTCAGTGCACTTGAAAAAATTTTAAAAGTTATTGTGCAACTTTTTAGCAATCACCACGATCTTCTATATATTACTATATACAAGTAGTCGCAACATGCCATGTGTTAGCATGAGAAAATCTATGTACAAACACGCAAGATAAATTTCGCATGCAATGCAACCACAGCCTAATTTGCACCTTCCATTTCGCACGACCGAATGAATTTCAAAAAAAAATATTTTGTTTAATCAAATTTTCGCACGAGAAAGACAACACGTTGCGCGAATAGTTCTCATCAGCTGTAACCACTCACATATGATTACGTACATTTGATTTGTTCGCACGAACAGGCAAAGCTTAATTCAAATGCAGTGTAACCGCAGCTTTATGTGTAATAGCAACAAATGTAGAAATATTCAAAAATGTTTTGATTTTTCATCAGTCTTCCTCGTTTTTTTCGTATGCAATCGGATTTTTATAGACTTCCATGCAAATTTTATTCTGTGTTAAGTCATGGAAGTGAAAATATCGTTTCATTGCGCGCATGATTTTATTTTGTAGGTACTTGAAGTATTTTTTACTGAAGAGCGTTCAAGATGATGTCGACATTGAATGAAGTATAATACCAAGCGACATCGTGCCAGGAATGATGTGTAATATCCACTTAATACTATTACAAAAATTTTAGATTACTCTCAAAATGTTCAATTGGGCCACAAAATTGATGAAAGGTAGAAAGTAAATCTAGATTTAGATCACTCTAAAAATGTTTGGCATATAATAGATGTGTAATTGAAAGTAAAACCAAGTTTAAGAAACCAAACGAAATGTCAGCTGGTTATGTCAAATTAAAAACAATGTTTCATTTAAAACGTACAGTGTGGTAACGCCTAATCAGATGTGTTTATTTACGCGGGAAAATCACTTCATTCATATACATAAATAACTAGTAAGAAATGTTTCACTTTTAATATCGAATTTTGTTTAAAAAATTATTTAGTCTAATAATGAGTCAATATCCTGATGAAAATGAGGAGTATGAACTTCTGTATCAGGACGAGTTGGAACTGTTGGATGAGTTGCAACCATACGAAACCATAGGTAAAATAGATGTTTTGTTTATTCTTCAAACAATTTGATTTTACTGAAGTTTTTTAAAATAGTAGATAAAGATGTACAACCAAGTATCTTACCTTCATCGGTTAAAAGTCCGCAGTTATCGCAGTTGTTTGCAAACACACAGGACATATCTGCTGTAAGTGAATTAAGTGATCGCGTAAATAGACGTTTGTTTGGAACGCCTATTGGAGTACAAAGAGGATGTTCCACACCGATGGTAAACCAGAAAAAAGTAACTGCACCTATTCAGAATGTGTTGGATGACTTTAATGAACCGTGTGTATCAACTGCTGTAAATCAGCTTCAAAAACAGGGTCTAGCATGTAAAAGACGTCTAGAAGAACAACTTTTCGGCAATATCGATGATTTATATAGCAATGATACATATGAAGATCCTGTTGCTAAAAAGCAACGTACAGAAGAGGAACATGATTTTGAAGTTATAGAGAAAATACTGGATGCTCGAAAGCGTTACCGCGAATGCAATGAGCTAATAAGTAATGAAAACATACTGCGATTGCAAGCAGTACATAAATTTAAAATGCAGAATCTGTCTTATATTGTACCTTCTTGGCCGTTTATTATTCTGCGCCGTGTTGATGGCCAAACTGTTTTTGTGCGCCAACACTCTGAGGAGTATGAGACACGCGAAATTAAAAACGTGAACAATAATTGCAGAACTGAAAGCGTTCTCGGTGAGAGTAAACAAAAGTTATGGGATTCTGCAAATGAAATTGTAATTAAATTTACAATATAAAAGTGTATTACTATTTAAATATATATTGTCGTTTTTAGATCAACCGTAGACTTACTCTTGCAAACAAGGAGACTCAGGCACAAGATGTTGTAATGGTTGAATCTAACAATAATTCCAATGTACTGTGGGTTGAAAAATACAAACCATCAAAATATATTGATCTTCTCTCTGATGAATCTACTAATCGTAGCTTACTTTATTGGATTAAAATGTGGGATAAAGTTGTGTTTGGGAGGTAAATACATAACATGTGTAAAAGAATATGATAAAAGTCTGAATTTTAGAGAATTAAAAGTTAAACAGCCTGAGAATAATAATGGGCAGCTAAATAATTTTAACAAACGAACAGGAAAATTCGAATCAAATGGTGGCTGGAAAAGAAAAAAAGATCGTCGTCTCATGCCAGACACAAATATTGATGAATTTGGTCGCCCTGTACAGAAAATAGCATTATTATGTGGACCTCCTGGTCTTGGAAAAACCACATTGGCTCATACAATAGCAAAGCATGCAGGTTATAATGTCTTGGAGATAAATGCCTCTGATGATCGTAGCCCGGCAGCCTTTAGAGCTGCTTTGGAAAATGGCACTCAAATGACAGCAGTTCTTAATAAAGACAATAGACCCAATTGCATCATTTTAGGTATAAAAACTCCTTTTGAGTATGTAAAGTTTGCTATAGTTTTGAATTTACAGATGAGATCGATGGTGCGCCACGTCAATCAATTGAATTTTTAGTAAAATTTGTAAATGATGCAGTTGCAACAAAAAACCGCTCCAAACGTGGCAATTCCAAACGATTTTTCTTGAAGCGACCTATAATCTGTATTTGCAATGATATGTATGAACCAGCATTGCGACCCTTACGTCAGATGGCTTTCGTTGCCAGTTTTCCACAACTTGAATCCACTCGTTTAGCAGAACGGTAAAGCAATCCTATTTTTCTATTCTATCCTGTCTAATCGAATTCAGAAGCTCAGTTTACATAAATTCGTTTATTTTCAGACTTGTACAAATCACATATGCAGAAAAATTAAGTTCAGATTTCTTCGCATTGCTGGCACTCGCGGAAAAATCAGGCAATGATGTTCGGTCTTGTATGTCAACGTTACAATTTTTCAGGTACTGCATGAGATTCACTTGAATGTGTAACTTAATTTTTTAATTAAATTTCTTTGTAGTGCTCAAAAAATGCCACTCACGGTTAAAAATGTTTTGCGCAGTAATTTAGGTCAAAAAGACCAACAGCAAGGACTTTTTGACATTTGGGGTGCAGTTTTCAGGGTAATACTATACAATTTCTTCTTGCCGTAAAATATTGTAAATGTTTGTGTTTAAATTGATTAGATTCAACGACCGAAAAAACATCTTGACACAGGTGCAGCAGAGGAAGAAGATCACCAAGTAACAATGACTGATATGTCGGTTAAAACACGATTTCAAAATGTGTTAAACGTAATTCATTCAGCGGGAGATTATGAACGGTATATGTTCCAAATCATATCAATTAAATGATTTTGTTTATCATTTGTCTTTCAGTCTTATCCAGGGTGTCTACGAGAATTATTTGCATCAGAAAATGCCGACTTCTGGTCTTAGTGCGGTAGTTGAGGCTCTGCAATGGTTCTGCTTTTCAGATGCCTTAACTAATAAAATTAATACACAACAAAATTACACTATATATCCTTATTATCAGTATGGTTTTGTTGCATGGCATTTGCTATTTGCTAGTTTGGCTTGGCCTAAAATAAATTTTCCTAGACAAGGTTATGAGGTAAGCTATTCATAAACTTAGTATAAATGAAATTATACTTTTCGTTTCATCTAATACATAACTATTTCAGACTATTTAATTTTTTTTAAATTGTATTTGATAATAAGTTTAATTGTAGCATACATAAGTGCATGGTATTGCGATTCCTTTTTCAAACTTTATTTGTACTTTGTTCCCGTTTCAATTGATGAATAATTAATTAAGGATTTTATATTAATAAGTTTCGAATTTCGAATTTTATATTAATACATTTCGAATTTCGAATTTTATATTAATAAGTTATAACACGTTTAGCATTAATTAAAACTGTATAGCTCAAATTAAATGGATAAACTATATGTCAAATAAAAAGATCTAATTGAAAGGCCGAGGCGTAAAGGACATGCATAGACCATTTTGAAACAGTAGCAATGCCAAATGCAGCTAATTAACTCGTCAGAAATTGGTAAAGTAATTATAATTTAAAATCATTCAATCCCCGGGAAACTTCTGAATCATCGACACTTTACATTAAATTAGGCAAAAGTTATTTCTAACATATTGAGGCATTTTTACTTCCTATTTGTGTTCTAATTTAATGATTGCTTTAGTAATTCAGCAACTAAATTTGACAAAATATAATTAAAACTATAAAAGTTGTTGACTTGTAAATAAGAACCTTTCAGTTGATATAGAAACTATATCTAAATCGGAACCGATCAATTTAGTTCTGAATAATTGAATATATATATGTTTATTAAAATATATATTGATACAATACATGTCAATTTTGGATGAAGTAGGAACAATATTAGTTTATACGATGTTTTGATTTTAAAACGAAAATATAATTCTCTTTTGCTAGAATTTTTGAATTCGATATAAAGCAAATTTCTTTAACATTCAAAGTGTGAATTCTTAGTTTAATATAAATGGTTATTCAAATTATCAAATTAAAGTACGTTTGGATAAACTGCCAGTAGGAATAAAGTCTGCATTCACCTACAATTAAATTCATTTTATTTGTTTACATTATCTCTTAAATTAAATTTTTTTAAAATTAAAACACAACTTTTAAAAAAATAAAAAAAGTATTTACGGTGACAAATAATATTTTGTGACCGAGCTCTTCTGTTTAATAACAGCTACTATTCGCTTTGGCGTCGAAGAAACCAATTTTTTTGTGTAGATCTTAAATTTTTTTTTCACCCGACAAGAAAACATTGTTCCAAAACAATGGCTTACTTAAGTGCTCCTCTATATAGGCTAAATGCTTCTGATGGTTGACCTGCAAAATAAACAGTTTCCGTCTAGCAACATGCCAAGTGTAACTGGTTTCATACAGTATCCTGATCGTTGTGTGATAAATAGCCTTGCCAAACTCTCACTTAACCTCAGCTGGGATATGAGTTGAAGATATTTTTAGATTGACATTCTCCCTTTCTTATTATTTTGCTGCGTTTACGGTCGCTTAAAACTTTAGGTAGGTCTGTGTGCTTTACATTTTGCAATGATGTCGCCTTCTTGGAACGTTGCACAATGTTCCTAATGCTATAGCGGCTTCTCTCCATCATTTTCCTAAATTAAACATTTCATATAAATAAATTTTGTTAATTAAAAATCGGGTCATTAACGAGTTAAAAACAGTGCTAAAGGTCAATATGCTTGCTGTGCCAATAATTATGTTCGTCACTGTATATATTTGTTATATATATGTATATATGACAATATTTGTTAATAATTATTCCACAGCACTTTGTGTAGGAAAATAAAATCTGTTTCTTTGCTTCCTATAAAGTGTAAACCATAGCAGATGTAATAGATCCAGTTTCTATTACTTCTTTGTAATACAATAAATATTTCTAATATAGCATCAAAATTTTTCCATATTGTAAGATTGTAAACCTAAAACTAAACACATTATGCGAGATAACAGTTATGTTTAACAATAAGCCACTGAAACAGTGCTGACAGAATAGGACCATGAAGTGGATAGCTATTCAATTGAGCCTGAGCCACTCTATACTCCTATTAATAGGTACATAGGTGAGGAGACTCGGTTAAAAAGGGGAATTGAAATGAAAAAACTAATAGTGAAACTGATCATCAGACCCATCCATGACTCTACAGACTGAGATATTATTTTAACAAATTAAAAGAAATTAAAATTAAATGCGACCGATATATGCCGCATTTATAAAATAGGTGTTGATATGTAGAACCCATTCTCACTGTGATTGTCCAAAATTAATACTTGCATAAGCTTTAACTATAAATGTAAAAGACATTTCTTATAATAATATTCTTCAACTTATCAATTCATCAATTTTATGGACATTTTAATAGCTATAATTTTTAAACTGCTGAATAACTAAAACAGACGAATCCTTGACGGAGAGAAGGACAAGTTCAAGTTAACCTTGATCAATATTTATTTATTGAATATTAAATTGAATAGTATATAAACGACTAACAATAATAATATCTCTTATAAGAGATATTATATACTTTTATAATGTATATAGGTAATAATGTATATATATTATATAATTTATTTTTTTATACATATATTTATAAAGAATTATATAATTATATAAATCTGTTTCTTAAAGCAATATTCAATTTTTATTCGATACTTTTTCTTATGAGTTTATTCAAATTAATATGACTCAAATTTTATGTTAAGAAGCTTCCTAAAATTTGGTAGATATAATTTTCGAAATTAAAAATAGGTTTCGAAATTAGTCTAAGAATTCGTCTTGATGATTCGTTCGGTTTATTGAATTTAAATATCTTTACAATATTTAATTTATGTTTTGTAGAATTTTTTTATGTTCAAACTAAAAGAGAATGAGAGAGCTGGAGAGGGAGAGAGAGAGCTAGAGAGAGAGAGAGCTAGAGAGAGAGAGCTAGAGAGAGAGAGAGCTAGAGAGAGAGAGAGCTAGAGAGAGAGAGAGCTAGAGAGAGAGAGAGCTAGAGAGAGAGAGAGCTAGAGAGAGAGAGAGCTAGAGAGAGAGAGAGCTAGAGAGAGAGAGAGCTAGAGAGAGAGAGAGCTAGAGAGAGAGAGAGCTAGAGAGAGAGAGAGCTAGAGAGAGAGAGAGCTAGAGAGAGAGAGAGCTAGAGAGAGAGAGCTAGAGAGAGAGAGAGCTAAAGAGAGAGCTAGAGAGAGAGAGCTAGAGAGAGAGAGAGAGCTAGAGAGAGAGAGAGCTAGAGAGAGAGAGCTAGAGAGAGAGAGAGCTAGAGAGAGAGAGCTAGAGAGAGAGAGAGCTAGAGAGAGAGAGAGCTAGAGAGAGAGAGAGCTAGAGAGAGAGAGAGCTAGAGAGAGAGAGAGCTAGAGAGAGAGAGAGAGCTATAGAGAGAGAGAGCTGGAGAAAGGGACAGAGCTGGAGAGAGAGAGAGAAAAAGAGAATAAGAAAGAGAAAGAGGGAGAGAGAGAGAGAGAGAGAAATTGAGCAAAAGATTTTATTCTCATTTAAAGTTACAATTTCAAATTGAATAATTTGAAATTACTAATGAAACGTTTAGACTTGTGCTTGTTAAATTTATTCGGTTGTTGGATGTAAGATCAATAATTGTTTAAATCATCTATACCATACACAATAATGTTGGACATCCGGTTTGAAACGACATATGTTTGGAGTGTACAATGTTTTTGAAACCAAATTTGTTGATCTCTATTTAAAACAACTTATTCATTTCTTTCCGGACACTCCTCTTTAACGAATAAAAGTTGGATGACAATGAGTTTACGCTAAATAAAGTTTTTATTGTACATAAGCAAAATCTCTTTATCTTGTTGGACACACAAGTTGCTATCAAATCTTTAATCAGCGCTAGAGATTAATACTTAATAGTTTGAAAATGCTAGACATCTGTTGATGAGTTGGCTCAGCTAGTCAGCGATATAACAGATAACTGCAGGGCAGCCAAGCACGGTCTTGACTGAAAAACACTTCCCAGATATTGGTATCCAACTTGCTACGGCAAAGCTAGCCATCAAACGAAAATATTTGGAGGTAGTAAAAAAATTCTTGGTCGATTTTTTCTGAAACTTTTTGTGTGTGACGGATATGATAAAGTTTTTGAAGAATTTATTTATTATTTTTTATAATTTATCCTGACAGCTAAACTTTTAAGAAAGTTCTAAAGTAAAATGAAGTTATTAAAATAATAACAATTTGGGAATTGAGAAAAGTTCACTGCGTCACTAGTCCGACTAGTCCCATTAGTCCGCAGGCTATGCGAGTTTTAGGGTGAACAGTTTATAGAAATGAAAAATTTTTGTTGTATGGCCTGAGTTCAGTCATTTAGTTTTCTTCTATATACGGAATTGATTTCTTTATGTTTTCAAGAAAAAATAAACAGAAAATCTTCTTTGCTTGTAAAGAGATCGGCCATTAACGTCGTAGTACGGCTTAGTTTTTAAGGTTTTTCTAAGAATTAAATAAAATGTGTTTAAAATGGATTAAAACAGACTTGATTTCCTTGACAGTTAATAAGTCGTTTCACATCTGTTGGGTTTCTATTCATTGGGATATGGATAGGAAATCATATTAAATTGTGAAAACTTGGAAAATTATTTAAGTGCCTTATTGCTTCGGTACTGCGGAAACGGCGCAATTTAGCAGAATCCTTTCAATTGCTTGAATAAAATCGTATATTTTCTTATGTGTAGTCTGTTAGTCTGCGTGCTTTTGGTTACAAGTGCCTTCGAGTAGCCTTTTATGCTTTTTATTAACCTTAAGTAAATGCAGCAGCTCGGACTATGAATTATGCAAACTTCATTACCTTTGCAGTCGCTGTTTCCCGTGAAAGCAAAAGCCTTTCATACATTTTTATTCTGTACCTGCTTTGGTAATGCTTCATTCTGCTTTCTTGTTAAGGGTGTTGGCTGTTCTGAATCTTATTTAAAAGACAAAAGTGAATAATCACACAATCAGAAAACAAGTAATTTCCATTAAATGTTTCAAATGCAATCACAGGATAAAAGGTCTTATGCACTTCAATGGCTGTATTATGTGGACATTATGTTAGTACTGAGAGTGAAACGCCCGAGAAATTAAATGAATATTATTTATTTTATTTTCAATATAATTTTAAAAAAACTCATTAACTAGGCAGGACTTTGTAGTTATTGTTGTAAGGAGTCTGTCTAGGGTGCAGCGCTTTATCATATAAACTTAATGTAACATCACCCACCCACTACGACTACCTCTGACGTAGTCGTAGTTACTAACATTTAAAATATTTCACGTATAAATTGAAGAAGAGTTTTGAAGTTTATACGAAGTATTGCTTGAGGTGTGAGAAGTGCCAGAAGTTTAAAAATTCTACATCTGCCGGGAAGACTGGTTATTCCAACAATCCGCACTTTATTCATTTCCTTATTTTTTAGCTTTATAAGCAGGTACATTGTCTTGTTAAAAACTTAATTTTTTCTTTTTATAAAGCAAGCTCAATAGATTACAATAATAATCTTAGTTTATCACTTAATTAGTTTAGATAAAATATAACAATAAAATTCTTAACAGATACTTATACAGAAATATACTACAGACCCGAAAAGGTGATTTTACACCACTCCTTAGTATATGGTTTTGATGCGAAATCATGCTTATGAAATTAAGTCTACTTACGAAATCTTTTCTTTTCCGCTTTTAAGACATTCTATAGTTAATATTTTGCAACAGATATAAAAACACCTTTTTGAATCCCTACAATCTCTAAAATTTAAATTTCTGTATTTTAATTAAAATTGATTGTACACTAAGGTTTACTAAAAGCATTCGCAGACTTTTTGGATTAAGAATCAAGTACCACTGCTAGACATATATACAGAGCAATAAAGCATTACAAAGCACTCCATCACTTAATGTGCAAAATTGATATCCAACATTATCGTAACGAGGCACTAGAAATTCTAGCCCTTTGTTTGCTATTAGCCATGCAAAATAAAATTTTTAACAAACATAGTTAGAGTAATATTTCGTCACATCCGTCTATCCTTATTATATATATAAGGATATAACGACTTTAGTATGAATTCCGTTTCGATATTTTTTCGAATAAAGACATTAGTGTGACAGTAAGTCAAGTTAACCAAATCACCTAAATTTATATGTCCATTGCATGAAAGCCTTACAGCGGTTTCATGGTGTTAATAAAAGGCTGGGTGGCTGTTTTTAATTTTAACACTGGACACTTCTGTTAGAGAGCTAAAGAAATAATAATCTCAGAAGTTCGCTCTGTTTCAGGCTAAAGTTATGTAGCTGCGGAAAGGGTGTTTCACTCTTCCTTTTTCCTTCTTATTCCCACAACTATTATCATATTCATGGTGGAAGACTTTCAGCCCTATGGTATGTCTACCAAATGACCAATGATCGTTAATAGATGTCAAAATGTTATATATACAATAAACATGGCTTCAGATAAGTGATTTCATTTGAATTGGTCTCCCAAATGATAATTTTCTTTAAATACTTCGAAATCGCCCTGTCTGAGCCACTTTAAAGATTAGTATGTCATTTGGTTAGTTTATCGGTTAACAATGCTGATGTGTTGAAAAACACCAAGTGCTCAGATTTAATGGTGAATAGAGGTAATCAATTACTGCTTTTTACTTAATTGGTACTATCTACTTTATTTTTCACGATACATTCCTTATCTTTCTTGGGTATGTTAACACAATCGAAGTTGGAGAAAATAAATGTAATCTTTATTCGCATACACAACTACTTCTTTCCACTTCAATTTATCTTATCTACTTTAGTTCTTTGAAATCATTCTTAATCTTTCTTGGGTTTCTTAGGTGTGTGGATCCAATCGATGTAGGAGAGGATAGATTTGAAATCTGTTCCCACACACAATTATTCCTTTTTACTTAATTGGTACTATTTTTTTTTACAATACATTCCTTTTTTCCTTCCTTCTATCGTTTTTGAGTTTTTTGGTTTGTTAATTCAAACGAAATTGGAAAGGATGGCTTAACACTTTATTTGGTACTATCTACTTTAGTTCTTTCAAATCATTCCTTTTTTTTCATGGGTTTCTTGAATGTGTAAATCCAAGTGGGAGAGTTATATTGTTTATGTTACTTTTGTTGCGAACAGTAACAACAAAGCTCAAGGTCAAGCCTATTGAATTAGAAGAAGTAGTAGTGGATTAAAAATTTTGCAAAAATTTAATAAATCTATATGTGCGAGATGCATTTATAGTTCCAACAACACCGAATTTAATAAACACTTTTTTCTGTTGCAGCAATATCAAAAACAAACGAACCAAAAGAATATTTTCCAGAGTTTACGAAGAGGAATGTCACCCCAAGTTCAAGGCGTTGGTATGGGTAGCACTATATTAGTTGATGTAGTTCCATATTTGAAAAGAATTCTTTCACCCCAGCTACGCTCAGTGCCTGTACAGCTTCTATCTTCGAAGTAATTTTTTAATTTTTTTTTTTTTGTCTAATATAACTATTTTCTTTTCCCAGGGAACACTACAATTTAAAGCACGCAATAGATGTGATGATTGATTTTGGTTTAACTTATAACAAGATTAAAAACTCAGAGGGATCAATGTTGTTGCAAATGGAACCTGAAATGGATGCATTATGCAGTTTTACAGGTAAATTATTTGAATTTTTGTAGGCTATATATAGTCTAACAATTCTAATTATTTCAGGTTATCCAGTAGTAAAACTGAATCACTTTGGTAGACAACTTATTTCCCGGCAAGTGATGATAGAATGCATACGAAGGGCAGCGCCCAAATCTGCGGATCAGACGGAAAAAACCAAAAAAGTACCGAATCATTTGCAAGTTCTGAAACCTAAAATTTCGGAAAAACATAAAAGAAGTGAAAATCAACAGGTATGTATGAAAACAATTTTCTTGTATTCTTGATTCAAAAGTGTGAAAATGTTTAATGCATTGGACGACAAAATCGAAGAAGTGATATTTGTTTACTTATTTCAATTAAAGGTTCAAGTTAAATGTTCATTTAAGTGACAAAAATTAGACTATTATGTTCCATAGATGACATAAATAAAAACTGAAAAATCAAAACTAATTTCTCTTTTTGATATACCCTTCACGTATGTAGTGTGGCATGTTTATAATGAAAACGGGAAGGTGCAAACCTTATGTTGTTGTTGTAGCCGGTCGAGAACTACTTATAAAATCTCTCTATGGGTGGCGAGCGGCACTTGGTCGTCGGCGGTGCACGAGAAATAGAAATCGTTGTGATATTCAAGTAAACTAGTGTTATCAAAAACTGAATTAATCGGTTCAGAATTAGATAAAGCTTCGATATCAACTGATAGTTAAATTTTTTGTTTTTATAACAAAACTTCTCTACTTTTCAACAATAATATATCAAATTTAGTTGTTGAGCTATTAAAGCAATCATTGAAGTTCTTTCAACTTTTGATATAAATCTGAAAATATTTGTTTATAAATATTAAACAAATCGAAGAGCTATTTTTTATATTGATAGATGATATACAATCTAACAGAGAAGATTTTCGAACTGTAGTGAATTACGACAATAAAATTTTATTGAATTTTTTATCGACCAAACAGCTGTTTTGAGTATTACCAAATAGCCATCATTAATTGTCTTTGAATTTACCTCTTATATCCTAACATTATTTAACAAATTTTAGATGTTTTTGGAAAATTAAAACTAGTATCATCAACGAAAATTTTGTCCATTGGACTTTAAAATAATATATCGATTATAATAACTATTATATTATAAACTGCTTATTATCTGAACAAACTCTCTATTCGAACTCGATACTTATTTGTATTAATTAATTTCAATCTGTGGTAGCAGTGTTGCCCTTTAACAAAAAGATTCTTTCGCATTTTTATGTATTAATTCTTAAATTTTTAAGAAGCAGAGATTTCGATTTTCAATTAAAAAATCTTAATGTAATTATTGTATGAGAATCCGTTTGCTACATGAGTCTGCAGTGGAATCTTTCACATAATAAATATTAATGTTGAGCTTCTAAAATCATTATTTTCTTTATTCGACTTCGAATTATTCCGCACAAAACAAATCCACATAATAAATCAATGTATATTAACTGCATTGAGTGTATGGGCCGCAGTGCAATATACCCAAAACAAAACTATTTATTTATGCAATTCACCCTATCTTATACGTACAACACACGCAGACGGTTTGCGAGGAGGAAAAACGGAAAAACGGAAAAATGGAAAAACCTCAAAATAACAACTGCACAAGCAACCACCAATGCATCTCCTCGTCGAAGGCTTAAGCCATAAATATCAATGTGCCCGTAAATACACTTAAGGGAATTTTGAAAAATAGCTCAGCCGTAATAAGAGCTCAAGAAAAACAAATATTTAATGCCTTGTCGGTCACTTGTAATCACTTGTAATTGGTAGAGGATATGGAATAATAGATCTATTATAAATTGTTTATCGACTCGATTTGAGCAACATTGAAAATAGTTTTGACTTGTGAACTCTCTATATCTGATTTAAGAGTCTCATTGAGATCCTAACCGTAGTGCAAATTCGGAATATTAACATTAAATATAATTTAATTGGTTTGTATAAAAAATAAATAATATAGTGGCATAAAATCGATGTATTAGCTGATTGTTATTAAGAAGTCTTAATCAGTATCAGTACACTTTTATTAGTATTTTTATGGACAGTTAATATAACACTTCATGGTTCCAATTAACTTATCTTTTTTAAATAACACAATCAACTTGTATCGAAATGATTTCTACTCACATGCTTTGCAAATGGACATCCATAAGTAGATAAGTAGAGATGATTCACATCGTCGTTTAAGTCGATACTTATCTTCATATTTTAAATGTATCGTCAAGAATTGTACGGGGAGAACGATTTCTAACGTTTTGTAGCTATGACACTTTATAGGAATACGCAACGATGGAATTTCAACTTTAACATCATATTTCCATATCAATTGAATTATCTTGGCATCCGTTTAAATCTCAAAAGAAAGACATATTCTTTAAAATTATTCTGGTGCAACTTTTTTTACTGTATAGCTAAGTGGCAGGTTCATCAATAGCGTGTATTTGCCTGGGTTAGATGATTAGGAGAGCTCTTCTGAAGATAGCACAATACATCTCATAGCTCGCAAAGCATTACTGCACAGTCTATATACATATTATATAATATTTTTGTATATATACTATTTATATATATAAATATATATAAACATATATATATGTATATATATATATATGTAGACTATATGTATATGTAGGCTGCTAATCTTGTCACACTAAGGGTTGTAATTTTGAATAATTGCAACCAAAACATGTTAAAAAAATTCTATTTTATTTCAAATCCACTTTAAAGTCTATAATTTTAATGAACGTTAACTTTTTTAGAATAAAATATTGTTAACTTTCTAGATCCAGATTTTTTGAAATGATTTCTAATATTAGGAAATTAAATCTGTCCCAATGATCACAATATGCTGAGTTAATATGTTGAGTTAATATTTATATATTAATAAATTATACAGTTAATTATGGTGGATAAAGCTATTTATTTATGATAGGTATCCAAAATAAATCTATCATACACACCTTGCATAAATTTAAGTTGTGTTCTGGAACTGGAAGTTCTGGAACTATTTTTGTATTGCAGATAATAATTACTTCTTTTTTTGATTATAACAACCCGTTTCGGCCTAATGCAGCTTGTTTACTCACGCGCCTCTGCTGCATGCGCGCCTTCTCCAGTAACGTACATCAAGTCCGGTTAGTGCTCCCTTAACTTGACCACTCGACCGGAGACACGGTCTACCTCTATGCCTTTTTTTCCCAACTAACGCTTCAAATACCTTTTGCGCTAGAACATTTTCATCCATGCTCGCTGTATGATTAAGCCAGCGAAACCGCTGGATTTTAATTCGCTGAATTATGTTAATATCGTGATAAAGCTTATACAGCTGGTGACACATTTGTATGTGGTAGTCATCGCCAACTTGTAGCGCACAAAATTTCTAACAAAAAACTCTTCTCTCAAAAACTTCCAGTGCTGTTTCATCATTCTGTGATAACATTCATGCTTCTGCGCCATACAGAAGCACAGGTTGGATGAGCGACCTGCCTGTAGAGCGTAAGTTTTGTTTGTCGAAAGAGAGCTCTACATTCCAATTGCCTATTCAGCCCATAGTAGGCCATTGAAGATAATAATAAAAAAAAAAAATAACAATGGTATTCCACTCTAATGTTATTCTGAGGTCGTCACTTAAAAATTGGAAATCGGGAATAATATTGGGTATTGTTACTGTTGTTACTCTTCATGACTGCTGAACATACATAGCTGAAGTTCATATGTATTCAAATTTTGGAAGGAATAACAATGAAATATTCCTTTGTCTACGATCATGTTTGATCGGAAGTCATCTTTGTAGTACTCTTTTTATATATGTTACACTAAATAATCGTTTTAAATGACTGAACGTTAGATTATTTTTTTCATAATTAAGCCTGCAAATGGTTGGCGGATCTTTTATATTTAAACCAATCTATATATCCTGTCCTATTTAAAAATTATAATAATATTTTTTTTATTATTTTCAGGTTTACAAAAACTTCTTTTCTAATTTCCAAAGTACCACTCCCGCTGTTGTAGTTAATGAAGGTTAGTCAATGTGCACATAAAACATTAAAATTGTTATCAATAGTCTTATATTTTATTTATTTTTTTAGCTCACGACGATCAAATCGTAAAGAGTCCAATTTGGTATCACTTTAAGGAAGGATTTAACAATGCTGTACGGAAAAATACACATTTGAAGGACTTGATATAGATGCTTAGAATTAATTAATTAGTTTGATGTATTTAATGTTGATATATGTTTTAGTCTAGATAGATGGCAACAATAAATTATCATTAAGATTGCCTAAATGATCATTTACAAATACCGAGACAAACGATGGTAATTATCATTAAAAATCAACTTTTCAAAATCGGTTATATATACAAAATTAACATATGATACAAATGGAAGAAAATCATACATAACATCGTATACACTGGTTAGACATTCATACTCATACTCCATACTTCTGTTAAAGGTATTAGTCATTAGAGTTGTCTTTTTGAATCGATACAATATGTTATCGGTCTGGGATACAATATTTACACCCGTAATAAAATTTTCATAAAGTTAAAAAATAAAAGTAAACTAACTATGTTTTGTGTTTTATTTAGATCCCGATCTGTGGATTCGTTTAGTTTTTGATTTACTTAGGGAAATACTGTTCATGCATTAACGTTTTATTTTCATGGCAGTCTTTCGGAACCATTCGCCTGTACAGATGGGTAAGTACAGCTAACTTTTCTTATCTGAGCTACAGTAACAATAACAATTAAATAAACTAAGATGTACAAATTTTTTTGGAGAGATTTCGATTTCCTGGTTGCCGTTATTTAACAACGAATTTTGGTTAACTACAGTATTGTAAGTTCTTGAGATATCTTGTGGGTGGTGGCCTTATGTTAAGTGAGAACCTGACCAAGCTAAATAAAATGAACGTCAAAATAAGAGTGGTTTTGGATGAAATTACTTGATGACTGGTAAAAAATTATCTATTTCATCTGAAAAGAGGAGAATATTTTTATATATGGAAGAAATATATCCAATATTGGCAAAAAACGAAAGTTCTATAAAATTTTAGTTAAATTAAATTAAGTCTACATTTTTTATCCAATACATTGTTGCTAATTTAGAAGATATAAACAGTGTTATTAGAGCTCAGACCTATGCTACTAATATTATTGAAGTTGGAAGATTCAGAAGTAACAAGCGAGTGCATAAAATAGACTAGGCTACTTTAACTTTAATTTCTTAATTCATAATTACTTTTAAGTGATAATAGACTTGAGAGTCTTCATTGGCCAATAGGATCAAGACAGAGAGCCCTGTCTGGATCCTATTTGGGGGTTGGGGGTTGATCGCACGGCCAGCAATCTTGCATCGAAAAACTTTACCGCTACGCAACCTGAAGGAGGTCAAGGTTCATACAGGGCTGTAGTGCCAAATAAGAAGAAGAAAATGTTTAAGGTATTGCTGTATTCAAATGCCAAATAATGCTCCAAATTTTTGCTATGATTTCAGGTATTAATACAGTTTTTAGAGGTCCTTCATTTGAATCGTCGCCGAAGTTTAAACGACTTTCGAATAAACTGGTTTAATTATAAATTAATATTTAGAAAGATATTTTTTATCTGAGACATTTACTAATGCGGTATCACTGTACGATGTCCAATTTTATTTGTTAGTGAAAAATACACCGACACAGCCATTTCGAATGACTTCTAAACAGGAAGTGAATTGACAGATCGAAACCAAATTTTAGGTATATTGTTATTAGAGATGCAACATAAAAATATCATCAAAGTTTTAGTTCCAACATAGACGCATAGGTGGCGCTCCGCGATATAATTTATCTTCTTTAGAATAGGAAATAAGTGTATACTTTTAAATAATGCTATGGCTATATAGTAAAATAGTTGTGCTACTGGTAACTTATGACTTTAAAATTCGTTTCAATCGAAAAAGGAAAGAAATTAACTAAACCATATCCTGCGGACTCAAAGTATTTGATATAATGACGAAATACAGAATTCTTCTGGAGGCTTAAAGATCTTGACAGATATTGAATTTACGTATTAAAAATCATAAAATGGAGATTAGTATGATAACCCCGAGAGTTCAACGATCTAGAGAGTTCTTCATTTTATTTATTATAAATTATAAATTGAAGAAAAATGTAATAATCCTGGGAGTTCAACGATCTATATAGATGATATTCCATTTATTTATTAAAAATTATAAAATAAAAAAAAGCAACAAATAATCTATGCGATCAAGTTCGATTATATTCGATTTTATTCTCGTTCTGACTCATTTTTTTTTTGCGTTTCTTATGCTTCTTCGCTCTTTTACTATGCCATAGCTTTTATTTTTTTTGTGCTGCCACCTTGTCCACAATTTGAGATGTGCTGATCTTAATTTAAGTATATTATTTAATTAATGCTACGATTGATGTTGTTGGAATACTGAAATAGAATCGCTTGTAACTATTAATGTGACTCAGTACTATACAGTGACATTGAATATATACACGTGGGCCGTTTATAGCTGCATGTCACATATCATATCATATCATTATCACAGCTTGATATGTGCCAAGAGCGCAGTGTAACCGAACTAGTAAATTGTGCATTTGACCCGCATAGTAGCTGCAAACGTTTTGCTAGTTCAAGATGAATGTAGAATGTAGAATGCAGGGTAGCCATATGTTCACTAAAACGTTAACACCGCACCATTCCAAATTTTATTATAATATATATGCTTGGACACTTACAGTTGGTATTTTCATAAAATTTTCAACATAAAATATATTATGAAATATATGTTGCATTACGCCATGAAAGTGAAACGTTCGAGTCGATGAAATCTGTTATCGCTTGATAAAAAAATCCAGAGAGTGCATCCGTCGCGCCCACAGTTGTGTAGTGGATTTGTAGGGGTCGTATCGGCTGCATATGCTCTTAGTTAATCACAACGACTGTACCATGCCCCTTTACTCTACAAAACGTGTAATTGTAAACAACTACAGAAATCTTTAAATGATAAGAAATCTGTGCTCTGCTTTCGCTGGCCAGTACGTTATCTTGTCAAGTTTCCAGTTGCGAACTGCCTGTACTGTTCAACGATTTGAATTTGAAGTGAATTGTGTAAAGTAGCTAATCTTGTGCGGACCTTTCGGTTAAAAATCGTTTGTAAACATTTAAATAAATTATAAAGAAATATACTCGTATATTTAAAAGAAAGAAAGTAAAAATTATGAAATTGCTTCTCTGGTTTTTTATTCATTGTGGCTTAATGGCCGCTTGTAGTATAAACATGATAACTGCCAAAAGTCGCGGTCTACCAAGTGAGTACATCGAATTCGGGGTGATATAAAAAAGTGACGCAGTAGCTGTCAACAGGTCAATAATCTTCTAAATACTCGATTAGTCCTCGATTCAATGTCTGAGAGACTCATAAAACTAGATTACACATTGTTTCAGACTAAATGCTAAGTTTTATTTAAATAAATTTTGTCCTCTTTTTGTTTGGTTTTAGATATATGTTTACAGCCCCCACCGCGGTCGGAGGGATTGTGTACTGTTGAAATTGAGGGATTTTATTTCGATTTAAGAGCTAATGACTGCAAAATGTATGTAGTTGGTGGATGCCGCTCAACCCCCGGGCAGAGTTTTGGTTCAAGGCAAGATTGTTTAGCAACGTGCGTGCATGGAATAAGACGCATACAGGACTTGTTCATTAACGAGTAAAATAGTGTATCTTATGCGAGTTCATTGTCATTATCTGCATCTATATCTCCCTGTATTTGCTTCACATTAATTTTTTAACTTCTTATCACCTAAAAAATAAACAACAAAAACAAATAGAAACACTTAAAATCCATTGATATTGCGTATGTTTAATATTGAATGAGACTCAATTGATGTAAGAACAGTCGATCCAAATGTAAATATACGCTAACATCAGTTTAATATAATTTTTGAATTAACAGAGAATTAATCAGAGTGCCGAACTTTACAGATTTTTTGACTATACAATAAAATAATTATACTATTTTTAAATATTCGTCTAGGTAATGTTAGGTTGGAAGAACGGATGATTTTACACCAAAGTCCATTTGTGCTCAAACAATGTCCCAATGAATTGACGTAATTAGAAGACGTGATGCCATGGGCAATTTACACAAGTTAACTGAAATTGGTAAAAAAGTTCAACTTTCACAGGTTTTACAATATATCCTTTAATTATTTCCCAGGATTTAACAAAATGTTTTGTTTTAAAAAATATGTGAAATTTGTTAATGACCCCAAATCACTTTTACAAAAGATTGGTTGAATTATATTTCTTTAGAACTCTTTAAATGGGAGTACATTTGATAATAATTCAATGACACGATCTGAATAACTAAACGACAAAGAAGTATGGAAAGATATCTACAAATTGCCAAGAAAAGTTTGTTTCCAGTTCTTCCGTTAACATCTAGAAAATGTAACTGTGGACTTGAGGATTTTCGAAATCTTTAGTGGTAGTTTCAATACAGTGCTGCTGTTAATTAGAGATTTTTAATGTGGTTAAACCCCATATTAAGACGAAAACTCTTTAAAATCTTTATGCATTTTAATGAAATGGAGTGAAGTCGTAATTGAGTGTAGAATACACATATCTAATTTCTGTACTACTACAGCAAAATGGAAATAATGGGCAATTGCTTGTATTATTATTAATATATAAAGAAATTGTTGCTATGTCACAGTCTTTGTGCAAATATTTAACACAATTTGTTCCATTATCGGTCTGAAACACAGTTTTTTTCTGTGAAATGTCGGCTGAAACATTTCGTTATTTTGTCTGATTGTGCCCTGCGATTGAATCCAGTACCGCCATATGGTTTTCAGTTAACCAATTAAGAACTGGTGTCATGAACCCAGAGATGCTGTAAGATTTAATAGAATTCTTCTCGGGAAACCGAAATAAATGTCTCATAGAACACGATAGACCTGTGTGCTTTCTAATAGTAATAGAGAGTTTTTTGTGTAATGTTTTACATACGTATAACCCTTTAAAAAATTTTAAAAGTGATTAGTTTTTCACTGTTAATATTTTTATATATACTTTGTATTGAGTTTACCAAAAAATTTTAATTTGTGGTCTTTATATTGGAAGCATTTATTGATAGCAACGGATGGAACTAAATAAAACAGCGAATAATCTTAAGATGTGATTTTTTATGCCTCTATTCTATTTTTTTTATTAAATTTTTTAGTGAATTTTTAGTCAACCTCTCTATATACTAATATTACATTACACTGTGGTTGGGAACCCAGGATGATTTAGCTAAAATCTCTACATGATGACCAACATTTTTGGAATACATATGACACAATTTATATTTATGAACAATTCAACATATTCGCAAAATTTGGCCCCTACCTTCCATATCGAAACTTGAATAAGTGATTAGAAGGAATGTTATATACTACTAGATATCATGTAATCGACGTCACAGAGGTTCGTGTTGAATGGTTGGCCGAATGGTTTGAAAGAGTTAAGGAACCGTTAGATCAAATATATCGATCTTAAAGCGGACTATATTGGCAGATCAAAAAGAATGAAATAAAAAATACTTAACACATATTTCTACCAAGCATTTTAACGACTTCTTAACAAATTTGTTGATTTCATACAGCAAGTTTTCGAGGTTTTTTCTTTAAAAAACTGATCACGAAATGTACAATTAATGTATCGATACCGTTCAGTAGAGGTTACTTAATTTTTGCTGAAAAGGTCAGATAACGCATAATACTTTTGCTGTAAATCTATTGCGACCTTTTTTTGCAATATCTTACATCAGACATGTTGAGTATTCATAGTAGATCTTAAAATTAATTGTTTTGTGTTTAACAATGGATAATATCCTTACAGTCCAACTAAACACAGTCACCTTATGATGAGTTCTTATCATCTGTTACCATAGAATTCTAAGAAGTTTAATATTGTGTTACTCAGTTTATGAGGTAAGGAAATACCGAGTTTTTTTTAGTAACTAGCTATATGTGAGTGCTTTAAAATAATTTTTGGTCGATCTTTAATTCTTTAGCTATGTTACGGCTGATCACATACCAATTTTCTTAAGTCTTATCCATAAGCAATCAAGTCTCTAGTAGTTGATTTCGATGGCGTTTTTCACATAAATAATACTAATCCTTTCATATGCTTTTTTTCCTTTTCTGGTAGTAATATTTGAGAATAAATTGAAATATTTTTTCAAAACTTTACTTATAATACTTTTGTTCTCTGTTCCCGCCTCTGATCGATTAATGACACCCATAGCACGCACTGGTATTCTCTAGCATTCTCTTTAATGTAGTGAGCCTTTACGTACTTCACTTCAAAACACTGTATACATATATCGCATATATATTTATGTATCTTCTTTTCGTGATCTTCACCATTTTAATGAATAATAAATAATAGTAATAGTAAATATTTCTTATCTCTTTTGGAATGGGTACACCAAATAATTTTCTCTTTGTACTACCAAAGACCTCTTGAATCCATTTGTGGAAACCATTTTAGTTTCAATAGCGTTATTTTCTGAAATAATACTAAAATAATAGTATCAACAAAAAACAAAACAACAATATGAAATTTCAACAAATTCACCCAATGAAACAGTAATACTTTTCAACCGAATGCTGGTCTCTTTCATCGATTAGTACACATTCTGTGTATTTAATAAATTTTAGAATACATTTTGTAAAAGACTTTCCGATTATAGATGCGACTTTTAATCACAATATTCTTATATCTCATCTTCGGTAAAACTGTGAAGTGAACAGAACGAAAGAAAAATTTTAATCCTCTTTTAGGCGGAGACCAAGAAGTGTTATGTCACACGAGATATGTAAACCCATTTTTTAAGGATCTCTAACGTGTTATTAAACTTAGCGCAATTCTACTAAGTGAAGATGAAAAATTAGATAGATAAATTAGCGAATAAGTTTTCTTGTAATGTTTTTCCAATGGTATTTTTCAAATCTGCTGGAAATTTCTACTTAACCATGAAATTCCTTCCTAAAACGTTTTTTCGACCGAATGTTTCAAATTTTCTGGAAAGCCCTACTTAACCACAACCTAAAAATGTTTATTCACTCTAATCTGACGTTCCGTAATGTTGATTGCGATCTGCATATTGCTATATCCGTCAGTGTTTGTTTTTGATGAGTCCAAAAGTTTTAAAAAGTGCTTTCGCAATATCGTTTTGGACATGTCAACGAAACGTGTACCAGAAGGCAACCAACCAGTAATGTCTGGTCATAAGCAGTGATATTCATATATTAAAATCGTACACATTAAAATTATTATTGAGATTATTTTTGACACATAAATAATGCTTGAGTCAGTGTTGTTTTTGCCCACGTACACATATATACTCGTATGTATCTATGTATCTATGTGTAGATGTGTGCTTTGGTATGGGAGTGTGAATGGTTGTCATTCTGTTGTGATTCGCTTATCACAGATTTGGTTTACGACCGAGCTTTGTTCGCCCAGTTTTTAAGTTGTGAGTGTTGGTTTTTCATTGCTTGGTTTCGATTGTTGATCACTGATCGCTGATCGCTGAGCTCTGACCGTTGCTACTTCTACTCTTGTTGCGTTCGAATATTATCGCAGTTTAAAAAGATTTGTCCTGTAGACGGGAGTGATTTCAGCAAAGTTCTTTATTTTGATTTTTTTCTGAACTGATATGGTAAAGTCTGTAATTGATTATTGCCAAGTACACGCATTTAAGCAAGAGAAGTCTTATCGACGACCGCCGAAATCCAAGTGTCTTAATTTCTGTGCCCACAAAGATCAGTTGGAGTGGTACTTTAAATATAAAAACAAAACATAAAGTTAGACTCTATTCGTGGTATCACAAGTGCAAATATGTGTTCTGCGCATTTAATCTCAAGACTTGATTGTGAATTATTTAAAAATTGAAATAAAAGAAAGAAAAACATATAAAGTACATTCGTGTTAATGGAAATGTTATGAAATTGTCATAAAGATACAGATCTGCACTATATCGAATAGTTTAAAATCGTTCAGTTTAAAGTTCGCACCCTTGCTTTTGTCATTTTAAGATAATCTCGCGAATACTCGCAGAAAAAATCAAAAAGATTTAGTTCCGTACCAACAAACAACAAAATCCCTTAAATTCGTCAACTACAGATCAATAAATACGATGAAGACAGAAAATTTGTTGTGCTTCCTGCTGCTAACGTTGATGTGTGGAGTATTTGGACGCTCACGTAAGGATATTTCATATACCATATACATATATATCCAACGTCATAACTATACATATATAGACTATATATCTATAAAAATATTTTTAAACATCTATTTATTGCGTTCTTTCTGCAGATTAAGGACTTATTGCTATTTTTAATTTCAGGCGATATTTGTAACCGACAGCCAACAATAAATGGGCTTTGTGTGACCTCGACACTGGGCATATACTACGATGCAGATGCGGAGAAATGTAAATACATGGGCTGCAGTCCTGACAAAAAGTTGTTTGCTACACTGGAAGATTGTGAGAAGATTTGCAATAATATAAGGCATCGACGCAGACGACTAAATAATAGTCAGAGCTAATATGTAAGATCATCCCAACAGAACTTAAAGATAGACTTATTTAGAAATTGTATAAAATTAATTTTAAGAATTATATATAAATGAGCAATTCAATATTGTTATGAATGCGAAATAAAAAGAGATAAACTTGAAATTGTACAAACATGTTGTTGCTTTCACTCACGGATTCACCTTAATATTGAACAACTCTATTACTTTGATAACAATTGTTATCTTATTTTTTCCAGACAAATAAGTCAAGGACGCTATAAAGTATTAAGTCAGTATTTTATTTTGTCAACAAGATTAATCTATACAAAATGTGTACCTAATACGAGATATCAATGCTCTGAATATTAGGTAATACCTTTAAGTGAAAGTATTACCGGACAAAGTGTAAGTTTGCATTACGTAAAAAGATTGAGAATAGTCCACATATATAATACATAATACTAGAAGTCAATGTAGTTCCAGGGATTTCCTAACTTCATAATGACCATTCTTCTATATTCAGATTTTATTTATATCGAAGAAATCATTAAAGTATTATGAAACATAAAACCCAAAGATTATGAAATTAATTTTGTGGTCGAACTGCTGGAATCGTAGCACATTCGTTGTCGCTTAAGATGTGAGTCATAAGTATAGGCATTTATATAAAATGGGAAGAATAATGTAAAACAATTCTTATAGCACATATTCTGTTTACCATATATGTAGTTTTTTGATGGGAACAAGAAATGATGGTTTCAAAGACAGTAGCAGAAATAATAAAGAATAGCAAGAACATTTACATATTCTTTGATGAATTTTTATGCTGATGAGTATATAAATAATTTTTTCATTTCATATCAGGGATTCTAGTATAAATGTACAGATGCTTACAGACAATTGTATGACTCCTCTCCGAATTATTAATATGGAGTTTGTACATAGGGACTGGATTTTAGTACAAACATTCAGGTACTTACAGATAATTGCATGATAGTTGATAAAAACGTGTAGAATAGTATTTAAAATAAATTTGAGATAATATATTCTGTTTCTACACACTGCTCTGAACAAGAACAAGATCTGTGTATTCTGTAAAAACAATTTTTGAAGAATTTTTCAATGTAACTTAACTTGTATCTACTACGAGTATATAATAACTTTATTAATAACTCATACAGGATGTACCTGTATGCGAATCGTCTACTCGATCGATCTACTATACCTATATATCTATTTGTTAAAACTTTTATGTTTGAATATGCAATGGAATATTATGGAAAAAAATATCGTTTTGAAAAACACTCATTTATGTTTTATGTTTGATTGTAAAAACAGAAGCTTTTATCTAATGGAAGCTATAGCATCTTGGTTCGTCAACAAATACAACAATGCTATTATAATTATTCTTTTTTTCTTCTTCTTATTGTTATAAAATAGTAATAGTAATATTTCACATACTTAAACATGATCGCTTGTGACATACCTATAAATAATCCTGTAACAAAATGAGACTAAATATTCTCTTCTTCTTTTTGGTATAGATTAGAGATTAGATAGGATTTAAAAATGGGTAAGGAACTTGTCACTAAGTTACTGCATCCTTTAAGTATTAATGTGACATACCCACTTTAGTTCCATAGACGAGTAACAGTTAGAAAGACCATTATGTCCTTTGGAGAGATGCTGCCTAATTCAGTTATAAGTGGATAGACAGTTGATAAGTACCAAAGTCTGAGTCTGGCGCGACTATCACAGTGACACAGAATATGTTCTGTTGTTTCCTCTTCTTCGCAACAAAATCTGTAGCTATCGTCTTTTGTAATACGTAGGTTCGATAGATGCTTTTTTACTCCACAATGCCCAGTGAGAAACCCTGTGACAAGTCGGATGCCAATTCTGTTCAGCATTAGAAGCTTCCTAGTTCTTCCTAGACATTAATTCTTTAGCTTGTCTGCAGGCAATTACATTACATGATGAAGTCCAATAATATAATTATCTTTAACTTTTAAGTTTTGTGACTGATTAAGTAAAATAATTTACTTTTCTGTGAGAATTTAAGAGATCTCACGATTTCCATTTTGTGACACAGAAACCTACTTAAGGTTTTTATCGAGCTTTATTAAGTGATCAGTAATACCATAGAGCATCAATTTTAGATTTTTCTTCTTCTATGTAAAGCAGTTTTAACAATGTAATCATATAAATCAAAGAACTGAATTTGAAATGGAAATAGTTATGTTGTAAGCCATGCATTAAACTTTTGGTGCAAGCGGCAGCAGATGGCGCCAAGACTCTAAACATACAAATATATTGAAAAAATAATAACACATGAGTCGGTTTTGCTTAAAATAATAATAAAAATAAACTTTTTATTCTTAATACTGAAAAATTTCTATTGTTTCTTGACTATTCTTATCCATGGGGATGGATTTCTTTATAAAAGTCCTTAGATATTTAGAGATTGAGTATACTTATTCCGAAGTGAATCATTTAAATTGAAACATTTAACATAAATAAATTCAAATGTAGCTCTTGTCATTTTCGTAGATGTGAAGACTCAAAGTTCTTTTCTTACTTATTCGGGCTTCTCTGTGGAAAGAGATATACACTTTTGTTCACATTCTTCTAAAGAATCGAAATTGTTTTTATTGCCGGCACAACCCCCATAAATGAATTCCTCACATTTGTGATTCTCGGCGTTATAGGCGTACCGATGAAAGAGCGCAAAACATCTACCGACTTCTTTGGGTTGGTAACAGTCTACAAATTAAGTCACAATAAACTCATTATGATTTTCTAATATAACTATATCCTGTAGGACTTCATTCCTTACCTTCAATTATTTTTATGTCATCAACATCGGGTTTAAGGCTGCTTTCCTCTACTTCTTTCAGCTCTTCAACTACGTTATCCGTTGGCATGCCATAAATCACACCAAAAACGGATATACATATAAGGCAGATTGTGGCTAATCTCATCTTCGTAATGTTCAACACCAATCCGGTAACTTCACTTCAACAAAAATAGTTGAATCAGACTGGCTTTTGTCTTATGCAATAATAAGTAAAACTCACTACGGAACAGACTTAAATACTTTAACCAGATTGCGATGAGTACATAATATATGTAAATAGGTATGTACGCGGATGTAAATATAGTATTCATAGCCATACATACTATATATTAGTATATATAGCTAAGCTTTTTTCCACGTAAACAGAATCAGTTTGAGCAGCAAAAATATTTACTTGATGTGTTATGAAAAAGGTGTGAACTGCACGTTTCTTGGAAGCTTGCGTCAATGTCAATAGTCGAACCTCAACAAAGTGAGTTTGCCTTCAATCGAGCGTTCAACCGATTTCTGAAGTGATTAAAGTCTTAAATGAGCTCGTCTTATGCTATCTACGTACGCCAAGCACTGTGATAATATATGTATGCTTGTATGTAAATATGTAAATTTGTAATTACAAACTATGAAGAGCTCTAGAGCTTGCTGGGTTATTGATTAGAGAAGTACTTACACAATCAAGACTAGAGTTCTGAACCCATTTGCAATGTCTTGGCAGCGATATACTCGTACATATCACTTTCAAATAAAAACAGATGTGCCTGGGATACGGCAAAGTCAAGTCAGAGCTTTAAAGCCAATAACCGCTTGTCAGAACACATAAGACATATAAGACATGATTTAAATTTTAATGTTAAATTTATTATTTTTTTTTTGTTTTTGATCATTTTTTTTTTTGATTTTCGTTTTCTTTTTTCATCATATTTTTTGTTTTTTTTATTATTTTCGTTTAATGAGTTTTGGTGTTGTTGCTACCGTTGTGCGTACGCATGTTTCTTCGCACGTTTTCAGAAAGCCGAATTTGTTGTCATTACCTCGACAGCCGCCAAAGCGAAAGGTCTTACAAGTGTTTGTTGTAGTGTCATAATAGTAGCGTTCCAAATTCATTTTGCATAGTCCTGCTTCAAGTGGTTGTAGACACTTCTGATCTGGAAGTTTCATATTAGTCATATTTATTTAAGAATTCCATCAGCGAAGATGATATCATGTGTTAGAATGTTTACCTTGCTTATCGACGCTTTCCACACTTCGAATTAGAGCAACGAATAGCACAGTTAGTAAAAATAACGCGCCGACTCGCGCGATTACCCAAGACGTCATAGACATTTATTTTGAACAAATTTAATTGCGAACTTAACTATCACAGCTTTGGTGACCGAATGATTAAAAATAATTCAAAACATTCGACTGAAAATAAACTATTAACAGAGAACACCCAATAATTGAGTACATATCAACCAAGCTATGAAGTAGGGCTCCAAACAAAAAATCAGATATAACCTATTTAGCATAGTATATAGTAATTCTGTGTTAAGTATTTATTTGACCTGTATTAGTCATTGTACGAGTATAGTTTAAAATTACGTTGGCTTACTGAATAGCATAGAACACATAGCAGATAGTAAAAATGCCATTATCAGTTCCATAGATTTTTCCTGTAGAGCCCTAAAAAGTAACAGTCATTTGTTATGTGCAAAAGTGTGATTATATGTACTTCATATCACGTTTACGTAATGTTTACCATATATAAAGTTTCCGAAGTCATCACAACAAAAGCATATAGTTTTAATAATAAAGTTTTAATAAAGTGTTTAAAGGGAGACTAAACTACATAAAGGACTTAAGCCGTGTGTTCATTGTGATGGAATTTTGCTAAGATAAGATTTCTAAAAGTTTTGCATATAACTAAACGTACTCATCCCTCGAGAACTTTGTTATCGTTTAAATGAAAAATCTATTGTATTCGTATCCAAAACCATGACGAGACCAAGGCTACTTAATTTCTTCATTAATAGAGCAAGTATTTCGTTGACTGATATGCTGTAGTGTAAATAATTACACATACGTATGTCTGCATTCAGCCATGAAAATGAGAGCAAAGAGCGAGACACTGACTACGATCGTTGAATTCGTTGATAGCAGCACGGGTTCTGCACAGATCATTAATGAAGAGCTCCTCTGTACACTGCCATATTTCATTAGAGTAAATTTATTTACATTAAATAAATTAAAAAAAATGTAATTTAGAACTCAAATTAATGTTAAAACACTGAGGCAAGCGTTTAAATAAATACATTTTACGTAAATTCATCGTATATTTCATACGCCATTAAATATCTCACGTTGTATTCCATATGACTTAAAAATGAACGAAAATTGTTTTACGCTTAGCAAAGATAGAAATTAGAATGCTATCAGGGACCACAGATGTCGTCAAAGTTCGCTTTACTTATGTATTCAACGAAAGTTAGTAAAATCAGGAATAAAGAATTGTGTTTTAAGGTGAATATCTTCTTTCTTTCTTAGTGCCCGTTTCTCCCTAGTGGGACATAGGGCTACTTAAAGTGGATATAACTTTTTATAATTAAGAGCAATAATAAGTTTTATAACCAAACCGATTTATGTTATTTATGTATGTTCATTCTTTTTTCGAGTCAGCGCAACTCGGCACTTTTACTCTTTGATAGCTGGGGGTACTACAGGGTCCCACCCATCTCATTGACTAATTTACGTATTCCTTATAAGCTTCATGATTATTCAGTGATTGATGTTCAAGGTTTTGACCGTAAAATAGCACTCTTACTGCAGCACTTTATGCTTATGCACTCTTTAATGCTTAAAGCTAAAAAGGGACGGCTTGTAACTACTTACTTACTTATTTAGTTGGCCATTAAAGATGTGAGCGTCCTTAGTCGCATCGAGTAACCTACGCCAGCCAGCCCGATTAGTTGCTGGCTGTCGCCAGTTGGTAGTACCGAGTGTTCCCAAACCGTTGGTCACCTGGTCCTTCCATCGAAGATGCCGATGTCTTCTATTGAGTTTTCCACCTGCAGGTACCGAATCAAAAACCTTTTTAACCGGAGCACTAAGCCAGCGAAGCCGCTGGATTTTTATGCGTTTAATTAAGTCAATGTCGCGATATAGCTTATACAGTTCATCGTGTCATCTAATTCGAATCTCGTCGCCAACGCGTAAAGGACACTAGATTTTCCGAAGAAATATCTAGGGAGAGGAGATTTCTTTGTTGACAGAAAGTGTTTTCTTTTATTCTTATTTACTAGCTTCTAACTACTACCAGACTACTTATTGATCATTCTTTAAAGCTTCATACTTATAGTTATATTATAGATACGAACCAATTTACTTTATTGATTATTCTACAGTACTTTATATATGGTATGTTTTCTGGATATGAAGGATAATACTAATTCGGTAAATTTTAGTAAAAACTAAAATACAATAAAAACAGTGAATATTGTACTGAAGTTCATTATTCTCATCCGGTTTTTGTTTTCTTTTTCAATCTAGAGTTGAATTCTCTACTCAATAATCTTCAATTCAAAATGATTTTTATGATTGATATATGGTATACTACATTGCTTGTTCAAATGCCTTGATAGCATTTTAAATTCCTTATTTGAAAGAACTAGAATTGAAGTATTAAAAGGATTTCATAAATTTCTAATAAATAGAATATGCTTATTATATCAGTACTTTTTGATCAAAATACTCAATTAAATCTAATGAAAGTGTAAAAGTGCAGCTTAATAAAAAACACTTGGATTTATATTATATAGGGCATGATATATTATTTTATGTATTTCTTAAAAGTTAATTCTAATCGTGAAAATAAAATTTTGTGTCTCCAGTCCGAACTCTCTCTAGAATGATCCAAATTTCAGTGTCGAAATTCGTCTGTCTGCCTACACGGCTGGTATAATTCTAGTTCAGTAGTTTATTTGTGTAAGAAATAATAAAAGTATATTATTTTAAAAGACTTATCCATTTTCAGCAAAGTACATATTTGTTATTAAAAAAGTATTTTTTTCAATTCTCTATTGTCAAGCCGAAAGAGACATTTAACGTGACGCATACTGATGTGACAGTAACAGAAGATTTTTGTTCATGCTGCTCTTAGAACAAAAAGTCTTTTACCTGAGGTACTTTCATCAATCCATTAATAATTATTTTCTTGGATATTGAGTCCATATAGCTTTTCTGAAGAGTATTTCTGAAGAACATAATACTTACTGATGTTAGTATCTATCATATATCAGAGATTATAGAACCTAAGTAATAGTTAATCCCAATTTAAAGTCTTGAAGCATGTTCAATGTATGTACTTGTACCTACTGGTGCGCTACAAATATAAACACTTCGAACAATCTTTGTTGAAATCAATGGCACTTTTCGTCGATAAAGGGTTATTTGGAGATGAGTACTGCTCTAATAATAATAAAAAATACAAATTTGAAGATTTAAGAAAAATTTACTATAATAAACAGTCGTTACAGATATTGGATAAGTAGCGGCTGTTATAAAAAATGTACAAGGTTTTTATAAATGGCATCTTATCACTATAATGGGACGATTATAAAAATAAATTTATAACTGAAGTTACGAATATCAATAACCATTCAATATCGAACCATCCACTTCGAACAGGAGCTTGCGAAGGTATTTAGTTAATAGATGAGTTTTTTAGCACACTTTAAAGAAAGAAATAATTAAGATATTCAGTAAAAATATATTCCTTTGGAAGGAATTACTCCGACGTATAGAAAACTTTGATTTATAAGAACACCGTTTCAGAAAACAAAGAAAGTGTAGCACTGAGGTCATTGCATAAACTGGTATCATCCTGGTAGTAAATATCACCATCAACTGTTGTTGCTCCTAGCTACAATATAATAATACTTATTTAATAGAGAATGAATGTACCACCCAGGTTTATTAGCCACATTTACCTGATCTACTGAACTGCTTTTGAAGAAAAGCTTCTAATCGATCCAGCGAGAGGAACGTACTGGATTTATTTTCATATAATCATAGTCTTCAAATAAAAGTCTACAAACTTTTATTATGGGGCTTAATCGTAGAGTGTGGTACTAAGAAACCAGTTATTAATTTATTTTAATCAAGAAATTGAACAGGACTTTTATTGTTGACCCAAACAATTCAATTTAATTGTCTTGAAACGAAAGCACAAAAAAAACACCAAACTAATATAATTAGATAAGTTTTGATTCTGTTTTGATTGTGAAAGTTCTAGCTCTATAATGATAATTCTAGCACTCTTTCTCCGTGATCGAGCAATATCTGTGCCTAATAATACTTTCTTATTTATTATTATTTTTTCTATTAGTTGACTCAGACATGAAATTGTTGAACTTAAGTAGATGTATGTGTTTTATATTAAACCTTTCAAAATACTTCACAGTACTGATTGCAGAACCTAAATTTTTGCTGAAAGACTATTTGAAATTTCTTATTACATTAGCTAAATTGAATTCCTATCCATACAAAACAACACTTTTTCATCCGTTGAACACTAAGATTTTATCTAACAGTGAATTTAACTTATGCATCGCTGGACTGAATAGTCTTCTTATTCAACTTTTATTTAAATCGCTTTATCTTGACTAACTAGTACAATATAGGATTAAGTTATTTTAATAGCAGTTTTAATTGAGTAACTCCCAAATGTGGACTAAATCGGTAGTTCACATTTGGGAGTTACTCATCTTTAACGCCAAGCACAGTTGACCACTCTCATTGAACTTCTCCTTAACTCGCTTAATTCAAGTTTGAATATATTATGCAGACTTCTCTAAGAATGGTGGAATTACTCAGCTTAAAGCAAGCTTTAGAGTTATTTAACTCTATCAACTAAAGAAGTAATAAACTATCAAATTTTAGAGATTTTGTATAAGTAGATCCGGTGTTGTCCTCCCTACTTCGGACTAAATGTCAAGCATTGTTGTGTCAAGCATTGTCAAGCACTATTAGCATATATTTTAAAAGTACATTACAAAGGGATTTGATTGTTTATAGAAATTTGCATTCAACTGACGATAACCGACGATATATGTGACATGCTCATATGTCACGCTTAAGATGCAGGAACTGGAAATACAATGCAATCTAATCTACTGATTGGTTATCAGTTGTGAGTTATTGTTTTAAGAAAAAATTGATTGGTTTCATTCTTCTGTGGTGAAATTGTTTTTTTTTTTTTGCTGTAGTTGGCACAAAGTATTGAAGGTGGAACTACAAGATTTACCTCTCCATTGAATTTTTGTCTACCTATAATATAAACTAAAAATCATCATCATAAGTTAGCTCTTTAAGGCGCATAGAAGGTCTCAGCACTTACACTAATAACTCATAAAAAGTCTTAAGAGACAATAATTCAATCTCATGAGGAACTAACTAAGCATATACAGCTTGAGGTTGTAAGGCCAATCTTTCTGCAATGTAAATGACTAAAAAAATGTGAAGTAATAATAAGAACAAGATCAGAAATTAGTTCAAGTATACTCCAAAACCTACTGTGAGATATTCGTGTTGAAGGTCTAAACTTACGCAACACTTATTTTCAGATTTTTTGGTTGCTGCAGTGCGCTTCTAATTTTGATAATGCCATACACACTCATATAGAGAAATAACATCCTCTTCACGGTAAGTGATAAGAAGACAACGGAATACAATAACATAAGAAATCGGCATTAATACGATTGTCGATATATACCCGAGAATATAAACTATAATTACTCTGCAGTGGCGTAGGCACAATTTCGGCAAAATCGCAAGGGAATGAGTGAAAAATATATATTAAAAATGTTTTTATATTATTTGAAGAAGTTTTTATTAAAAACGGAGGGTGAGGTGACTTAAAGAACATCTGATTATGTGGTATACGTCGAGCATTGCAAGGTATATAGAAAAATAAAATGGTATAGTGAAGGAAATCATACACTAAGCGGGATTACAGAACTAAAAATAATTATGACTTATGTATAAACAAGAATCTCAAAATTAAATCTTTTTTTTAAATAGATAAATATAATGACTAAAACTATTTTCAAATAGAAATGTTCGGACCGTAGTGGATTGCAACAAAAAAAAATTTTTTGCCCAACCATACATCTGTTTCGAGTATTGCCAAATACTTATTATCATTGGTCTTCAAAAATATTTACCAGGCAAATGCTAGTCTTGGAACTTTGAAAGGGCCCAATTTGAAGCAAATGAAAAACATATTTTAAACGAAAGACCCAAAGCTACAAGAAACTTGCGTTTCGAAAGGGCTTCGGAGACACGTAGTATCGAAAATAGTTTAGTATGCAAGCTGAGCTAAGTTCGATTAATGTAGCAGTCACTATATTGAGACTGACAGAGAGGCACAGAGAGGTAAAGCACAGGATATTTTTGTTCTCAGCGCTGGATACTTCTGTAGGAGAGCTAAAGACAAGTTTCCCTAAAAAGTAAGGTTTAAGTAAGTAGCTGCAGAAAAAGTGTTTCGCTTCTTCTAATTTTCACAACTTATACAATATTAATAGGAGGAAACTTCAAGCCTAGGATCGTGACTACCAAATAAGCAGGGATCGTTTATAAAACACACAATCTTAGAAATGTTTAATATGTAGGTAAGTCAGAACTCAAATTGCAATAACGAATTGATCACATTTGATCACAATTTTTCTCTGAAAAATTTCATTTAAAAAATTTTCATTAGTTGTATATATAAAACCTGTGCGTTAAATTGAAAATTGAACATTGGATTGGGCTACCCCTTGTTTCATCTATTCTAGCTACGCCTCTGCATACATCGTTGTGTGCAAATTATCAATAAAAAAACTAATGCTTATACGAATATGAAATAAACTGTGGATGTATGTAGTTTGTAAACGTTGTTGAGTTCACCCCTCTTGAAACCAAGTCTGCTACGTCTTTGTCTTTGCCCTTTACGCTATCTTCAAGTTTTGCATTCACTTAAATACTAGTGGTAGTTAAAAAAGTACTAATATACAATATACAGTCGCTTCTATACAAACACGTCCATAAAATTCGCTGATTTTCTAGTTTCATATTCAATCGGTGATTAGTTGGTAATCAGACACTCCAGCAACGTAGCACCTTGTGAGATCGCAGCTATTAAAATGAAATTATTTTTATATTTACTTTCTGTAGTTTTTCTCATTAATGCAGTTTTGGGTTTAAAAAATGGTAAGTAATTCTTTTTCCAAATAGCCTTCTCTTACCGGAACTTTATAGCTGTAAGGACTTAGAGACAATTAATTTTATTTTAATGAGTAAATTCTGAAAATTAAAACTTTTTTTATTTTTTTTTTCCTATCAATAGCAGCCATTTGCGGTTTGCAACACTCGAAGAATGGAGACGGTAAGATCGCCTGTTTAGGTTATAGACAGTCCTGGTCTTATAATTCTGCCGCAAACGAATGCGTGCAATTCATATATGGCGGTTGCCAGGGCAACGATAATCGTTTCGATTCCAAAGAAGCGTGTGAAGATACCTGTAAGGAATAACTTGAACCCAAAAACTAGCATTTCATAAGGATATGGAACAGCGAATGTCTATCAAAACTATATAAATAAAACAAACGTTTTAACAATTGAAGTTGTTTTTATTTTATTTCAAATTTAATATAATTGAATGCTCTGGTTTTAATACTAAATAATTTTCTTAATTGTGTTGTCCTACTTAAACTTACTTGATATATATACGACGTAAATATAAAGCTGAAATAATCAGCCTTCAAATGAAACAAATAAGCTTAGTGATACTTTGTGTTAATAAATATTGTTCAGATACTCGTACAGACGCGCATCTTTAATTTCGTATGTATTTGTGTAACTGTGCCTGTGTCTGTGCCCAAAACTTTGTTAATACTTCCCGACTCTCAACCCATTAAAAGCTCTTGATTAGAACAAGAAATATAAAACATGCGGTGAAAGAGAGGGAAGAGACGGAGAGATAGAGAGATAGAGAGGTAGAAGTACATAGAAGACAAAAATTCGCTAATGCTAGTGCATTAGTGTTCCAATGCTGATCTAGTGCTGTTGGGTACTGTGTATGCACTGCAACTATTGTTGGCGATCTATCTCTACATGTACTTGTTAATGTATTGTGAGCAGTTTCCGATCAGTAGAAGGCGTAGCGCATAGCTGGTCGATAAACAATAGCAAACAAAATAAAGAAGCTAACAACAACAGCAATATACCACAGTTGGTCTAGAAACTCTTTTCTAAACATAGGTGTAGCCAAGAGGGATAATATTGAGTTAGAACCCACTGTACTCCGATTGTTCAACAAAATAATGTCTTGGTCTTTTTCGATGGGACTTTGCTCTATTGACCTAATCTAGCTACACCCATGTTTCTTTCCAAATGCTTACAAGTTAAATCATACCGTATATATCTTTTTATAATTTAAAATACCTATTCGCAGAGACGTGAGACCTTACTCCAGAAATTTAGTGAAGGTAAATAAATAATTCGATCAAGTAAATTCTTAGAGACCGATAACTTCGATATCCATTCAAGTTGTGGTTAGACGCTTTTGATTGTAATGTATTGTACATTACAGAATGCTTCTTGAGTGGAGAGGTAGGCCGCACCTAATCTACACCTATTTCGATGTGAAACAATGTATGAGTTTTGCAATTTTTAAAAAGTTATAGCAAAACCTGTTTGTCGAAACGTGATTAAGCGTCAGATTTTCTATGATAATCTCGAAAGTGCTTAAACTACGGATGACTAGTAGAGATGACTACCAAGACGACTTATGGAGTTCTCATAATCTGTATGCATTTCTTACTGCTCAGAGATTTACCTGTGAAATTTTTTTTTTAAATTACAGAACTTTTATTTTTCTTTTCTTTCTACTTTTACTCTCCGTCCTTTTTTCTACTATTGGTGTTGTTGTTATTGTTTATGTTGTTGTTATTATTATTATTAGTATAGTTTGTGTTGTTGTTGTTGTAATGAATAAGTGCAGCTATGCGCTTTAATGAATGTAAGTTAATCTCAAGTTCGTGGAGTAGGAAAATAAATCATTGCTGCTGCTACCGCTGTTATGTGTGTGCGTGTATGCGCAAGTATGAATACATATAAATATTAAGTTCGTTGCTAAGTAAATTTATTATTAAAAATTTATTTGTAAGTTTACTTTATAAAATTAATTATGCATTCAACTAATTGTTTTAAAAAGTTTTAAAGTGGAAGCTTGACTAAAACTTTCAAGAATTTTATTTTGTTTTATTTGCAATTAAAGCTATTTTCTAAATTAAAGCTAATTAAATGATGTTGAGAGTTTATTTCAAAACTAAACAAAAGCGCAACGTAATCCAGAAAGCTATAGCAAAATTCATATATTTGTCTCAAATTTTAATTTAGAAAACATGTTGAATTACCTGCTCTCGGTCCCATACCCCGAATATACGATTAAAAGAAATTTTTTTTGTGAAAGGTTAATGTGTTGGTAAGTAGATCTATTTTGCGCTAATTATATATAGATTGTTTCCCATTTACGTTTTAACTGCCATCACGTGACAAATCAACAAACACAGGCACTTCTATTGAAACATATATACATATAACCCCAGATTGAACTTTGATATTGCCTTATACTACATAAAGAACTACATAATATAGGTACATATATATATATATATATGTATATATATATATATATATAAGTAGAAAGCTTAGAAGATACGAGTACATAATGTATACTATAAGGGCATACATATTATCACCTTATGGTTTAATATGATCTTTAAACTTAATGAATATTATTCTTTAATCGAGCACGAGTATACATACGAGTATAAATCGTAATTTTAATGCTAATTTTTATATTTATGAAAATTATTTTATATTTTTGCAATAATAAATATTTATAAACTTATCGTATATTATGTGGGATCCTCACTATTCTTAGATATTTAAAACAAAATTTTCTTGTATACATATTTTATCTTGAATTCTTATCTTCTCTTCACTTTACGTCACCTGGCAATCTGTACATGACTGTCGGTTGTGGAAGGATGCCTACATGGATCATTGCGTTTAAGGTTATTAGCAAATATTTACCATTCAGCACCTACTTAATACCACATTATTGATGTAGGTGTCAGTACGAAGTTAGTAGTTCATCTTATTGAACTAAAATGTACTCACTAAGATGATTGTGTATGTTCCCTGTATGCATCTTCTTCCCTCCACTCTTTCAGGAACTTATTTTCAACATCAGATTTTATACCAGTGGAAAATACAATTTTCGAAAATTCCGAAATATACGTTAATCGGTAATGTATAACTTAGACCTCACCTCGTCTGTTACTCCAAGTTATCCGATTTGTTGTCGATAGCTGCTCAATTGTTTCAGTTATCGTTAAATTCTCTCTATTATTAGAATACTGCGTATTGTGTTGAAATAAGTGGGTGCGTTACTATTTGGCACTTCCCTCGTACAAACAGTAAATCTACTGCGGAAGTGATATATGTGTGCGTTCTAGTCTATGTGGCGAAATTGTGCAATTTAATTGTGAATAACAATTTTCATTTTATTCGCACTTGGTAATGCTGGCATTTGGTGGGGTATCTTGTCTTAATGATGATTGAGTAGGCGTGGCTGGTGGTGAAAGTTGATGCAAAGACGATTGCTGTTGTTGTTGTTGTTGTTGCTGTTGCTGTTGTTGGTGCTGTTGTTGCAATTGATATACGGAATTCTGATGTTGCTCCAGTACACCAATGGCAGACAGAGAATTTCCGGATGTTAATCCGTTAATAGTATTTGCCGTCATGTCCTGCGCTTCGTTTTTTAGTCTTACGCTGTTGTTATTATTGTTGCTGTTGTTGTTATTGTTGTTGTTATTGTTGTTGTGTGCGTTGTTTAGCGTGTGATGATGAAATGAAATTGGTGGCAAATGTAGGCCCGGAAATGCAAGGCCAGCAGCAGCAGCATGTAGTGATTGCAGTAAGGCGGCAGAATGTTCCTGTGCCTTTCGTCTCAGCTCTGCAACCGAATTAGAACGTGGGTCGTTGTTTGCATGATTCGATGATGTTGGTGACTCTGGTGAACTATTTGCTGAAGAAGATGAAACTGGTACTGACGAAGCTGCCGGTGGCGGTGGCTTTAGCGAACAACACGAACACAATCCTGGGAATGTTGGTACTCCTGCAAATAGAGAGTATACAAAATTAAATCAATCTGACTGATGGAAAACTGTTTTAAGATTAAAAAGTGAGAATGTTAGAAAACATAATTCATGTTAAATAACTCATTTTCTTAACCATCTGTCTTAGGCGGCAAGTCTAGTATCGAAATCTCAGGATAATATGATTTAATTTAACTAAAAGCTTGCCTGCACCTCTGTCGATTGGAACACTTCAATTCAATTATGCTAATTTGTTAGCAACGATTTCGCGTTCGCAGCAAGCGACGACGCCAATCAATATTATCTCGATTGACACAAAATCAACGCCGTATATTATGGATATGAAATGGGTGTGATTGAATGGGCAGATTGACAGCCGCCAAAATAGATTCAAAATAGAATAGAAATTCGATGGTAAGTAATTGCTTTTCCAAATAGCGATTTTTACTGATTTGGGATGCGTTCATTTGGTATTCTCAATCTGTGTTTTCACATTGCACCAAAAAAGGTTCAGGAGACCATTAAATATTAAAGTACTCATAACTCACCTTTTAAACTAGAAAACAGTGGTTGATGAGAGAATTGAGAGCTGAGCGATGCCAGATGAGGTGGTAAAAATAGTGGAGGATGATTTGTACGATGACCAGCTGAATTCACGTTTGAAGCAGGGCCTGCAGCATCGTTGAGTAACGGACGAAAGCCACAACTGAAATTGTAAAAAACAAAAAAACCATTATACATCGTAATTATAATTATTTATAATTTAATACAATTATAAATAAATAATTATTGGTTAAAACAGAACAATTTAAACTCAACTAGACTTAGACTCATAGTGTCTGCTTTTTCTTATACTAACCGCTAATCGTTTAACGCTTTCGAAGCACGGTGACTAAATCTTGATCAATATTAGTGATCAATAATGTGAAGCAAGTTAATCTATTCTTAAGTCTGTTTGATTTCTTTTATTTTAGTAAAGCACTTATAACAACAAATGAGAAGATTAGATAGAACAAATCGAGCTACATTTTTCAAAACATCGAATACAGGCTATATGTCAAAGTTTTTATTTTAAAATTTTTATATTTATTATTTTCATAAGATTAGTTTGAACTAGTTACAATCAATTAAAATAATATCCAGTTTTTAGTAATATAAGATAGAGACTCATTACTCCATTGATTTCCCAGCGCATTTAACTATTAAAGCCATTTACCGGATATATATGTCTTTCATATTTTGGTGTTGTTCTATATATCAAAACGTTGAACCGTATCTTTCTTTGAAAAAGAAACCAGGCTATCACATGGCTATATCTTTTAAATTTTAGTATTATAATAAAGCATTTATCCGTATCTCTGAAAAAAACAAGATATGTACATTTCATGTAAACGTCTTCTTTAGCCAAGCCTTCTTTATAGGCATGCCTTCAATTATTACTCTGTGACTCTGTAATACCCGTTACCTTCAAAGAAAAAACGGATATAAAGTGAGTTCTACTACAAGTGTATTTATCTTTATTAGATACTCTCTAAAAAAGCTATACTTTCCTGTAGATGTGTATGATTCTTTCCATCTATATGAAGTACAAAACCTATGTTATTATTTTAAATCAAACTTTGTTATGGGAATAGGTATCGGTGTCGTTCTATAAATAGTTCACATCCCTCAATTGCCGTTCTACTGTATGTCGTTTTCGCCAAACCGGGTTGTCTAGAACATTACAAATTCCATCTCAGTCCTGGTAAACAATATTGCTACTTAATCTTCTAAAGAATGCCCTATCCAATTATATTCTATACCTGTGTTCGAGCTCACAGAACGATATTGGATATTGATTGGGGTCATCAGAACTCAAAGAACCTCAAAATTTTCCATAAACATAGAGATTTTCACAGATACTCTCAGTTTCTCACCCGATTTTGTGATGTTTTTACATTCAATCTTTGAAAAGAAATTAATGCAACATAGTCAATTACAATGCCTAGATAGGATAAATCTAGTAAAGTTATTAGACAAAAATTATTTCTTCATCTTTGTCGAAAAAACATATTTTATAAAGGCTTGTAGTACTTTACCATATTGTGAATTTTCAACCAACCACATAACTCAGAGGTGTGTTAGGAGTAAGTTAAAGTACTACTTATGGAACGTAAGGTTATCTGGTAGAGTAAGAATGTGAGAGTGTATGTACAAATATTAGTGACAAATGAGGAGCAAACATCATATATTTTTTTTCTTTTATCTTATTTATTTTCATTTATAAATAAGATAGAAATACTAAGTTAATTTAATAAGATAAGGAATAAATTTATTTATTTATTTTTAATTAAGTTCAAGTTATATTTGCACTTGAGACGATTTTCAATATAGGACTTAAACTCAGTGCCACTCTTTTCCTATAGAACTCTAATAGAATTCTAGTCAAAAGAAATTAGATTTTCCTATGAGAGTTTTAAGTTTAGATGAAATCAAGTTCCTGCTTTTAAGTAGAAATGAACATTAGTAGTAGTCTTCATCGGTTTGTGAAAAAAATTATAAATTAAGAATACAAACTTCACTCTGAGATGTAAGAACTAAACCAATCTATGAAACTACCAATCCATATATAATATTTTGTATTTGTATTTGTGATCCCGACGTTCGATGGTTGTGCTGTTTAATTCAATGGTCGTGTGCTTCGGGTGCCGCAGAGTAGAGTAGCAATGATGTTAAAATATTTTTAAATTATTCCTCAATTGAAAATAATTAAACATATTTAGGCATAATTGCATTAATATTCATAAATTGAAACATTTAATATGTCAAGCGCCACGAATATGGGTGGCTAGGAAAGAGCTGGAAAGCAGCCTTGCCTCGATACGTAACGCTGGCATTGTACGTACTATACGTTGCGTTCCATGTTTTGTTTATACGGGCCAAATTCCTAAACTCTTTCATCGCGTCTCTCCATACCTACCCACGTCGCTCCCATCAGCGCCCAGCTTATCGTTATTAATTTTATTTCATATTCCATTCCTTTCCATTTCAGTTTTACATTTTTTAATCATTTAATTAAATGAAATGTATCTTTGGGTATTGTATGGAAGGCACGCAACTCAATATGGATTTTATTAATTTATATGTTTGCTGACTCAATTTGTTAATATAATTTTACTTAATTGATATGTGACAAGCATTTAACGAAGTTGTTGTTGCGGCTGGCGTTGCTGGGTCTCTTTCTATTTATTTTAGTTCAGTTCAGTTCTGCGTGCACTTTTTATGGACTAGAAAAAATGTTATGGTTTATTGAACAGAATTCGAAAATCCTCTTCAAAAAAGCATTGATGTGCTCTATTCGTATCGGTAAAGCAGCGTGTTACGTTACATGGAAGACTATGACTCTTAAAAATCTATTTAAAGAGTTTAAACTTTCAAGTGTAGTTAGGTTAGGTAGGTAAAGTCATTAGACTATTATAAATGTATTATAATACAGTATACTGTATAATACCTTTATTGTACTTTTCCTTCACTTTTCCCTATTTCAATAATTATTCTCATTTTTGCAATTATCATTTTGAATTTTTGCAACTTATCCTTTGGGATTTAAGCAAAATACGATAGGATATCAGCCGACGGCATTTTTATATTACATAATCTTAAGGTTCTTAGAGCGTAACAGTGACAAAGCATATTGTATACGCCCTTCTCTCCTTTTTCGCCTTTCTATTAAATTGAAACTTTTACTCGAATAAATTAGGTTAGTTATTGCAGCTATCCACTATTGTTGACTTAGGCCACTTGCTAATCTATTATAATTTCATATGCCTTGAAGTTTGTTTTCCTTCCTAATTTTAAGAATTACACTGATTTGTTGAAGAATTGGATAAAATCCGTTAGTCTACCAGTTGACAGCGTTCTTAATTTTTTCTTATTCTTCGTTTTCATATTAAACTGAGATTCAGTGAAGTCCGATTATCTATTAGCAGACAGAGTTTCAGTGTTTTTGCAGTTTCAATGAAAGTCAAACTAGCATACTTAGTATGAAGTTTTGACATATCTTCCTAAAAAACAGTGTCCTACTAGTACAGATACAGATACTCTATATCTTCTATATAGTTAGTTTGAGAATCCATTATTCCGATTAGATAATTTTTTAACTAATTAGCTGCTTCAGAGGGATTAAAGAAATGGATTAAAGAGTTCTTTCCTCTGAAGAATGTGTGTTTTTGCAATTAGTTTATCTAGTGTATTAAGAGTGTTAATATCTGGAATGTTACTTAAATGTGATACTGGTGGATTATATTATTTAGAGACTAATGACAACCGAAGCACATTTAAATCTATTTTCTTTTATACTGGAGATTTTGACTATATATTTCATATATCAACATTCTGATAATTTTGATGTTATCCGCTGCGTATATTACGGCTTCATCAACTTACAAGATTTTAGCTTGAAAAATGCTACAATCATCGATAATTCCGCTATACATGATTCATGCTAGATTCTCAGAAAAGAACCTCAAAAAAACATTTTATAATATTAGGTGTATTATATTATAAAATTTACTAAATTTAAATAAATTCTTAAGGTTTGATGGATTTTTCCTATTTAGTAGTATTTAGTATAATCGTTTAGAGATAAGCGAGAGCAATGACTATTTTAAACAAAATACATAAAAAACTTTTAAGAAAAATCAAACATTTTAAATTGTAAAAGGAACCTCTTCTCTCATTATTTGAGAGATTTATATATACACACAGTCTTAATCCATTATGGAAGCGAATGGAACTCATGTTTAATAAAATATTAACATCTGATAAACTTACTTGGCTTACCAGTATTCATAAAACTATATATTTTATCAATGCTTTTGGCGAATTAATCAAAGAAACGGAAACCGTTCACCCCGCTACTAGACGTAAGGCGGTGAGAGCGCAGCTTGAATTTGAAATATGGAAAGTCAGTACTTGAACTTTGCATGTACACAAGTACGATTTCCTCCTGATAGAACGAACACCTTTCATTTTACAAAAACCGATTTTAAATGATTCATGCAGCCCAGTGCAATTTCTAATGTGCTATAGGGGAAGTCTGGCGGATATGAGCGACGCCTAAAAAGAAGAAAATAATAGGTTAAAATTTGTTTTATTAAAACAATTAGTCGGAACTACCGATTGAGAATTCAACTTTGTACTCCTCTTACCAGTATATTGACCGACTCTGAACATGTTTACTTTATAATTGTCAAGTAGTAACAAGAGAACGGACCCACAATTTAACTTTTTCTTATATTTCTTTTTCACAAGAGATGCGAGTTACAGTTTTATGCTACGGTAGCCATTTAAATGAATTTCAAGTAAAGATAACCCCTATTTTAGACAAGAAAATCGCTGTGTCATTTTAATAAAACAGGCAATATCTTCAATGCCTGCACTAGTGATATCGGACAGACAGTTGAGAAAGGAAAAATCTAGAGTAAATATACGTTTACTGGCGAGTGACAGATGTTTTGAGAGTAGATTTCTCTTCTTACATTTTTCTCTTCTTACAAAGAATCACAGCCATGACATGGTAGGAAGAACCTTGCAGTCCTGTTTTCAAGCGTTCCTATAAGAGGGTGTCGCATTGGCAACTTTATAACTTTGGGCAAATATAAACTTTTTGTTTTGGAGTAATAACACTATACAAATTTTTTTTATACGAAAATTCTCGAACTATTA